GACACCCAACTCTAGTGTCAACATACAGACGACGTAACTTGATTGACATTTCTCTGGGTCATTGACCACAATGCCCACATTGTGGGAGTTAGTAAGATAACCCAATAAAATTCATATTTGTAATGGGATGTTGTAATAATGGCCTTTATAGAAAATTGGAATGTTGCCATTAATCACCAAAACGACAGGTCTCTTGTCTGAAACCTATCACTCGTCAGACATAATGAAGAGAGCTGGACGAGCAAATGGACGACATCGCTAAGGAACTTGAGCCAAGTGAACTCATCTGTTCATTATACCATAAATATGTTTCATTACATAAATATAGTTCCATATTTGTACAAATTTCTTGTAAATTGAAGCTGCTCATCGGTTTTGTATGAGGATTCAAAACCACCAGAACAAAATCACACCACGTACTTGTGTGACTCTTCGTGTAATTCATAGCCCAAATTAAAGGTACAAATCACATCTATGTTGTGTCCACCTGTTGTTCCAATTCAATGAAGTTTACCATTATGGTAAACCCCGAATTGTTTATCCTTTAGCTTCGCCATTAACTTTTCACTCACCACTTCTCTCCGTTCTGTATCCACTCCAAAGCTGAAAATAATGAGCTTCTTTTTGGACATAGCGAGGACTAGTTTATACAATTTCAAAATATTACAAAACCCGAATCCAACATATTGTGACTTATGGTAACTTGGGAGTATTGGAGGGCTTATGGATTCTCTAATTAGGGGGTTCCAAACGTAGTAGTTCTTTCCACTTCTTGCTGCAGCACGGAAGCGCATATTTACGGATTGACAAACGTCTAAACCCAAAAAAATAAACTGAAATCCATTAGCGACTCTTTCCAAAACTTTCTGTTTTCTAATATCTACTAACGAATATTAACAAATTCCCCAAATTCCTCAGTCAATTGAAACAATAAATTACATTTACTTTTGAGAATGGTTGGTATTGTGAGATCACGACGTCACTCGCAAGCAAAGCTTCAAGCGGCAATATTGATTAGAGAATTCTTCAGCACCTATCACTTAAAAGAGCTTTCTTTAGGTCATTTTATTCACCAAACACGTTACACAACACACAACCAATAACATTCTAAGGTCCTTCGTTTTTTAATTACAAAAGAAATTGAAATAAAAAGTTAATGTAGTTGCGTTTAAAAAAAAAAAAAAAAAAAAAAAAAAAAATCCTTAAGGTTTGCTTCCCTCTTTCCTGGAAATGAGGCATTCATATCTCCTGCAAATCACAGTTTGACACATAAGCAAAAATAATTCATCAAAAACACAAAAAAAATAAAATAAAAATCTTTACACACATGTTAAACTGTGATTGACATTCTAGAAAACGAGGTAAGCATTTTTCTCGGGTTAATATACATGGTTACGAGTGGTCCATGATGTGACTTTCCTTTACTAAATGTGTAAGTTTTCTTACGTGACCATATGTGAGTTTCACATATGTTAGATTTAAATTTAGAGACTAGAGACGCACATAATTTAATTTTCTAGAGACTTGGAAGGTTGGCAAATGGTGGAATGCCTCACTATAGTCTATGGCTGAAGGGACTTGCGTTGTTCGCGGGATGTTCACATGGGATCACAAGGACAACGAAAGTGATGTGTCATTTCGATTAGATGCTAAATTGGACTGTGTGTCTAATTCACCCAACTGCTCGTATGGAAGAAGCAACCACCCTAGTACGATACTTAAAGTTGAGAGATGGCCGGTGTGGTTAAAGTTGAGGGGCCGAATCAAGGAATATGACATTCTCTTTTTCTTCTTCTTTTTCAATTTTAAATTAATTTTAATTGTTGAAAATATGTACATTTTTTATATATAATTTTTCCTATATTTTTTTTAACCTATTAAATTTTTAATATAAATTTATAAATAAACCCAATCCTAGACATGTATTTATAAAAAAATTCAAGCATTATTTAAACATAGAAACACACCCAAAATCAACCCCAAAGTCAACTTTTTGGGTGTGTTTATAAATGAGTTTTGAGTGTGTGTAATGATGGGTTTTGAGTGTGTTTATATGTTTAAATAGTGCTTGGGTTTTTTTATAATTTCAACCCCCATATGGCATTATATTATAGAATATGTGGGTTCTATATATGTGCCACATCAACAAATAAAGAGAGTTTTTTTTTATACAAAAAATCACGATATAGATTACTCATAAACACACATATTAACCTTAAGAACTATGAATGACAAAAAACCAAGATGCAATATGATAATTTTATCCACCTCAAAAAATGTTTTGTGATAAAAAGCAATATAAGTAATAAAGTGATGTTGAACTACTTTATCTTTCTATGGAGAAATTGTGATTCCATATGCAACAATGGTAGGTTGTGCAATTTCCATTAACTTCTAAGGATGTCATGTGTGTGTTCAAATTGAATAAATCAAATTCTAACTGCACAATCGATAATAATATTCCATTGCTTGTCTTCCATCCTCTGAAGATACATCAACTTGGAACGTACCCAAACACTTTTTCATACTTTTTACCCTCATCTATTTAAACTTGTAGGGGACGCCTTTACACAATTCCTGAATCATCATAAACACATCAACACAAAAGGAAACACACACTCAAAGAGAGACATAAATATAAAATATATACATAAATTCTCTTATGCGAACGTTCGGATGTTATTATATCGTGCAGATGTCATGTATTTTCTACTATCCCTCCATACTTTCCTTCTTATTTACAATAGCATCCGCACAATAATAATATCGTGCAAATAAGAGAATAATTATATATATACACACACATTACATACATGATAATGAAGAATACATTACTGTCAGTAAAGTATATATTAAAAAAAATTGAACTCATAATAAATGCCAAAGTAACACAATCCAAAATTTCACAAACCTAAACAAACCATATGCGAAGAGAACACAACAAAAAATTCCACGAACCCAAACAAACCATAGGTGAAGAGAAAACTAAGAGAAAGTTGAACAAGCTTTAATTAAGTAAATTAACTCAATTGAAACTTGATAATATATTATATGCAGAATAAGATAATTTTAAAAATTCACAAATATGGTTGTAAGGGCAAGGAGGAAGTCTGATGTGTCCCACGAGAAAACAGAGAAATAGGTGAAAAAGACTTAAATATTAAGGATATGTGTTTAAATATATATATAACAATAATAGATATAGGGGGAAGTTTGTATATGTTTATCATTCAGTGGCATTGTTCCAAGCCAAAAGGTTTGTTCCCTTTTTTTGAACAAGTCAAACGATGAAGGTTTTTTTCCCTTTTTTTGAACAAAGATCAGTTGCGTTATTATGTTCTTGGTTTGCCTATTTCCTTTTTTTGAACAAGTCAATCGATGATGGTTTTTTCCCTCTTTTTTTAACAAAGATCAGTTACTTTATTATGTTCTTGTTTTGCCTAATTGTTAATGCCACTTTGATTGTGTCTCTTGATCTCTTTTCTATTCGTTTCTTACCTTCCCTACCTTTGAAATTGGTCACTAATTGCATGCTTCAAGGGAGCCTTGTTGCTCATCCCTTGTATTTTATATCTTTAGTCAATATCCAACTTATCCCTATATGAATTTGATGGCATTCCAAGATTTCCACCTAAAGGTGCTTCACTCTAAACCCAGTATTTGCCTCAATGAAACCTATTCTTTCCCTTTAGTCATTTAAATATTGCCCTTTTTTTTGAAAAATTCTTAAATTGGTCACTGCATGAAAATGAGATTCTTACAATTTAAGTCTTTGTATAACATATATTGAACACTTCCACTCATTTGCCATGGCAAAAGGAAAGGGGAGGCATTGGCAGTTACTATTCACATGAATAGTGTCTGCCATAACAATTTTTTGATGCATTCCCACCCATTGTCATGGCAACCCAAAGGAAGTGAATAATATGGCTTGGTATTTACAGAAAAACATTTCTGAATTTTTTGTTTTTTTTTCCCCTTCTTTTTTTCAACTTTGTTGGTATTTAAATTGGCTACTAACATCAGCTTGCTCAGGCAGCAGCCCAGGCAAGTCTTGCCTTTGAGCTTGCCCAATTTCATGGGGTCTACTTCTTGCCATGCAATTTTTTCCTCCGTGGCGATTGTTTTTGGAGCCTAGACCCCCTTTTATCATAGAAAAAGAGAATGGGTGGAAGTGTTCTTAGTATTTGAAAAGGATGACACATGTGTGCTACAAACTTAATGTCATGCATTTGGACTGCATAAGTTATTTTACAATTTTATACCACTTTATATGACAGTTGAGCTGGACATGCCACATCACTTAATTTCGATGTGAATTTTGTTATGTTTCATAGTTTCAATATAATAAATAAATAAAATTTGTCTTCTTGCCACCCTCCTCATTTCGAGAATAAATGGAAAACAATTGACAAAAAAAACAAAAACAAAGAGTAGATAAAAAGGAAGAACAAATTAATGCAATAAATAGGAAGATCATCCAACACATATGTAAGAAATTTTCAGCCATAAATCGTGACCCATAGCTTGAATATTATAGAAAACAATTATCTAAATCCATCCAACCAGGGAAAAAAACGAAACCATTATTTTCAGCAACAAAAATAATAATCGATAAGAGATAGAAAACTGTGGTCGTTCGTACCATTCTTTGTTTACTTTTATTTTTTCAATTTGTCTGTGGTTGGAGTTCCAATGCAGTGCAGGTGCAGCTTGGGTTGGTTGCGAATGAAAGAAAACGTGGGGAAAGGGTAAGGAGGGACGAGATTGGGTCGAATATGAAACACCCGATCCATTTTTTATGAAGGACATTTTCGTCAAAAAAGAAATTTTGATTAAACAATCAATCATAATATTATATTTTATTCCAAAAATGCTGGTCAAACATTTCTCATCTATTTAAACTCGTCCTCAATCATCCTAAACACAACACAGAAGGAAGCACATACTGAGAGAGAGAGAGAGAGAGAGAGAGAGGAGAGAGAGAGAGAGAGAGAGAGATGGCGATGAAGAAAAGTTTAGATGCAGCGAAGACGTTGAAGCACTTGAATCCAGATGGGGAAGAAGACCCCCTCTGCCCCAAAAGAGAGCACCACCACCCAAAGGAGCTGAAGTTGAGCTCATCTGAAGATCAAACCAAGGATGAGCAAAGGTTGTTCAAACCAAAAGCTGGCAGTGTCTTCCCGGCAAAGAAGAGGTTAGTGAAGAGGATGATGTTCGATCAAATTGTCCATTGGTTTTGGTCTTGTTTCAGACAATATTACTAATAGGCCTTCTTCAGCTCCTGCTTCAAACGCCAACAAGGTCATGAGCAACCACATTTATCCAAGCCCACCGCCATAGAATAGATATAGGAGCTGATGTAAATTTATTGTTTTCAGTACATACAGCCTACAGCCTACAGGCATGCAATTGTATTTCTGTTTCTGCTAATTTCCTTCCTGGTGACGTTGATGTAATTTTATCATGGCTTCATAGAATGCTGGGTTTTCTTTGATCTCTCTCTCTCTCTCTCTCTCTCTCTCTCTCTCTCTCTCTCTCTCATGGCTTTATTATTAAAGTTGATGTGATATGAAACATTGGTAAGCTAAATAAGCTAGAAAGTTCAAGTAAATTTGGGCCACCATCAAAATCAATAAAACATAATTAACATGGTCCTTGATTAGAGGAATAGCCAAGGAAGTTTATGAAAAAGTAAAGACTTCAAAGCCACAAATGTTATTGAAAAGAAAACCATGACTTTCCATCCATGACCAGCATGATATCCAATCTTCCTGCCACCAATTCCATGACCATGCATGATATTATTCGAGATCCCATATTAGTATTGAATCTCCTTTTTTTATTTTTTTTATAACTTCATTATTTCCCTGTCCGTACCCTCAATTATCTAATATTAAATCAAGTCGTTGGAAGAAAATATGAAATTATTAGGAGAGTCAAATTGCGGGCCGAATCAAGCTTTAACTTGACGTAACATGCCATGCATAAATCAAAATGTTAAAGAACATAACCAGGACGAGATCGTGTGACAAAATCAAAACTTTTGCATATAAAGCCTCCCAACTGGGTATGTATTATAATTTGACTTTGTGTTCATCATGTGGCCATCTCTTTGATTTGCTGTTTTGGAGGAAAAAACGATAAGTTATGGTGCATTTTGATATATTTTATATTCAACCTTGTCACATAACCTAGCTCGAAGCTTCCAAATTGGAAAATGCCCTAAACAAAGGTTATATATCAATCACATTTAAACAAAGGTTAACAAAGTAGGATGGCCTCTAACAAGGGCGGAACCAGGAAATTTTCAATGGGTGAGCTAGCTAAAGTTATTAGCTTAAAATCTAATGGCCATTTTTTTTTGGGTACTTCATGTTTCTAAAGTTTTTCTAGAAATAAAAGTATAAATCAGAATAAAATAGTAAAAGGTAGAGAGTTAAAATCATGAGTATTTATTAAGAGATGTAATTCTGACATCATAATGACGTTAGAAACTAATTTAAATAACAAAAAAATTGAAAAAAAAGAACCAAAAAAATCAGAATTTTTTATAAATAAATACCTAGCCATATTCTTTACTTCTCACACCAAATAAATTCATCTCCTCATATTTCACGTGAATAGTGGTTACTCTTGGGTTGCCATGGCAATGGGTGAAAACACAACAAGCCTTTTGTAAGGGCTGCCACTATTCACGTGAATAGTAATAGCCCTTGCCTCCCCTTGCCCTTTGCCATGACAAATGAGTAAAAGTACTCTAAGTTTTTATAAAGAGGAGAACCTAACCTTAATCAATAAAATAAATTGACATTTGGGTACTAGCATGTGGGTTATATACGAACATAAATTCCATGTGCCACTTTTAAGAGCACTTCTGCCTATTTGCCATGATAAATGGCAAGGGTAAGCAAGGGCGGTTACTGTTCATGTGAGTAGTGTTTGTCATAGCTTTTTTTTTGTTTTTTGGGTTTCCCACTGTCCCACCATTGCCATGGCAACCCAAGGGCAATTACTATTCATATGAGATTAATTTTATTTATATGTATGAGATGAATAAATAATAAAATTGGTAGGTATGTATAAAAAAAATTCTGAATTTTTTAGTAATTTTTCAGAATTTTTTTCCAATTTATTTCTTCCCTAACGTCAGTTCTAGTGTCAATGTCTTCATGCACTAGGTCGGGCTAGTCTTGCCTTTGAGCCTGCCCTACCTTGATGGAGCCCACATCCTATCCGAGCTAGAATTCATTAGTGGAGGGATTTTTTCACCCAGAGGTTTTTGCCATGGTGAAACAAATTAATGAGGCGTTTAATTAAATGGTAATCTTATCTTTGGCATAGGCTTACAGCTGCTTGCCAATAAGTATGAGTAAAAGTCTTGCCAGTTCATCCCGCATCATGGGTGGAAAGGCTCTAATATCTTGCCCTTTTGCTTTTTTTTCTTCTCAAAAAACTTGTACAAAATGGATTTTGATCAAAAGTCATGACTAGCTATTAAGCCTATAATGCCAGCTCTCAGCCTCTCATTCATTACACTTACATAGAAACCCAACAAAGAATCAAATGAATGAGAGATAATACCTCTCCTATTTCAGTCTATTGATTGACAATTTGACATTATATACATGTGAGAAAGTTATCGAGCTAGCTGGCCTTATTTGGAGTAATTTTTCACATGATGTAATAATACGTGAATTAATAATTTCATGCTACAACATATGAATTGATAATATCATATGACGGTGTCATTCTGATTAATTTGAACACAACTAATATATCACAACATCTCCGGCAAATGTTAAAAGAAGGCTACATTTGTATTCATTTTTACTACTGGTGCAAAAGGAGGAGGAGAGAGGGTTGTTTGGCACGAGTTGAGAGGCGGCAAACCAGATCCACGTAAACAACACTTAAACTAATAATAGGCCTCTTCAGCTTCTGCTTCAAACGCCAACAAGATCATGAGCAACCACGTTTATCCAAGCCACCGCCATAGAATAGATATAGGAGCTGATGTAAATTTATTGCTTCAAACGCCTACAGGCATGCAATTGTATTTCTGTTTCTGCTAATTTCCTTTCATCGAATGCTATAACTTCATTATTTCCAGGTTCTTTTTTGTCCAACTTCATTTATCTAGAAAATGATGTCTTCGGGATCACCGACCCTAATCTGCTGCATGCATGCATACCCTACTAAACTATGAAATTATTAGGAGAGTCAAATTGCGGGCGGAATTAAGCTTTAACTTTACGTCAAGGCTTGACGTAACACGTAACATGCCATGCATGAATCAAAATGTTAAAGAACATAGCCAGGCAGGGATGCACCTACTCTTTGACTAACCTGTGCTATAGCCCAGGTGACTTTGTCTTTTAAGCCTAAACTGATACACTCCCACCCAATGAATAGCCCTGCACTACACTCTCATAATCTCCCTTCACCTCTTTTTCTTTCATTTTCCTTTTGGTACAAAAGGGGCCAAAGGCCAAATACAAAAAAACCCTGCTTCTTTTAATTTTTGGTAGAAAACAAACCCTCTTATTTTCTTGTTTGGTAAAAAATAACCCCCCCTTCACTTCACAATACCCCTGCACATAGAAAATATAAAAGAACTATGTACTAGATGCGTTTTGAGGAGTAAAACTCATTATGTCATCATAATTAGTTGTAGTCTTTTGTTATCAATGAATTTCACTTTGTATTGTCAAGTTTAATACTTATGTGCGTAAGATAAATTTAGCTCACCTCAATTTGAAATCTTGGATTCGTCTTTGTAACCAGGACGAGATCGTGTGACAAAAAAGAAACCAACTTAATTATAAAATTGTAAGGCCTTTGGGAAAATTAATTGTGCTATATATGGCTATAAATTATAAATTACGAAGTCGCATATACTTTTGAATATTAAAAACTTCAAAAATGAAAGTTTAGAACAAAGACGTACGTATTCTTGTTTTTTGGTGTATACTACAAGCTCTCATCCTTTTTTCTTTTCAAATCAAAAATCAAAATCAAAACTTTTGCATATAAAGCCCCCCAACTGAGTACGTATTATAATTTGACTTTGTGTTCATCATGTGGCCATCTCTTTGATTTGCTGATTTGGAGGAAAAAACGATAAGTTATGGTGCACATATTTTATATTCAACCTTGTCACATAACCTAGCTCGAAGCTTCCAAATTGGAAAAATACCCAATTGGTTGACAGATTTATATGTCAATCACATTTAAACAAAGGTTAACAAAGTAGGATGGCGTCCAAGTTTCAATAAACAGGATAACCTAACCCTAATCAATAAGATCAATTGACATTTGGGTACCAGAATGTGGGTTATATATGAACAGAAAATCCATGTACCATTTTAAAGAGCATTTCCACCCATTTGCCATGATAAATGGTAAGGGCAATCAAGGTTGGTTACTGTTTACGTGAATAGTGTCTGTCATAACTTTTTTTTTTTTGTTGTTGTTGTTGTGTTTTCCCACCCATTGTCATGGCAACCCAAGGGTAATTACTAATTTTGTTTATATGTATAAGATTAATAAATAAAAATTAGTAGGCATGTATAAAAAATTAAAAAATTAAAAAAAATTAGTAATTTTTCATAATTGTTTTCCTTTTATTTTTATTTTTTATATAAATTGGTAGATGGTTTGGTGAAACAAATTAATGAGGCGTTTAATTAAATGGTACGTAATCTTATCTTTGGCATAGGCTAACAGCTGCTTGCCAATAGTTATGAGGAAAAAGTCTTGCCAGTTCATCCCGCATCATGGGTGGAAAGGCTCTAATATCTTTGCCCTTTTGCTTTTTTCTTCTCAAAAAACTTGTACAACATGGATTTTAATCAAAAGTCATGGCTAGCTATTAGGCCTATAATGCTAGTTCTTAGCCTCTCATTCATTACACTTACATAGAAACCCAACAAAGAATTAAATGAATTAGAAATAATACCTCTCCTATTTCAGTCTATTGATTGACATTATATATATGTGAGAAAGGTATCGAGCTAGCTGGCCTTATTTGGAGTAATTTTTCATGTGATATAGTAACACGTAAATGAATAACTTCATGCTACGACATATGAATTGATAATACCACGTGACAGTATCATTGTGATTAATTTGAATACAATTAATCATAACACAACAAATTAAATCGGATTCAAGAAATACCTGATATCAAAATGTAAAGTGAAAATTATAAAATCATCATCATCATTCATGTTAGAGATCGAAGAAGGGAAAAGGCCAAATTAATGAAATTCTATTTTCTGTAAAACAGAATTATGAGCTCTTTATTATGTGAGACTAAGCTTAATTTAACTTGGCCAATGAGATATAGCTCAGTTGGTTGGGTTTTACTACCTAAGAGCGAAACTGCGTGTAGACTAGATTGGGCTTCAGCTTGGTACAAGATTTGATAAAATATTGATTTGGTGCAAATTTTATAAGGTATTTCCTTCTCCCATGAATATTAGCCCACCATTTTTTAAGCTAGTTGGCTCACAAAGGCAGAGAATGGTGAAACATTCAAAATACCATAAATGTCATTAGTTAATTCAAACATTAAGAATTGAAATTATTAATTAAATGAGAATAATATGGTAAATTCACATTTTTTTTCATATTAAAAAAAATAAAATTAAAACAAAATTAGATAATAGGTCCTACTTTTATGGAATATAACTACCCATATCATATTTTCTTAATTCTAAAAATAAAATAAAAAATAAAAAATAAAACCAATTGGCACATGTGTGACTTTGTGGTTTGGAGACCCACGTTAGTGGGAACCATTGTTTTATTCTCTTTTCTTCTTCTTCCAATTTACAAATTCGCATCCAAATCTACAAGTGCAACAAAGCTTAATTAGTGTTTATGCCTCTGTTTAAATTTTTTTGGATATGCTACTGCTATGAATTGTACTTTTTGTTTGTGCTTCTACTTCCCACAATTTCAGTTTTTGATTTCCACTTGGTTCTCACTGTATCAATTAGCATACACCCAAAAAAAAAAAAAAAAAAAAAACAAAATTGTTTATTTTATAGATCTCCCATATAAAATAATAATAATAATAATAATAATTTAGTACACCCCCAAAAAGATTCCTAGTTCCACCATTGCTTTCACTCCATGTGAGCTGAGGTTCAAATTCTTAGACACCCAATAAAAATTTGTGCAAACCTCAATTCCCCAATCACTTGTATTAAGAAGAAGAAAAAAGAGCTTAATTTAGTTTGGTGTGGTCCTTAGCTATTAAGTTTGGAGTTGTGCTCAGAGGCCTTGGACCCGTCTCCTTCTACCAGGTACCAGGCTATTCTTAGTTAAGCTAGCTTTGGTTTTATTGCCTTTGACCTTTGCCACAATGACGAAATAAAAACAAAAATAAAAATGAATTAAGTTGTAACTTAGAAAGTGGAAAATTACAAAACTAGACTAAGCTAATCCATCTAATATTCAATATGCAACACCACAAATAATATCTGCCATTTTCAGGTAATTTCAGTTTTATTTTTCCCAAATGTGAAATGCCTTTTCCTCTTCTTTGTCACATAGTCCTTGATTAGAGAGGAAGTTCATTACGAAAGTTGATGAAAAAGTTGTGGAATTGGAAGACCCCCATTTTACAACTCGAAACAGTACAAAGACTAGCCAGAAAAGCAAGAATATGCAAATTGCAATGCATGGATGGATGGCTTGCCTAACACTCATGTTAGAGAGGCAGAAAAAGGGAAAGCCTCTTTCAAACCAAATGATGAGCTCTTTCATCTTCAGGTACTAGCTTGCAAAAAGATTTATAGCTCAAGTGGTTAAAAATATTTACACATGCACCTGAGGTCTTAGGTTTGATTCGCCCCTCTCCCACTATTGCTTGTATTAAAAATCATTGCTTCTGGGCTTACGTTTAGAGTTGGGCTCAAAGGCCTTTGACCTACCTCCCTCTGCTGGGCCTTCATCGCTCGTTCGGGCGATTCTGAGCACCATTTGCTTTGATCTAGGTATGGTTTTTCAACCTCTTGAGCTATTCTTGTTGTTAGTGGTGTTGGTTAGGAGAAATTTTTGAGTTTTGGAGGGTAAATAAGCGATTGAAAATCTGCCGCTTGGGGAGGGGCTGCTGTTCTCGAATGGGGGGGAAGGAGGAGAAAAAAAAGAAGAAAAAAAGAAGTGGGGCCCAACGTTCGTAACGGAATGTCAAAAAAACTGACAGGACGGGTAACATGAGACGGTTTTTAAAACGTTGGGGGGTACTTTGAGACATTTGCAAACACAGGTGGTACCGTGGTAATCTGAGATAAATTTGAAAGCACAGAGAGTATGTACATAATTAAGCCACAAAAAAACGATGGTAAAAAAATAAAGAAAATCATGGACCGTGTTAATTGGCTTAACCAAGTGCTAATTATTTCCAATCGAATCAGAGACTCGACAGTGAAGGGCACCTTTTTCTCGGGTGGAATTTGAACAGTAAAGAACGAGGGGGAGCAATAATATTGAAAGCTACAAGCACGTGAAGAAAATCTATCATCATGTAAATGCCGTTTTTTGGGCACCTTTGTATTTTAGTAGGCAGCGTCCAAGCAAGCTCATTAAATGGAAACGCAGAATTATTTTTTGGGCACCTAGTATTGATATGACTGCTGCTCTTGCTCTTGGTGTGAATATCCGAATTCGTCCAAGTAGGTTGCTCTCTGAGACTGATTATCAATTTAAGAATAAATTAATTTTTGACTTTGGTACACTTAAGGGCCGACTCAGGATATTAAATTTATCTTACGAGTGAATTGTTAGATTTTGAATTGAACTAAACCTTAAAACCGATATTCTTACTATAAGAAAGCAAAAAAGAAAAAACTCACTTGGGCTATACGCTATAGCTGCTCATGTTAATGATCCGTCCTGAGTACACTACAACGCTAAGCGCTGAGCACAAACACATACCGCTCCTACTATGAACTACCATTCTCTGAAGATACAAGTCAATCAGGCAACTTCTAACCAAAGGCTTTTTCCTACATTTTTTATCCATAAAATTATATGAAATCGAAGCTTCCTTCTCTTTTTCAAATTTATTTCTGTCTTCAAGTGTCTAAGACTATCAGAGAACAAATCAGGAGAAGTCCTTCCTTTTTTCTGTTTTTGTTGGGTAAAAAATAATGGTCCTTCTTTAGTAGGGCCTACAATGGAAGAGGAAACGAACTTTTCTTGTCTATATATTAAACTCGTAGACGGCTTTCATAAACACACTGACCCAGAAGGAAGGCCACAATCAGACACAGAGAGAGAGAGCGAGAGAGAGAGAGAGAGAGAGAGAGAGAGATTACAGGCACATGCCAATGAAGAAAACTTCATCAGAAGCAGAGAAGGCGTGGAAAAACTTGAAGCCAGATGGGGAGGAAGACCTCCTCTGCCCCAAAACAGAGCACCACCCAAAGGAGCTGATGATGAAGCTGAACTTGAGCCCATCTGAAGATCACAGCAAGGCTGAGCCACGATTGTTCAAACCAAAAGCCGGGAGTGTGTTCCCGGTGAAGAAGAGGTTAGTGAAGAGGATGATGTTTGATCAAATTGTGCAAATGCTTTTGCTCAGTTTCAGTTTAAGACAATACTACTAATAGGCCTTCTTCAGCTTCTGCTTCAAACGCCAACAAGGTCATCATCATCAACAGCCAAGTTTACCCAAGCCCACCACCATAGCTGGTGTTATATTGTTTTTAGTTCAGGGTTGTGATTGTTTTTCTGTTTTCTGTTATTTTCGTGGTCATGTTGATGTAAAATTTTCCTGGTTTTCTTAGACTGATGGGTTTTGTTTCATCTCAATCTCCATCTCTCTCTCTCTCTCTCTGCTTTCGTCATTTGATTCACATAGACTTATAATTAATCCGGAGTTTCACAGTAACCCCCATTTTCCCCAATGAAATTAAGATAAACCCTAAGCTTGGAAAAGCGAAATTTTGTGTCGATGTGAATGTGTGGGGTTTGTGGGTTGCATTTTCTTGGACCAACCCAAAAAAGACATGTGCTTTTGAAGTTGGTATACGATGAGAAAATAGGTAAGCTAAAACAGAGAGAATAAAAATCCAAATGAATAAAACAGAGAGAGCAGTGCTGGCCATGGATGTGGAGTCCAATCACATCTGACTCCAAATTTTCCCGCCAGAGAGACAAACGCCTGCTTATAAAAAAAGTGGAAAGTTACAAAACCAGGATAGAATTCACTGTGCAATGTTTGCGCGGATTATCACACGTTGACATGATATATCCACTATTCCAAACTTAAGTCCACGCCGCTACTCCAAAAACGGTGCAGAAGCAAATGATACAGACACCCACAACTCTCCATCTGCCAAGCTAAGCTTAGTCCCAGGTAATTAAGGAGCAAATTTTTGTACGTTGGCCGGGATCCAAGGAGGAATCCTATTGAAATGTTGGGCGTTTGATGTAACACCAATCCATTTTCCATTAATTTTTGTCACAAAAGCTTCCGGAAGGAATTGGGGAGAGAATATGTAATAAAGCACATGGTAAAATACCCAACAATATTTTATTTTCTGTCCCACCTTCTAATGAGAATCATGATTACAAAATTGGAAATGGTCGGAGTAATTAAAGAAAATTCCAAAACAATCGTGTAGGTTAGTTTAGAATATCGCCATTGTCAATTATTTTTATAGAAAATTCGGTATAAGTCCAATTCTTATGACAGAATTTGGGTTCAATCCACACATTTGTTGTTAGTTATTCAAGTCCTCTGACTTTTGTGCCATGTAAGATTACTTACCTTTTTTTAATTTCTAAGGTTTATATTTTATTTTCTTAATTTTTTAATTTATGTTGTGCTTCCAATTTTGCCCCTTAGATAGAAATCAAGTAACCTAAAAGAAAGTAAAATATCAAAAATTGCATTAAACAATTCTCATACACCAAGAATAGAAAGAATCGCAAAAATCATATCTTCCACAATCAATTATGGAGAATGTTTTTGTTGGATTTTGCTACTATTTATTGGAGAATTTTTCCTCATATGTAGACAGACTTAATATGTTCATTTGCACGCTGTCCAACAATTATACTCTCACTCTTGTTCTGGGTTTACAACCTATCGTATATGTCGTATAGGTAATCGCCAACACAGTACCTAGGTCACAGGTATATGCCAAACTTCAAAGAATATAATCCCAAGCAATGTGTCAAATACCTGTGTCATAGGAACACTTTCGCAGGTTACCTGTAGGCTAGGTTCTCCGTGAAGCGCCATATCAAGCCACTATGTAAAGTACCTGAGCCATAGGTACACTGTTACAGGATTTTACCACAACGTACCTATAACATAGTTACAGTTTCAGCCAATTACCTATACAACAGGTTCTAGTTGATGATTAAACCCAGTGAGGATATTTCTTTGTTACAAAATTGGGAACATCAGTCATTCTGTAACTATAACAATTGGCATACTGCAAAACATTTGAAATAACAGATCAAGGAAGCTTCAATCAAAGCAAGAGATCATCACTGCAAGCCAACTTAAACAAGCACGGAAGCGCCTAACCAACCCATGTCCCATTAATTTTTGTCACAAAAGCTTCCAGAAGGAATTGGGGAGAGAATATGTAATAAAGCACATGAATACCCAACAATATTTTATTTTCTGTCCCACCTTCTAATGAGAATCATGATTACAAAATCGGAAATGGTCGGATTAATGAGAGAAAATTTCAAAACAATCGTGTGAGTTAGTTTAGAATATCGCCATTGTCAATTATTTTTACGCAAATTAATTACGTAAGCGATCAAATTATGTGGACTGTTAGTCAATGTACCAAGACTAGACCAGCTGGCCAAGTCCTAAACATCACTACTTTTACTTTAGTTTAACCATTATCACTAATACATGTGTATATAATAACATTTATATAGATGGTTAATTTACACTGTCTATTTCTTACTTAAGAATCACCATTGTTGCATGCGTCACGGCTTACTTAAGAATCAACTTCTTGTTTTTTCTGCCCCAGTTCTATTCTATTTAAACTCTCCTAAGAGGAGGTTTATTAAGGGTCAACACACAATTAGCAGCACTAGTGCACAAACACACATACACACACATTCTCTAATATAAAAGAGAAATAGTGGCAATGGCAAATTCAGGTGCAGGGAAGGCATTGAACCTGAAAGTCTCAAATGGGGAAGAAGACCAGTGCCACAGAACTGAAGAAATGGTCGACAACAACGACACTAAGCCATGCAGCTCCAGACCAAACACAACTGCTATTGCCACTGTAATTCCATCAAGGAGGAGATCAGTGATGAGGAGGATTTTTTGTTGCTGAGATTCATGTCACCGCTCTAAGCGGGAATTTATTAAGCTACCGTATATAAAATGTGGTGTGTGTGCTCGCAAGTATGTTATTATGTAATATTGAAACAAATTAACTCTTGATTATCAATATGGCTTGTTAATTATTAGATTAATGATCTGCTTATAATTCCTACTCCATAAGTTGCTTGATGCTTATAATTCCTATTGTGTACAGGCTCGTTTGGAAGTGATTCTGAATATGCCATGCTTTTTCATATAATTACATTTAGTGATTTTAAAGTGATTATGGAGAGAAGTACCTCTCATGTGCTTGTCCATAAAATAACTTAGTATAATTATATGGAGAAGTGATTATTGACCCTATATCCAAAACCACTCTAAAATAAAAAATAAAAAAGTTGTGTGACTTACGTTCTTTAAGTATTTACATGCGAACATTATTACTTACTTTCCACATATGAAGATGGAGAGTAAAGTTTTCGTTATTTATAATTATGTAAAATGTCTTTCTTTAACTGTTAGGGAGATGGAGAGAGAATGTGTAGACTTGTAGGGTAATTTCCTCAAGGAAAAGTTGATTCTTTTTCTTTCTTTAATGTGGACAACAAAGTTGTCTGTTGAAGTCCATGGACTTTCTTGGCCAATTAGTCCTTCGTGGTCCGCCTCCTTTCCTTTTCACTATTTTTTTTGCGGCTTCTTCTTAGTAGCCCCAACAATAAAATCAATCAATTTGCCATGATATCATGTTAAATTTCAGAAATACGGGTCAATTGTTTATTACTAGCAATACTAATATTATCTTCAATTTAACCACCTATAAAATCCAGTAATTGTTGAAAGCCTCAGTAATATTAGTAGTGTAATCATTTATTATATATTGTATATTGTATTGTATGTAGTCAAGTTTCCGATGTGGGACTATATTCTTTTACATAAATGTCATTCTTTGTTTTTTCCATGTCAAGAAAGAATATATAAACCATCATCTAAAGATATTCACCTGATATACAAAGAAAAGTTTACTTGATATGGAGATGTCCTTTTGATGGAAGAAGGAATTTTCTGGTTGGCATTTAGGGGGATTGGGAAAGTGAGGACACAAAGTTTGAAAGTTATCACACTTGGACTTTCTTTCACATTCATTGTCGCCCACACCAAGTCCAACTGACGAAGACCACCGACTTTTGTTGCGCCAACATAATGGCCAAAATATGTTGGAATGCTTTTTTTGACTATAATAATATCAACATATTATCGATACTGTATCAACAATAAAGACCCAAAATCTTTATATAGAGTTAGGGATGGCAATGGGGCGAATCATCCCCATTCTTGTTAAGGTTTCGTCCCCCATCCCAGCCTACATACCTATAATTCAATTCAAATTGGGGACCATCATCCCCTCCTTCAGTCCCTGGCCCACCCCGTCACAAATATGTCAATAAAAAAATTAATTAATTAATTAATTGATGAGAAAAAGAAGTTAAAAACTAATAACCATGCAATATACAAAAGCTGTGTATTAGACATACAAACTTTTTTTTAAAAAAAGTATGATGTGATTCAATTTATAATATGATACGAGGAATATATTTGGTGGGAATCATAGGAGGAGGGACTTAACCATATAATATAATTATTTATTTTCAATTAACATGCCTAGAAGGTAATAAATCTTAAATATTGTGTAATAAAATAATATTTTAATTTGACAAGCCGGGAAGAATGTAAAACTCTATTATATATGTCAAATTGCCACATACGCCATCAAACTCAAGTTTAATGTTTGTTCTTAATTAAGCTTGCTTTGGTGTTATTGCCTTTGATCTTTGCCACAATGATGAAATAAAAACAAAAATGAATTAAATTGTAACTTAGAAAGTGGAAAATTACAAAACCAGGCTAAGTTAATCCATCTATTATTCAATATGCAACACCACAAACAATATCTGCCATTTTCAGGTCATTACAGTTTTATTTTTTTCCATATGTGAAATGCATTTTCCTCTTCTTTGTCGCATGGTCCTTGATTAGAGAGGAAGTTCATTACAAAAGTTGATGAAAATGTTGTGGAATTGGAAGACCCCCATTTTACAACTCGAAACAGTAAAGACTAGCCAGAAAAGCTAGAATATGCAGATTGCAATGCATTCTAACACTCATGTTAGAGAGGCAGAAAAGGGGAAAAGCCCCTTTAATTTAATAAAATTATGTTTTCTTTCAAACCGAATTATGAACTCTTTCATTTTCGAAGACTAGCTTGCAAAAAAGTTTGTAATTCAAATTGTTAAAAACATTTACACATGCACCTGAGGTCTTAGGTTGGATTTGCCCTCCCCCACTATCAATTGTGTTGAAAAACATCGCTTCTGGACTTAAGTTTAGAATTGGGCTCAAATGCCTTCGACCTGTCTTCCTCTGCTGGGCCTCTTTCGGCTATTATTATTATATTAGTTAAGCTTGCTTTATTGTTTGGGAGTTTTACTAAAACACCCAAAATGGGAGCTAAAATTATAAAAAAAACCCAACACTCAAAACACTTTATAAACACACCCAAAACCCATCATTACACACACTCAAAACTCATTTATAAACACACCCAAAAAATATACAATTGTTGATTTTGGGTGTGTTTCTATGTTTAAATAGTGTTTGGGTTTTTTTTATAAATATATGTCTAGAATTGAGTTTATTTATAAATTTGTATTGTTGTTTTGGGCTCTGGCCATGGTTACAGAGATAAAATAAAAATAAAAATTAATGAACGAGTAGGTTAGATTAACATTTTGACCACACCAAAAAAAAACAATGGTAAAAAAGTAAAGAAAATGATGGACCGTGTTAATTGGCTTAACCAAGTGCTAATTATTTCCAATTAAATCAGACTAATTAGATAGATGACACTCGACACTGATGGGTATCTTTTTCTCGGGTGGAATTGAACTTTAGAATATGGGGGAGCAATAATATTGAAAGCTACAAGCACGTGAAGAAAATCTATCATGTAAAAACCTTTTTAGGGCACCTTTGTATTTTAGTAGGTAGCGTCCAAGCAAGCTCATGGAATGGAAACGCAGAATGGTTTGAAGATTTGGAAGATATAGCTACGACAAAATTATAAGTTATAAATAAATGAAAAGCCCTTATAGACCCTATTTAGAGAGAAAAATTCAATTTTTTACCGCATGCACTTTGATATATTTTTTATTTTACCTTGTGACATCAAACTCTTAGAAATTAGCTCGAAGCTTTCAAATTGTAAAATACCCAGTTGGTAAAAAGAAATGAACTATTTTTACTACATCAATCACATTTAAACAAGGTCAACTTGGTTAACAACAAACTACGGATAGCCTCAAACCTTAATAAAGAAGAGGAATTGAGCAGGAGACTCATCCAACACCCAAACATAAAAAATAAAAATAAAAGAGAATTTAGAAGAATCTACTCCCTCCCTCATGCATGTGGCACTGAATAATTTACTCTATTATTCCATTACCAGTCCAACTAGTACGTTCTCTGAGAGTGATATACAAGTGGCAACTTGGGCTATTAAGAAGGCTTTTTCCTACATTTTTATCCATAAAGTTATATGGAATCTGCTCGTGGAAAGCATAGATTCAAGAGGTTTGACAAAATAACAAAAGATCATCGAAGCTTCCTTCTCTTGTTCAAATTTTTTTTGTACGCTTTCAAGTCTCTAAAGAGAAGTCCTTCCTTTTTTTCTTTTTCTTTTTCTTTTTCTTTTTTGGGTAAAAAAGAGAAGTCCATCGTTTTAGTCGCTTGTCTTTGTCAAACACCATATCCTTCTTACTCAGCATGTCCCCACATACCTACCTTCAATGGAATCTGGAAAGGGCCTACAATGGAAAAGGAAACAAACTTTTCTCGTCTCTATATTAAACTCATAGACGGCTTCATAAACATACCGACCCAGAAGGAAGCCCACAATCAGACACAGAGAGAGAGAGAGAGAGAGAGGAGAGAGAGAGAGAGAGAGAGAGAGAGAGAGAGAGATTACAGGCATGGCAATGAAGAAAACTTCATCAGAAGCAGAGAAGGCGTGGAACAACTTGAAGCCAGATGGGAAAGAAGACCTCCTCTGCCCCAAAACAGAGCACCACCACCCAAAGGAGCCCATGAAGCTGAAGTTGAGTTCATCTCAAGATCAAAGCAAGGCTGAGCCATGGTTGTTCAAACCAAAAGCTGGAAGTGTGTTCCCGGTGAAGAAGAGGTTAGTGAAGAGGATGATGTTTGATCAAATTGTGCAATGTTTTTGCTCTGTTTCAGTTTCAGACAATACTACTAATAGGCCTTCTTCAGCTTCTACTTCAAACGCCAACAAGGTCATCATCATCACCAACCAAGTTTACCCAAGCCCACCACCATAGCTGGTGTTTTATTGTTTTTAGTTCAGGGTTGTGATTGTTTTTCTGTTTTCTGCTTATAATTGCGGTCATGTTGATGTAAATTTTTCCTGGGTTTTCTTTCATCTCAATCTCCTTATACATATATATGATATATCTCTCTCTCTGCTTTCTTCATTTGATTCACAGAGACTTATAATTAATCCGGAGTTTCCCAGTAACCCCCATTTTCCCCAGTGAAATTAAGATAAACCCTAAGCTTGAAAAGCAAAGTTTTGTGTCGATGTGGATGTGTGGGAGTTTGTGGGTTGCATTTTCATGGACCAACCCAAAAAAACATATTCTTTTGAAGTTGGTATATGATGTAAAATTGGTAAGCTAAAACAGGAGGATATGAGGATAAAAATCCAAACGAATAAAACAGAGAGAGCTCTGTTGGCCATGGAGATGGAGCCCATCCATCAATCACATCTGACTCTAAATTTTCCAGCCAGAGAGATAACACCTGCCTATAAATAGTGGAAAGTTTCAAAACCAGGCTATAATTCACTGTGCTACCCCACCATTTTACAGCTCCAATTAAGATATGATATGTTGTTGAAAACCATGACCTTAGAATATATGTATGAACATTATTTATGCTATTTCAGGCGTTTCCAATCTCCGTGGCAGCAGTTTCATCAATCGTTTTTTATTTTATTTTATATTATTATTCAGTGTCACATCGAAAATCCTAATGAATCGGTCAATTGTCACCACGAGTGACTAGGAAAACTCAATCTTCAATTTGTTTTTTTTGTTGTTGCTCTCTCTCTCTCTCTCTCTCTCCTCTCTCTCTCTCTCTCTCTCTCTCTCATAATCCCATAGAGAGCATCCGAGTAATTACATGCAAGCTGCAAAGGAAAAGACAAGAACAAGAAGAAAAATACAAATTTATAAATAAACCCAATTCTATACATGTATTTATAAAAAAACTCAAACACTATTTAAACATAGAAACACATCTAAAATCAACCCCAAAGTCAACAATTGTATATTTTTTGGGTGTGTTTATAAATGGGTTTTGAGTGTGTGTAATGATGGGTTTTGGGTGTGTTTATAAAGTGTTTTGGGTGTTGTGTTTTTTTTATAATTTCAGCTCCTATTTTGGGTGTTTTAGTGAAACTCCCGAAGAAAAAAGACCTGTCTTTCCCTTAAAGTCAGGTGAGTTAGTTAATGGACCTAATTGAAGTTTATAGTTTTGTTTGCTTGTTTGTTTTCAAACTTGAAAGAGGAAAGCCAAGCCACTTAATTTAATAAAATTATGTTTTCGTTTATTTTAAACCAAATTATGAGCTCCTTAATTATCTGGGACTAAGCTAAGCTTGGCAGATGGAGAGTTGTGGGTGTCTATCATTTGCTACTGCACCCTTTTTTGGAGTAGTGGTGTGGACTCAAGTTTGGAGTTGGGCTCAAAGGCCTTTTACCTGTGTTGGGCCTCTTTTGGTTGCTTTGTTGTTTTGGGCTTTGGCCCAAAGATAAATTTAAACCAACAATTAACGAGTAGGGTTAAATAATGATCTCTCAATCTCAAATATTTATTTACTAATAAATATATTAATATATATTTGTTGGTCTCATACTTATTCTCTTGAAATGTTGGCTGTTTGATGTAACACCAATCCATTTCCCATTCATTTTTGTCACAAAAGCTTCCAGAAGGAATTTCAGAGAGAATTTGTAATAAAGCAAATGGTAAAATACCCAAAAACATGTTATTTTCTGTCCCACCTTCTAATGAGAATCATGATTACAAAATTGGAAATGGTCGGATTAATGAGAGAAAATTTCAAACAATCGTGTGGGTTAGTTTAGAATATCGCCATTGTCAATTATTTTCAAGCAAATTAATTATGAAAGCGATCAAATTATGTGGACTGTTATTCAATGTACCAAGACTAGATCAGCTGGCCGAGTCCTAAACATCACTACTTTTACTTTAGTTTAACCATTATCACTAATACAAGTGTACATAATAACATTTATATGGATGGTTAATTTACACTGTCTATTTCTTACTTAAGAATCACCATTGTTGCATGCGTCACGGCTTACGTAAGAATCAAAATTTTTTTTTTCTGCCCCAGTTCTAGTCTATTTAAACTCTCCTAAGAGGAGGTTTATTAAGGGTCAACACACAATTAGCAGCACTAGTGCACAAACACACACACGCACATTCTCTCTAATAAAAAAGAGAAATAGTGGCAATGGCAAATTCAGGTGCAGGGAAGGCGTTGAACCTGAAAGTCTCAAATGGGGAAGATGACCAGTGCCACAGAACTGAAGAAATGGTCGACAACAACGACACTAAGCCATGCAGCTCCAGACCAAACACAACTGCTACTGCCACTGTAATTCCACCAAGGAGGAGGTCAGTGATGAGGAGGATTTTTTGTTGCTGAGATTCATGTCACCGCTCTAAGCGGGAATTTATTAAGCTACCGTATATAAAATGTAGTGTGTGTGCCCGCAAGTATGTTATTATGTAATATTGAAACAAATTAACTCTTGATCATTAATCTGGCTTGTTAATTAATAGATTAATGATCTGCTTATAATATCTACTCTGTAAGTTGCTTGATGCTTACAATTCCTACTGTGTAAAGACTCAGGGGGATGGAGAAAGAATGTGGAGACTTGTAGGGTAATTTCCTCAAGGAAAAGTTGATTTTTTTCTTTAATGTGGACAACAAAGTTGTCTATTGAAGTCTATGGACTTTCTTGGCCAATTAGTCCTTTGTGGTCCGCCTTCTTTCCTTTGCACTATTCATTTTGCGGCTTCTTCTTAATGGCCCCAGCAGTCAAATCAATCAATTTGTTATGATATCATGTTAAATTTAAAAAATACAAGTCAATAGTTCATTATTAGCAACACTGTTATTGTCTTCAATTTAACTACCTACAAAATTCTGTAAGTGTCGAAAGCCTCTGTAATATTAGTAGTGGAATTATTTATTATTTATTATATATTGTATTGTATGTAGTCAAGTTTTCGATGTGAAACTTATATTCTTTTACATAAATAATAATGAGATGATAAAACCAGAAATCTACGAGATTTTGAAGACTTTACATTCTTTGTTTTTTCCATGTCAAGAAAGAATACACTGGCCAAAAACAATGACAACAATGACAATGACAATGACAACGACACAACCCCACAACCCAAATGAGCCTTCAAGGAAATGTTTGATGTTAAAAGTCTTTGCTGGTACCTAGCTACTTTCATCATCAAATTAATCTTAATCGCTTGTGTGTATATCAACACATTAATCGCTTGACTAGCAGAGTCTCTCTCTCTCTCTCTCTCTCTCTCTCTCTCTCTCTCTCTCTATATATATATATATATATATATATATGAATGAAATCAAATCAATTCATGTAAAGTTTATTAAAAGATTAAAGAATTGAATCCATGTGTTCATATATGTATTTCCCATGTCATGATACCTAACGTATATATGCTGATTCCAAATTAAGAAAATACAAAATCATACTGTTGTTACCTAAAAAAAGGGTTTAATTATTAAGTTGATTGAAGAAAAAAAGGATGTGGAAAACTATCAGTGTATTGATTAAAAATAAAAAAAGGTCTTTATTTATCCATCTTTGCAAAAAATATATCGATAATATGTTGGAATGCTTTTTCTTACTATAATAATATCAACATATTATTGATAGTGTACCAACAATATATAAAGACCCAAAGTCTTTGTATAGAGTTAGGAATGGCAATGGGGCAAATCGATGAAGGGTATGCCGTTTCCATTTTCATTCTCGTTAAAGTTTTGTCCTCTATTTCGACTTACATATCTGTAATATTCAAATTGGTGACTCCCCATCCCCTCTTTCAGTGGGGAAACGAATTCCCTGCCCCTCCCCATCACAAATATATCAATAAATAAATTAATTAATTAATGAGAAAAAAAAAAGTTAAAAACTAAACATGAAATATAAAAATTTTGTTTTTGTTTTTTTTAATGTATGATGTAATTCGATTTATAATATGATACGAGGAATATAAAATTTGGTGAGAGTTGTAGGAGGAGGGATTTAATAATGTAATATGATTTAATTATTTATTTTCAATTAACGTACCTAGAAAGTAATAAACTACAAACATTACGTAATAAAATAATATTTTAATTTGACTAGTCGAGAAGAATGTAAAACTCTATTATATGTCAAATTGAAACATAAATTATCAGATTCAAATTTAATGTTTGATATTTCACAAGGGAGATGCTCTATGTTTCTAATTAATTAACACAATGGATATGTAGCTAATCTTTTGCACAGAATCTGATTCCTCTTTTCTATATCCCACTTCTTTATTTTCGATTATTTATTATTCTAATTAAAAGTCCAAACCAGTCTCACCTTGCAACTATAATAGACTGGCTTCTGTCAAAGCCATCTGTCTTTTTTATGGAACAATCTTCTAGAACGATTCCTATGTTCTACTTGGATATAATTTGTTGCTTGCCAAGGTGATACAAATGACTGATGATAATGTGATGCAGCGTAAGGTGATGGAACCAATGCACATCCCTAAAATTCTTCGAGAACAGAATTTAGATGGAAAATAGATAGGTCCACTGTCTCCAAGTGCTAGGAGAGACCTGATGAAAACCCCGAAACTCTGCTTCTAGTACCGCCCTAACAAGTAGAGAACTAGGAGAACAAAGCAAACAAACTCTTAACATAGAGAAAGAAACTTAGGAAAGAGAGATCCACACTCACTTTATTTGAATACTCAAATCAAACTCACAAATTTGTTCGTTGCAACTCCACATATTACAAGCATTTATGGTCAGAAATGCATGCCCCCGACAATAAATATGATACATGAAGTTTAGAGAACCATCTGCATTGTGATGATCCAATTAAGTTGGTTTTGGAGATTTTACGTGAAATCCAATCTAATTAATCATCCCCATATGGTTTGAATATTTCAAACTTTATCCGGATTTTCTAAAATGTTCTCCGAGAATCGAATGAGGCCTTACACAAAGTGAAACATGACATGACATGTATTGGGAGGTTAGTTTTCTCATTTCCGGCCTCTATGAAATAGGGCCCAGGTGGATATTTGTCTTCTTTGAAATTTCCGGTATATGCTTGCCTTTTGGATTTTATCTCCTTTTCATGTTTGTCAAGTGGGGGACGAGGGACAAACAAAACAACCATATCTAACAAACCTTCAGGAACAAAGAAAGAAATTGGGGGAGTAAAGTGTTGTGAAAAACACTCAAAGATCTTGTTGTTGATGTAATACGCAACTATTATACACAAGCTACGCAAAGATAAAGCATATACGAACTAGATAAGTAAACACACACACACAAAGACACATAATAATTTATAAAGGTTCGATGTTGTGCATGCGTCCTCTCCGGTGATCCCCGAGAATTCATTAATATGAAAGAACCCCTTTGGTTACAATGAAGAATTCCATTTACTCTCTCACAAACCCTAACTCTCTTCTCTCTCACCTTTGGCTCAAACCCAATTTGATGCCTTAATTTTCTCACATTATTAAAGCCTAGAGCTAAAGTACCTATTTATATGATATAGGACTTTAGTACAATCATACAAGAAATAGGAGATTTAAATAACCCCTCAATACTAGGAAGAAATCTATCCTAATTTGCCAAGGATCCGCACCTCCCGCTCGAGCGTCTGCATTCGCTCGAGACACCTATTTGCTGCTTGAGAGCCAGAGCCCAATCAACTTGTCTGCAGCTCTTTGACTGACCGTGTCCTTTATTCCTTTCACATCTTTTAGGCTAGTCAACTTCAACAAGAAGTTCATACTAACTTGGGCATATTTGCATTAGACCAATGCATAATAAATCAATTAACCAACAAAATACAATTGGTCACCATAGTTGGTGTTTTGCTTCAAAGTTATTCTAGTTTCCCCTTAGAACTTCTATATATAATGCAGTGGTTAAGAATATTACTTTACGTCACTTATATAAAAAAAATTCATATAATTGAAGATAATTATATCGAATTATCAAATTTCGCACTCTTATATTTAACATCGGTATATTTACACGCATTTAAATAAATACTAACTATTAAATTAATCGAATGAATTTTAATAAGTCAGTGAGAATCAGTGGTCAATAATAGTCACCAATGAGTGACTAGGAAACTCATTTTTATAACATAATTTTCCATGTTCTTTCCCTAGAATTAAAAGCTTAATGCCCCGCTTAATTCCTATACGATATAATTAAGTTTTTTGCTGTTAATGAATATGATCATGTATGCACTCTTTTAATTTGGCTTTCGGTTTTGGGGATGAATGGACAATGTACAATTGATTGGTTTAATTTATATATCCAGACAAATTAATCCAAAAGGGTGTTAATTCTAATTGTGTGTTTGGCTTTTGTCCTGTAATCTTTTTTCTTAAATTTTCCTAAGATAAATATAAGGGTACTCTTTTGCTGCCAAATAAAAAAGGAATATTACTAATTAAGCAACCAAATTAAGGGTATTTTAAAGCGAACTTGGGCCACCATCAAATCGATGATCAATAAGGGCATTTCTACCCTAGCAGTCTAGTCCAAACAAAATGCCCTTTAGGTCTCAAAAATCATTTCAAACGCAGCAATCTAGCCTGGACAGACGGTAGGCTTCACCACGCCTGGGTAGGCTCGAAGGCAAAAACAGTCCAAGTTGTTGTTTGAGGATGATGATATTAACATAAAAAAAATCAATTTTAAAATCAATTTTTTGTTTGAAAAATTCAAAAACATTCAGAAATATATATATATATATTTTATACATATAAATAGTAATTGTCCTTGATTTGCCATAGTAATAGGTGGATCGTGGAAAAACAAAATTAAAAGGGTAGGGCAATCACTATTTATATGAATAGTGTGTGCCCTTATTTGTCATTACTCTTTGCCATAACACCATGAGTTAATTTGCTCTAAAACACTATATCAGTTCAATCAAACCTGCATGGTCCAAATCACAATCACTCTCCATTAATTAAGGTAATTAGATCAGTATAATTAGGGGCACAGACACAAATGCATAGCTATAATTAAATCGAATTAATCCTCTCACTTACAATTATGTCTTCATCACCTGGTGCTGATATATATATATATATATATATAATTTGTGAAAAGATGAAACTCTGGATCTAAGCTGTCTCCCAATTAGATTGATTCGAGATCAGCAGCTGGGTCCACTACCAATTCCAATTGAAAAAAAAAGTAAAAATTGAAACCAATGCATGCATGGGACGGAGATGTGGGGGTCACTTGTTGTTGGAGCTAAGCAAAGAACTTATTGTGGGTCCAATTCCATTAGACCAATGCATAATAAATCAATTAACCAATGAGAGAGAGAGAGAGAGAGAGAGAGAGAGAGTAACAAAATACAAGTGTTGAATTGCAAAAAGAAAAGTCTGTCTTGGATTGAAGTTTTACCCAATTGGTCACCATGGTGTTTTGCTACAATTATATAATGCAGTTGTATTGAAGTCCTGTATTCAAGTCGCTTGTATCCAAAAAACTTACTGTGGCTTTTGAATTTTGTTGGCAACTTGTAGATTTGATGATTTAGTCAATTGGATTGATGCTAAGTTTGATTAGAAAAGAACTCAGGCCAAAGAAAGATAGATACGCATGAATATATAACAAGGTGAAGGTTTAATTGGAAGTCTCAAAGCCACACTCACCTTCTTCAACATTATTAGAAGAGAATCACTGTTAGATATCTTTTATTAAAGAAAAGCTACAATTAATAATTTATATGCAAACTGCAAAGGGTACCCTTCCATTACTTTACAATCATTAATTACGTGAGTATTTTACTTACTATAAAAAGAAGCCAAACCTATATAAACAAAAACTGGATTTGTTCTATTCATCATGTATATCGTGAGCACAATATTGTGGTGGATACATTAATTGAATTGGGTTCGTGTCTTGAGTTGAGTCTGTCAACTTTCCATGATCCTCTTGATTGTATTAGAATTACTTGTAGTCTGTAGATCTCGAGTCATTATTTAATTTCTTTATTGGGCGTTAGCCCTGTTTCTTCACCTTAAAAAAAACCAAGCCAGTCACCATCACTTGTTTTCAATATGTTCAAAGTTCATAGATGAGATACGGACATTTACTTAGCACGTTTGTTTGTATCAACATCATCACTCATGTTAGAGAGAGGCAGAAAAGGGGAAAAGCCACTTAAAATAATTTAATAAAATTCTGTTTTCTTTAAAACCAAATTTAAGTTCAAAGTTGGGCTCAAAGGCCTCTGAATCGAACTTGGGTGCACTTTTGGGGGAGGGGAGGAAAAGAGTTTGACCCACTTTTTTCACTATGGAGCCACCCCACTATGCGCTTTTGTCTAAGTGATTAAATGAAAATACGGTTAACTACAGTAAAACCCCCAACCTATAGGGTCATTTACGAGTCCATACCCGATTTTGGGGACATTTATGGGTACATACTCAACGTCGCAAAAACTTACAGATCGCCACCCTCCGTTAACGAATCTGTCAGGAAATCCGTTATCTGCCTACGTGGCATTTATGGGGCCTATTTTTAATTGACGTGGAGTTCCATGTGGACAAAAAAATAATAAAAAATTTACTTAAAAATAATAAAAAAATAAAATTAAAAAAAAAAGAAGCAAAAAGCAAAAAAAAAAATAAATCAAATCAAATCAAATTGAAAAAGGTAAAAAGACGCAAATAGCCTCATTTCATCCCTTCCCTTCCAGCCCAACCTCCGAGCCATAGCAACCCAGTTCTGCAACCAGCCTAAGTTGCTGTGGAGGAAGAGATGACGAGTGGACGGTGTCGCGTGCTGCCGACTGGGAACGGTCGATTCGAGAGGGGCAGCGGGCGGAATCACAAGGGCCTATAAGCGACGACGACGACTCCATCGATGCCAGATGACGCTGTGGGGTTTAGGTTGGCTATGTCAGAGCCTCGCGAGTTGAGCGAGGCAGGCCATGTCGCGATTTGAGCATGGGGAAGTCCATTCCTTGAATTATACTGAACGAATTCGAATTCTGATATTTTTCTCAACCAAGCATTTTCTATTTCATAGGCACTGACTTTTTAGATGTTTAGATGTGGTTTTGTTTCTAATGTTTCATCCTTCATAATCTCTATCGTCTTTAAGCAAACTATATCTATGGATTCCTCAAATCTGCTTCGCTTGCTGTTTAAGACTGATTTCAAAACACCCTTTGAGATTGGGTTTTATTTTTTCTGAAAAATAACGTAACTGTGCTATTTGTGAGAGTTCAAATCTCGCTTCTTTCTGTGGGAAGATGGTGGATGCGAAGGAGAGGTGGGTTTCGTGGATTTTTTGAATTTCACTGACTCCAATGATGTTGTCTTAATTTCTGTGGGTTGCGATGGGATGTGAAATTTGAAGTTGAACTCAGCTATGGTTTGGGGAAAATGATCAGATCTGTGGCATGAGGGAGGTGATGGGTTGGGCTAGAACAGAGAGGTGTTAAGGTTGGGATGTGTGGCCTGAGTAAGCTTGGGTGGTGGTTTGGGTTTGCTGGGGGCTAGGAGGGAAGGAGAGATCGGGAGAGATATAGGGTTGAAGAAATCTGGGATGAGGGAAGAATTGGGAGGAAGGGGGAAGAAATCGGGAGAAAGAGTGAATCTGGGTAGGGTGAATTCGTTGATAACCTCTGAGGAGGATGAATGCGTTTGGGTGGTGGTTTGTGTGGCTGGGGGCTAGGAGGAGAGGAGAGGAGAGAGAGAGAGAGAGAGAGAGAGAGAGAGAGAGAGAGAGAGAGAACCTGGTTTATAAATTTTTATTTTAATTTAATATGTTTAATTTCTTAAAATAATTATTTTTTATTATTTTGTTGTCCACGTGGAACTCCACGTCAATTAAAAATGGGCCCCATAAATGCCACATAGGCAGATAACAGATTTCTTGACGGATTTGCTAACGGAGGGGGACGATCTGTAAGTTTTCATGACGTTGAGTATGTACCCATAAATGTCCCCAAAATCAGGTATGGACTCGTAAATGACCCTATAGGTTGGGGGGTTTACTGTAGTTAACCCATAAAAATAAAACACAATTAAGTGGTAAGCTTAGATTAACATGTTGAAAAACAAAGCTTAGTGGCATAAAAAGCTAAAGCTCTTGCAACAAACATATGGAAGAGGAAATCTAAAGCTCTCGCTTAGTGGCTTCAAAAAAGCTAAACCAGTCGGTGGTAAATGGATCAGATGATTCCATCTTACATGATTGCTTTAGGGTACACTCACTCATACACTGTCCCTGGCTTTAGAAGCCGTCACGTTTTGAATTTTTTATTCCAACCCTAATGAACTACATGTACGTTTCCATGAACAAATTGGGACCTTCTTAAGAAAGGAATGAAAAGTATATAAAGCATTACTGCTCAAGACCGAAAGTGTAGTGCTTTAGTTTGGGCGAACCCAAAAAGGCTTTATAACTTTTATTCTATTTATTTTGTTTTTTAGTTCCTCATCCCGATCGAGAGTAAGCCGAGGATGAACTTTTTACCCTTCCATAATGTTATATGGATATGATTAATATCCACTCTTATAATGTTATAGTGCATTTGGATGAGGAAATTTAAAAGTACAAAGGATTTCATAAATGATGGAATTTAAAATGACGGAAATTAATGTTCTAGAATTTGTAAAGTTTCTTGTTTAGATGACGGATTTAAAACACAGAATTTAACATTTATTTGTAAAGTTATATTTTTTTAAAACTCAATCTCTCTTGGAATTTTACAAATGATGACTTTTAGATAGAATTTAAAGTTGAGATTTATGATCTCCAAATTCCATGTTTTTTCCCACGCGGAATTTCTAAATTTCTATGTATTTTTTTATCCAAACACAGGAATTTGTTCATATCAATTTAGAAATTATGAGTTTTGTCAAAATCCCAAGTTTATTTCCCTCATCCAAACACACCATTAACGTTTCATTTGTTTTCTTTTTAAATTCCAAAAAATAAGGGCACATTTGGTATATATTGATCCAATTTTATAAACTCAAAAACATATTTTAAGTTTTAAAACCACAAAAATCCGTTTGGTAGGCCCATTTTTAAAAACTCAAAAACACCCTCATTATTAAAAACCACAAAAGTGAAGTTTTATAGTTTTTTTTTCTCTCCTCCCTCTCTCATCTCATCTCTATCTCTTCCTCCTCCCTCTCCCTCTCTCCTTTTCTTTTGTTAATTTCAATTTGGGAATCTAGGGTTTCTAATTTTCTGATTTTAATTTCAATTTTTTTAGATCTTAAAAATAGTTTGGAGTTCAATACCAAAATTTAAATTTAAATTTTTTTTTTTTTTTTTTTTTTTTTGTTTAGTTATTAGATCTTAAAATTACTATTTGAAAACTCATGTTTTTAAAAAGATTATCATAATTTTTTTAATTTTCTTTTCCATTTTCATTGAATTTACTAATCACATTGTTATCATTCTCTCATTCCCTTAAAAAATACAATAAATTGGTGAAAACGAAAAAAGAGACAAAGAGATTATTCAGTCGCACGCTTTAACTTTACGTCAATGGTTGCGTCCCACAATGTAATATCCCATGCATCATCAAAAACCCCTTTATTATTCACTCTAAGTCTGACACTAATAAGGTTGAGAAATGACAAACACCAAAACCTACAGTATATCATGTGCGGTTTCAGACATAGTAACATGATTTCATTGTTAGTTACCAAGTCATGTGTTGGTCCGTGTCATGTCTCGTTTGATGACTCGATTTAAACTGGATATTTCAATTAAATTGAATTTATATTATGGCCGATGTTGGATGAACTACTTATAAATATTAGGACTGAACTTGTTAAATTGGACAAAATTTCAACACATCATGTTTTACAATTTTTATTTTTAGAGGGGTGAAATTCGTAATAACAGACTTGGAACTTTAATTCCAATCCAGTTTATAAATACTCTAGTCTAATCCTCATGCAATTCATCATATTTCAACTTTTCTCTGAACTCTTCTCTCTGCTGTTTCTCTCTCTAAATCTCTTCACCATCTTCATCTTTGTTATCAAAACCAAGAGAGATGGCATTGAATTTGACCCAAGATGAGGAAGATAAGTACGTGGGGGGCAATAAAGAGCCAAAGGAGCTGACGCTATCTCAAGAAATCACAGCCTATGAGAACAAGACCAAGAGGGAGGAGGAGCCATGGTTCAAACCAAAACCAGGGAGTGTAATTCCGGCAAAGAGGAGGTCAGTAAAGAGCATGATGCTTGATCAGATACTCCATGTTTGTCCTTCCATGGCTTCTGAATCTGGAGTCTCTGAAACCCAGGACAAGCCTAAAACATCCAACACCAAGAAGAGTAACCACGTTTACCCAAATTAATTAATTAACCTAGCTTCGGCCATGCATCGCTAGGAATGCAAATGTTCTGGATATCTAGGCATGCAAATGTTTTTGTTTATTTAATTTCTTTGTGTGGAGTGATGTGTGATGTAGTTTCTTGGCTTTAATTAATATAATGGTGTGGTTTCTTTCTCTGCTTAATAGTTAATTTTGGCCTAACAAAAACTTAAGGCAATAAAGCATAGCGTTTTGAAGTATTTGTCTTGGAACAAAAAACAATAACGAAATCTCAATGCATGGAAGGGAAGGGAGGCATCGGCCACTTGCCTAATTACAATTTCTTCAAAAGATTGATAGTTTTCACTCTCCAGTTTCCAAATTAACTAATTTTTTGGGAAATTTGCGTAAACACCACCTAAACTTTTAGGTATGTACACGATTATCACATGAAGTTTTAATTTTTATTATTAATAAACACCTCAAGTTTGCAAAGTGTAGCAATTTACCTCATACGTGTACTCCGTTAAATAAAGTCACACGTTGAACATGTGATATTTTTTAAAATACATTTTCATCAATTCATTATATATATATTTTTTGCCAAATCAATTTATTATAATTAAAAACTTACATTTTTTTTAAACTAACATAAAAAAAAAACCTAACCTTATCCCACAAGCTCCCATTCCCTTCCTCCTCCTTCATGACAGCCCCCTTCCTAGCCAAAAGGCCACCGCCCACAACAATCCATCCTTCCTACCTCTCCCTCGCCCTAAAACTCCTCTCTCTCTCTCTCTCTCCTCTCTCTCTCTCCTCTCTCTCTCTCTCTCTCTCTCTCTCTCCAACTGCACAAACAATATTGGGCCAAGCTCTGCAAATCAATAACAAATTCAGCCATAACTAGGTTTGCCAAGTTTAATTTTACTAGCACAAAGAAAAAAGGAAAAGGACGTAATTGCTAAGTTTTAATGTATTAGAGAACTAGGGCATGTTTAGCACTCTTGAGCATATCTTCCACTTTTCGTAAGACTTCACTTTGAATTGCAAAATGGTATTGGAGGAGAAAGATGTTGGGGGAGGCGAGAGATAATATGCTTGATTTTCATTTTTTGTTATAATTATTTTCAAATTTGTTAAGTTTTTATAATTATAATATCACTTGACTTAACGGAGTTATACATAGGTGGTAAATTGTTACACTTTATAAAGTTGAGGTGATTAATAATTAAAATTAGTAGTTCATGTGGTAATCGCGCACATACTTAAAATTTCAGGTAGTATTTATGCACATTGTCCTAATTTTTTTAAACGAAAAAAAGTGTTCTAAGATTCCATTTGCATGTGCATCCCAAATACCCTCATTAACAAAGTTGAAGAACAAGGGTCCCAAAATTTCTTAACTTGTCATTTTGTCTCTGCTCGTTCCTTTTGCTTTGTTTCTAGATTCAGTGAAGAAAAAACGTTGAGCATCAAGATTGAAAACCACCCATCCAAACCGTCCATCACAAAAAAGAAGTTGAACTGCTTACTTTAATGAGTACATATTATTACTATTATTACTTTGTACTATTCAGAGGGGAGGGGCTTCAGTTCTACATATATATCATCATTGTTAATATATGTACTCCCATTAGCAAGATATATAATTACGACGAAAGCCCCAAACACTTGAAGAAAACAATAATATTACAGTCTTGAGGTACGGATCCAGGATTGAAAAATGAGAGTCGGAAAAATTTCTCTTCAAATTTCGGCAGTCGTACTTTATTTTATGATATAGTCAGCCTAGATGTAGACTATTTTTCCATATTTTTGGTTTGGCTATAGCCCTAGTTAGATGGGCATGGGTTTGTGCCTGGTCTTTACATTCGTATCACAAAATGAAGTGGCTAACAACACAATAAGTATGAATAACCAGCTATTAGTGTTTTTAAGCACCCCATTAAATGACTATTAATTATGTAGTGAGAATCATGTAAAATTAATCTTCTACAATTACTAGACACCCTAGAGACGGAGTGAGAGATGGGCTTGGACAATGGCAAATGAAAATAACCTTGTATAATTCGAGCTCTTTTACACGTGGACCTAATTTCTTTGCGTAAAGCACCATATATCCAAATGCGAGTGTTTCTGGACGCATGTTTGGTTCAATTTGAACATGATTTGTAGGCTTAGTATATGCTATTTTGGGTAGGGTTTAAAAGTAGTTAAAAGGCATCCAGTTTTTTTTTTATACGTCATCCAGTTTTATTTGTGTACCTCAAAGAGTAGCAGAGTATAGAGATTAGAAAAAGAAGAGAATTAAATCCACTTCTTTCTCCTCTGTAAAGTTTATTAAGGATTAAGGAATTGATGCTGTCTCACTCTCTCTCTCTCTCTCTCTCTCTCTCTCTCTCTCTCTCTCTCTCTCTCTCTCTCTCTCTCTCTCTCATGGTTGCATCCATATTTCATTTCATATATGAATTTCCCACGTCCTAAGCGTGCAACTTTTCCTCATAATTTACAGATAAACTTGGTCCCACCAGCATGCATTTCATATAGACTTGTTCCATCCAGGAGATTATTGATAGATAGATAGTTTTCTTTTCAGTCCCGAACCAAACCCTTCTTTTTGCCACTTCTCTCTCTCTCTCTCTCTCTCTCTCTCTCTCTCATATGGCTGGCAATGGCATTAACAAAGTTGAAGGAAAAGAAAGGGCCCCAGTTTTCAACTTGTCCATTTTGTCTTTGCTATTGCTTCGTTGGCTTTGTTTCTAGATTGATTCAGTGTGGCAAAAAGATTGAAAATCACCGTCCATCACAATAAGAAAGAAGAAAGTGTGTGACTTACGTTCTTTAATTATTACATTTACTATTTCTATTCTTTTCTTCTGGAACTAGTTTGATAAAGTGTTTTATTTTACTCAGTTAATAAATCCCATACTTACTGTCCACCACATATGAAGATGGAGAGTAAATTTTTCCAGCCTTACAATTATGTAAAGTGTCTTTCTGTAATTGTCAGGGAGGTGGAGAAAGAACAGAAATCTTCAAGATTTTGAAGACTCATCATTCTTCTTTTTTTTTCCCTGTCAAAAAAGAATATTCACCTGAAAAATGATGGAAATAATTAACCAGTGGATTTTACTGGATATAGAAAATGACCTTTTGATGGAAGAAGGATTTTTCTATTATATTCTTATTTATATCGGTGCACTAGATGGTAAGTTATATCAAGTTTGATAAGAGTTTAAATTATGTTTTAACTTGAGACCCAAAACCTTGTGAAATAAGGAAAGTTTTGAAGCCAATTGAAGGGATCCTATTTATTTCCTTTTGCGTGAACCGTTGCTTAATGGGCTTAGAGTGTTAGTCAAGTCGGGCCTTAGTAATGACTAGAGACGAGTTGACCTAGCTCTATATAAGCTTAAGGCTATGCTCTCATTAGATACGTTCTCTAACCCTAATCTCATCATAAAGAGAGAGCTGAAATAGTTTCTGAGAGAGAGCAGAAGTCTTGAGCCATGTGTTGTTTGTTAGAGTTGTTGTTGCTGCGATTGAACAAGTTCAGAGATCGTGTACTGAAGGAAAATGGCGCTAGGTATATCTTTTATGTATTTCAGATTGTGTGAAAGATTATGGACACTATAAAAATCTAACATTTTCTTTTTGGAATTTAGGGGGATTAGGAAACTAAGGACAAGAGTTTGAATTTGTCACACTTAGACTTTTTGTCACATTTCTAGCTAGCTACTTAAACATTGTCGGCCGCACCAACTGATTACTGATGAGGTCCGCCGACTTTTGTTGTGCCAAAAACAAAGACAACGACACAACCCAAATGAGCCACACCAATTAGCTAGCTACTTTCATCATCAAATTAATCTTATTGATTAATATGTATATGTACACGCATGATATGTGCAGAAATTTGTTGGTCGTGGCTAAAACTTGCCTGTGTATATCAACATGTTATGCAGGAAATTGACTGACTCAGTATGAACTTGATTTGTATTTGTAGGGTTAGCAGCATATATGATTTTGTGCAGGGTCTAAAAGTGGTCAAAACGCATCCAGTTTTGTCGTTTAGATTTATTCGCTGCAAAGAGTCTAGCGGAGTCTAGGGTGTAGAAAAAAATGAAGATATATATGAATCAAATCAATTCCTGCATATATGGGAAGGAGAAAAAGGAGAATTAAATTCACTTTTTTCTACTCCCTAAAAGTTTATTAAAGACCAAACAATTGATAGTTGTTCATCTCTCTCTCTCTCTCTCTCTCTCTCTCTCTCTCTCTCTCTCTCTCTCTCTCTCTCTCTCTCATGGTTGCATCCAATTCACATATACATATTTCCCACGTCATGGTACCTGACGTTACCTGCTGATTCCATATTAAGAAAAATACAAAATCATAGTTGTTACCTTAAAAAACATTGTAATGATAAAAAAATAAAAAAATTCTCAGTGATTGTCTATTACGATAGAAAAACTTATATAAAACAGGGATAGTACTGTTTAGCTATTGTCATCACTCTATGTCAAGTGAAAAAGTTATCATATGCGTGATTGGCTAGAATAGCAAAATAATGATTCCGTTGCACACAAGTGTTTCAACTGTTATGTGCATTTGGTCTTAAAAATTGAATCTGTACAAAGCAGCAATAATGATATTGATAACAATTTTTTTAACCCAATATTACAAAGTTGTTGCCCCTTTTTCTCATTGTCTCTTTCTCTCTCGTCTCTCTCATCTATCTCTCTCTCCTCCCTCTCTCATCTCATCTCTATCTCTTCCTCCTCCAGTCTCCCATCTCCTGTCTCCCACTTCCTCTCTCTCCTCCCTGTCACCTTTTCTTTTGTTAATTCGATTTGGGAATCTAAGGTTTCTAATTTTCTGATTTTAATTCCAATTTTTTTAGATCTTAAAAATAGTTTGAAGTTTAATACCAAACAAGTTTTTAGAATTTTTTTTTTCTGTCGGATTATATTTTTAGATCTTAAAATCACTATTTGAAAACTCATGTTTTAAAAAGAATCATAATTTTTGAATATATTTTTTTGAGAAGGATACCAAACATGACCTAATAATCTACTTTCGACTTTATATATATCAATAAAATATTGTCACAATAGTTAGGATTCAAAATTGATGTAATTAGTAGGTATCTCTAGCATTTTCCTTGTTATGATAGTCATGTTAATTATTTTGATTTTCTTTTCCATTTTCATTGAATTTACTAATCACATTGTTATCATTCTTTCATTCCCTTTAAAAATACAATAAATTGGTGAAAACGAAAAAAGAGACAGAGATTATTCAGTCGCACAATTTAACTTTATGTCAATGGTTGCGTCCCACAATGTAACATCCCATGCATCATCAAAAACCCCTTTATTATTCACTCTAAGTCTGACACTAATAAGGTTGAGAAATGACAAACACCAAAACCTACAATATATTAAGTGGTGTTCAAGCACTTAAAGCATTAAGAATGGTAAAAGATACTCAACATGAAAAATAATATCAAATTAACATAAACTCAGAAATAAGGTATTCATGGTTAGGCTACATCGTAGCCCAAGCAAAAGGAAATTAGAACATGATAAACTTATCGAGAATCACGGAGTGGTTGATGGTAGACATGAAGATGAACTTGAAAACTCCCAAAAAGCTCCAAGATGGCTGGCGGTAGCATGACTTCTCTTTGCAAGAATTGGGCATTTTCCGGTATTGAAAAGTATGGATCTCCTCTAGGCATGCAAATGTTCTGGACATCTAGGCATGCAATTGTTTTCGTTATTTAATTTCTTTGTGTGTAGTGATGTGTGATGTAGTTTCTTGGCTTTAATTAATATAATGGTGTGGATTCTTTCTTTGCTTAATAGTTAATTTTTGCCTAATAAAGCATAGCATTTTGAAGTATTTGTCTTGAAACAAAAAATAAAAGCAATAACGAAATCTCAATGCATGGAAGGGAAGGGGGGCGTTGGCCACTTGCTTAATTACAATTTCTTCAAAAGATTGACAGTTTTCACTTTTCAGTTTCCATGATAATTAATTTTTTGGGAAATTTACGTAAATACCATCTAAACTTTTAGGTATGTATGCGATTACCACATGAACTTTCAATTTTTACCTCAACTTTGCAAAGTTTAGTAATTTACCTCTTACATGTAACTTCGTTAAAATTTTCATTAAATAAAGTCACACGTTGAACGTGTGATATTTTTTAAAAGTGATTTTCATCAATTCATTATTTTATTTTTTTTGCCAAATCAATTTATTATAATTAAAAACTTATATTTTTTAAAACTAACATAATTAAAAAGAACAAAAATTCAACCTAATTATCCCACAAGCTCCCCTTCCCCCTTATCCTTCATGACAGCCCCCTTCCTAACCAAAACAGCCCACAACAATCCATCCCTCCTATTCCACCCTCGCCCTAAAACTCCTCTCTCTCTCTCTCTCTCTCTCTCTCTCTCTCTCTCTCTCTCTCTCCAACTGCACAAACAATGGGCCAAGCTCTGCAAATCAATAACAAATTCAGCCATAACTAGGTTAGCGATAGCCGCTTGTGAGGCTGAGAGAGAAAGTGAGAGACTCACTGGGTGAAAGCTAAAATGGCGGTTCCAGCTCTCAATTAGTCTGCGTAAAGTAATCAAATTGGAGAAAGATATTGATGGCTGGCTCAGTTATGTTCCAGAGCGTATGCTGCATAACCCCACACCACACTCTCCAAGATGTTACAAGAATTAAACCCTAGCTTTCACCCACTCTCAATTCTTCTCTTCTAAGTCATTTTTAAGGTTGAAGAAGTAGTCTTTGGTCTCAGCTCTTCAAATTAATAAGAGGCAGAGGACTCGGAGGTATCGCTCTGTTCCTGTTGTGTTCGCTGCACAGTCCAATTTCTTAAAAGGTTAGCTAGCTGCACTTCCCTGCGTTTCTTCTTCTTCTTCTTGTTGTGTTTAGTATTTATGATCCCTGAACATTGTTGTTTAGTGGGTTCGTCGAATTTGCTATTTTATGAATCGTGTTTTTATATTTTTGGTTTTTGGATTTTGATAAAAGGTATTTTTGCAACTGAATAGCATTGTATTGGTGAATATCTGTCGAAAGCATGTTAATTTCTGTTAGATTATGACAATTTTAACGTTAAATTGTCGAGTGTTCGGAAAATCCGCCTAGGCGGGGCTAGGCGGCCACCTAGGCGGCTAGGCGGCTAGGCGGGAGTTAGCGGTCTGGGCGGGTCGGTTCCTTTTTAAAATGTATATATTTTTTCCTGTCTGTCTCTCTCTGTCTCTCACGACAGACCACCACCACCAGGCCTCCACCCGCGACGACCACCACCAGGCCGCGATTAATACAAAATAATTATAAATTTTAAAAAAAACGCCTAGGCGCCCGACTACCGCCTAGCGATTTTTAACATTGATTGCGGATTTCAATTCAGTGCTTTGGAACTCCGGTGATTAGTGGTTAGTAGAATGAAATTGTAAATGATTGGCCTCTAAAAATAAAAAAGCTATTGTAAAGATTTCAATCAGGCATGAAAGGTAAAGGCGCTTTTGTAGAAGCAGTGAAGCTGTAACTAGAACGGAACCGTTAATCGGATAATTGAAAGAACTGGCTAATCATCCATACCATAATCCATGGGAACTTACCATTTGGTGGGTGAAACCTAGCTGACGTGCTGCCATGTGCAGCAAGTGTGATTTTCTCAGGGCAATTTTTGTTATTTAAATTTGTCTTTCTTATGCATGAAAAGTAGGTCAAGAAGTCGTTTCAAGTACGACCCTTTCATGCAGGCTTATTTTGAGTCATAATTTTGAAGTGTTAGGACAAGATTTTAATTTTCTGGTTGACATTTTGAGTTACATTATAATGTGGACGACATTGGTTGTTTACATCCAATTCACAGTATTTCTACCTTTCTGCTTCACATGAATTACTTTTGCTGCTGTCCTGCTCATACAAAAGAGCAAATAGTTACCCTTGAGTTTTATGTTTACATTTGTGTTGACTACTGGTTTGAATTGTGTAAAATAGTTGTACAAACAGTTTGGAAGGTTGGGAGAGATGGAATTGAGGCAGGAACCAATCTTGTGCCATTTCAATGCAGGGTGTTTTTCTACCCTTTCAAACTTTTATCGATTGTGCAATTTCAATGCAGGGTGTTTTTCTTGCTTTTAGTACAAATTGAAGATTTTTGATAATCTCTTTGCGTTTTGTGTTTGGGTGCTAGGATTCTGTGCCAACATCAATTGCAAGGGTTTCTGTGACAGTAGTTGCATTGGCTCTTTCACTCTTTGTACTCAAGTATTTACTGTCTACAGTTTTCTTTGTGCTGGTATGTTTCTATTTCTCTCCTCCTGCAAGAACAGTAGATCGATGATGTTATTTTGACTTGCTTTTTCCAAATGTATATCAATTATGCTTGTGCTATCATTTGTGTGTTTGTGTTTTAAAATCAACTTCTTTTTCTGCGTTACTAGTTTCTATAAAGAAATGAGATGCAATGTAGACAAGTAAATTTCCTCTTGTCAGTAAGAGAGCATTATTCTTGTATAGATGGTCCTTATTTTTAAAGTACATAAATATTATGTAATTGTAATAAACTAAGAATTTCATGATAACAGGCTACGATGGGACTTGTATACTTTACAGGCTACGAAGAACCAGAGGGGGGTGGAGGCACCACCCCTCGTGACCTTCATGCCACTTCCCCTTCTTCCCCTTACCTGACCTCCTCCCTCAGCCACAAAATCACCATATACCAGTACTCTCAATCGAGAAACCCAAATTTGAGGGGCGATCGAGAAGAAAAGGAGGAGGTGGTAGTGAAAGAGAAGTGGGCAGCATGGTGGAGGTTGTGTGTGGCTTAGGTGAGGGGGCTGGAACCAGCGAGGTTTGGGTCTGTCAAGGTTGGGTATTGGGTGGGGAACTTTGTGACTATTGTTTGTCACATATGATAAAATTGAATTGCAACTTCAAATCTTCATTGGGTTTCATTCAACACTGAATATGAATGCAAGTATGCACGAACTTGCATTGCTTGATAAGTATTTCAATTAGAAACATATATACAGAGAAAACAAGAAAAAGAAGATGAGGATGAATTCAAAAACTCCCAAAAGCTCCAAGGTGGCCAGCGGCAACATGACTTCTCTTCGCAAGAATTGGGTTTTCCGATAGTTAAAAGTATGGATCTCCTCTAGGCATGCAATTGTTCTGGATATCTAGGCATGCAATTGTTTTCGTTTATTTAATTTCTTTGTGTGTAATGATGTGTGATGTAGTTTCTTGGCTTTAATTAATATAATGGTGTGGATTCTTTCTTTGCTTAATAGTTAATTATGGCCTAATAAAGCATAGCGTTTTGAAGTATCTATCTTGAAACCAAAAACAATAAGCAATAACGAAATCTCAATGCATGGAAGGGAAGGGAGGCGTCGACCATTTGCTTAATTACAATTTCTTTGAAAAATTGATAGTTTTCACTTTTCAGTTTCAAAAGTAATTAATTTTTTGGGGAACTTGTGTAAACACCATCTAAACGTTTACGTATGTGCGCAATTACCACATGAACTTTCAATTTTTACCTCAACTTTGCAAAGTTTAGCAATTTACCTCATACGTGTAACTCCATTAAAATTTTCATTAAATAAAGTCACACGTTGAACATATGATATTTTTTTAAGTGATTTTCATCAATTCATTAATTATTTTTTTTGCCAAATCAATTTATTATAATTAAAAACTTACATTTTTTAAAAAACATAAAAAAAAAAAAAAAAAAAAAAAATAAATTAATCCCACAAGCTCCCCTTCCCCCTTATCCTTCATGACAGCCCCCTTCCTAATCAAAAGGCCACAGCCCACAACAATCCATCCCTCCTATTCCACCCTCGCCCTAAAAACTCCTCTCTCTCTCTCTCCTCTCTCTCTCTCTCCAACTGCACAAACAATGGTCCAAGCTCTGCAAATCAATAACAAATTCAGCCATAACTAGGTTAGCGATAGCTGCTTGTGAGGCTGAGAGAAAGTGAGAGACTCACTGGGTGAAAGCTAAAATGGCGGTTCCGGCTCTCAATTAGTCTGCGTAAAGTAATCAAATTGGAGAAAGATATTGATGGCTGGCTCAGTTATGTTGCAGAGCCTCTGCTGCATAATTCCACACTCTCCAAGATGTTACAAGACTCAAACCCTAGCTTTCTCTCACTCTCAATTCTTCTCTTCTAATTCATTTCTAAGGTTAAAGAAGCAGTCTTTGGTCTCAGCTCTTCAATTAATAAGAGGCAGAGGACTCGGAGGTATCGCTCTGTTCCTGTTGTGTTCGCTGCACAGTCCAATTTCTTAAAAGGTTAGCTAGCTGCACTCCCTACGTTTCTTCTTCTTCTTCTTCTTTTTCTTCTTCTTCTTCTTCTTCTTCTTTTTCTTCTTATTCTTCTTCTTCTTCTTCTTCTTCTTCTTCTTCTTCTTCTTCTTCTTCTTCTTCTTCTTGTGTTTAGTATTTATGATCCCTGAACATTGTTGTTTAGTGGGTTCGTCGAATTTGCTATTTTATGAATCGTGTTTTTATATTTTTGGTTTTTGGATTTTGATAAAAGGTATTTTTGCAACTGAATAGCATTGTATTGGTGAATATCTGTCGAAAGCATGTTAATTTCTGTTAGATTATGACAATTTTAACGTTAAATTGTCGAGTGTTCGGAAAATCCGCCTAGGCGGGGCTAGGCGGGCCACCTAGGCGGCTAGGCGGCTAGGCGCTAGGCGGGAGTTAGCGGCCTGGGCGGGTCGGTTCCTTTTTAAAATGTATATATTTTTTCCTGTCTGTCTCTCTCTCTCTCTCACGACAGACCACCACCACCAGGCCTCCACCCGCGATTAATACAAAATAATTATAAATTAAAAAAAAACGCCTAGGCGCCCGACTACCGCCTAGCGATTTTTAACATTGATTGTGGATTTCAATTCAGTGCTTTGGAACTCCGGTGATTAGTGGTTAGTAGAATGAAATTGTAAATGATTGGCCTCTAAAAATAAAAAAGCTATTGTAAAGATTTCAATCAGGCATGAAAGGTAAAGGCGCCTTTGTAGAAGCAGTGAAGCTGTAACTAGACTGGAACCGTTTAGAAAAGCTTGAATCTTCTTACATTAAATAGCGATCAACCGTTATTCAGGTAATTTTTATTATTTTAAATTTGTTTTTCTTATGCGTGAAAAGTAGTTCAAGAAGTCTTTTCAAGTACGACCCTTTCATGCAGGCTAATTTTGAGTCAGAATTTTGAATTGTTTGGATAAATTTTAATTTTCTGGTTGAGATTTTGAGTTACATTATATATGGACGACATTGGCTGTTTACATCCAATTCACAGTGTTTCTACCTTTCTGCATCACATGAATTACTTTTGCTGCTTTCCTGCTCATACAAGAGAGCAAATAGTTTACCCTTGAGTTTTATGTTTACATTTGTGTTGACTACTGGTTCGAATTGTGTAAGATAGTTGAAGATTTTTGATAATCTGTTTGCGTTTTGTGTTTGGGTGCTAGGATTCTGTGCCAAGATCAATTGCAAGGGTTTCTGTGTTACTAGTTTCTATAAGGAAATGAGATGCAATGTAGACAAGTAAATTTCCTCTTGTCAGTAAGAGAGCATTATTCTTGTATAGATGGTCCTTAATTTTAAAGTACATAAATATTATGTAATTGTAATGAACTAAGCATTTCATGATAACAGGCTACGATGGGACTTGTATACTTTACAGGCTACGAAGGACCAGAGGGGGGTGGAGGCACCACCTCTACACCAAAGGACGAGGGGATGGAGGACAGTCTAGAAGAAGGATTTTGATTGGTACTGAAAACAAAGGATTTTGATTAATAGAAGAAATGTATCTGGTGTCCTGATGCTTAGACTCTTCAAAAGAATGTCAATTCAGTTTTCAGTACCAATTTCTATGCTTTGCCGAATTAAGTTGTTAGGAAAGGTCTAGCTAACCTGACTGTGTGTGAGGCATGAGAATTTACCCATTGCCTCATTTGTGGAAGAATATGATCTGCTTGTTTACCGACCCTTCTGTACATCCTTGGTTTTAGCTTGCCTTGGTTCGACTATTTATCAAGCTTCCACAGAAAATTGTAACGATGACAAATTAAAACAAAATGGAGCTTCAAACTTCGTAGCCCCCTCTCCACCCCTCCACTTTCTCGCATTTCCCCTCAAGAAACAAGCAATTAAAATAATAAAAAAGTTTAAAATCATAAGGACTGTTGAATTTTTAAACTTATTCAGCAAAGAAAAATAATTGAAGTTTGTTATTTGTTTCTATCTGATATTAATCCTACTCTTCCATGCTAATGATACACCACAAGCCTTCCCCCTTCAACATGTAGTCAAAGGCTTTATTGATCTCTGAGAAAGGAACTCGATTAGTTATAAACTTCTCTAATTCAAGTTTCTATTGGAAAGTGATCAAAAGGCATTCGTTAAAATTGCCTACAGAAGATTTGAACACCTGAAAATGTATTTGAATATTTAGAAGAAAATTCGGTTACTTTGTTCATGTATATGTCCACAACAGAGGGAAGGTCAGTCCAAGGTTTGTAGTTCCTGAAAAAGGTTCCCTTAAGGGTTCTTTCATCAAGGAAATTGAAGGGGTTAGTCTTGAAGATTGCATCTGTGCTTGGCACTCCTACAAGCACGGCCACAACCCAACCCTGTCTCAATCCAAAACCCAGAAAAGAGTTATTCAAAACAGAACCAAACCCTACCCTATAACTTGAGCCATAAGTTATTACCAAATATGAAAATGTAACTGCTGTAATCTGAAAAACATACATCATGAACACATTCGAAAGCGGAGATAATCAAATTAATGTTGCCGGTGCACCCTATGCTTCTGTCGACTCCATCGTTCTCAGCAATAATCTGTTGGTGTCAAAGGTGATTTACTAGTGGTTATAACTGCTATCTTTAAGGGGTTTTTCTATTAAAAACAATTTTTCACCCCTTGGGTTGACAAACTCATTTACTCCGAAGTTCTTGGCTTAAAACCAGGGGAAAAAAAAGTATCAAGCAAGAATTAGTTTCTTATATTTTCCAAGTAAATGTTAAACCATGATTAACTAATGAAAATGTACAAAATTACAAGCGCAAAATTATATTTTCCAAGTAAATGTTAAACCATGAAGTTATATTAGGTTTTGATAAGAGTTTAGATTAAGTTATACCTTGAGGCCCAAAACCTTGTAGAATAAGGAAAGGCTTTGAAGCCTATTAAGGGGTCCTATTTATTTCCTTTTTTGCGTGAACCGTTTTGGTGGGCTTGAAAGATTATTCAAGTCTGCCTTCAATAATGAGTAGAGATGACTTGACCTAGCCCTATATAAGCTTAAGGCCCTACTCGCATCAGACACGTTCTCTAACCTTATTCTCATCAAACAGAGAGAGCGGAAACAGATTCTAAGAGATAGCAGAAGTCTTGAGCCGTTCCTGTTCTTGCTGGGATATTGCTGTTGTGGTTGAATGAGTTCAGAGGTCGTGTACTCAAGAAAGATGGCGCTAGGTATGTCTTTACGTATTTCGGATTGTGTGAAAGATTTTGAACATGCATATTATAGAAATCTAACAGTTGGTATCATAGCACATGGTTATTCTCACACACCGAAATCGTTTTTCAAGCATGCATGTTACGATTTCTTATCTGCTTATGCCATGATGAGTTTTTGGTTATGTTTAAAATTTCAAGATGGATTAAACATTTTTTCTAAATATCAAGAATATTAAAGAATCTGGAAAAACATGTTTTAATTTGATTTTTCATATTTTCAAAACTTTAAACATGTTTTTGACCTACTAGATGACCTTAAAACCCTAAAAACGCCCATATATCACGGCAAAGTCATGAGTTGTGTTAATTAGGTCATTCCTGATTCAAAAAGGTATTTTGTGTCAAAAATGGACACCAAAAACCCCTAAAACACTGTTCACTACAGAAATTACTATTCACTGCAATTTAGGGTTTTCTTTCTCGAATTGTGTTTGTTTGGTTATTTTCTGAGCTAGATAGGTGTTCATCTTTGATCTGAGAATCAACAAACTTTTAATAACAAAACCAAACTTAAATACTCAAACCCTAATCGGTTTCTTGGAAAGTAATATGCTTTCTTTTGCAAATCCTTACAGCTTTGAACACTCCCACAATCAATTTCTCGCAAATTGAAACTCTCACTGGATCGAATTTCAAACTATGGAAGTTCGATCTTGAAGTTACACTAGGCATGAGTGATATCGATTATGCTGTCACCCAAGGCGAGCCGACAAGACCCATTGCTAATTCCCCTGTTGAAGTTAAAAGGGTGCATAAAGCTTGAAGGATGACGAATAATGTTTGTCTGTTGGTTATGAATAAGCCTATTATGGAAGCTATTTTTGGTGGAGTTCCTGAAACAGAAAGTGCCAAGCAGTTTATGGAATCTCTGAAAGGAAATTTAAGGAATTTGGCAAGGCTAAAACGAATAATCTCATGTCTAGGTTGGCTAATACGAAGTACGAAGGAGGCAGAGTAAGAGAACATCTCGTGGGACTCGTGGATATTGCTGCCAAATTGAACAGGTTGAAAGTACCTATTGCTCCAACTTATCTAGTGCATATTACCTTATGTGCAGATGAAATCTTCCGTTAACACCCTGAAGGAGGATTGGACAATGGATGACCTGATTACAATTGTTGTTCTTGAGGAGAATAGGACACAAGCTTATGGTGGTGTGGCTAATGTGGTCACTGCCAGGAAGTATGAGAATAAGGGTGCTGTAAAATCGGAATAAAGAAGCAGAGTCAGTCTCAAAAGAACAACTCTCTTGGTATGACTCCTACCACTGAATTCAAGTGCTATTTTATTTATTATTGAATAAATTCTACCATTTTGACTATTTAGTTGTTTAAACTTATTATGCAATTTTGTTTATGCATGTGAGTTTATGGTCTCTTTTGAGATATTATTGTTTCAATAACATTGCGGATTAACTCTTGCTAAGCCGTAAGGGTACTGAAAAGCATAAAGATTCACATTACGGATCAGTACGTGTTAAGGTTTGCGTTTATAGTTGCTTCATGTGTTTTGAGATTGCGTTATGTGATTATAGATGGCATGTTTTGAATAAAAAGAGCAATGCTTGTCTATAGTTCATTTTGTCTAATCGCTTTTCCCTTTAGCTTGAGGGGAATAACTTAATTGTTTTAAACTCATGGCCAATAAAGATTATCAAACCTTTCGGAATACAGAAGCTCTAGTGCTTGATATAGTTGGAGAATGTTATGTTTTCCTATTTAGATCGATGCAAGAGATACTAAGTTATATCAGGTTTTGATAAGAGTTTAAATTAAGTTATACCTTGAGGCACAGAAACTGGTGGAATAAGGAAAGATTTTGAAGCCTATTAAGGGGTCCTATTTATTTCCTTTTTTGCATGAACCGTTTTGGTGGGCTTGGAAGATTAGTCAAGTCGGCCCTCAGTGATGAGTAGAGACGACTTGACCTAGCCTTATATAAGCTTAAGGCTTTGCTCTCATGAGACACATTCTCTAACCCTATTCTCATAAATAAAAAAATAAAAAGCTGAAACAGATTCTGAGAGAGAGCAGAAGTCATGAGTCGTTCCTGTTCTTGCTGGGATATTTCTGCTGCGGTTGAATGAGTTCAGAGGTCGTATACTCAAGAAAGATGGCGCCAGATATGTCTCTACTTATTTCAGATTGTGTGAAAGATCTTGAACACGCATATTATGGAAAGCTAACATGCACAAAAGTTAAGAGTTTTGTACTTGAAAACCAATTGAAAATGCCAATTGGCAACCAAAGAGATGATATTGAGAATCCATTATATTCAAGATGTAACACCCCGACTCTATTTAAACGGTTAAAATTAAATTAACTGTGAAATTACGAAACTACCCTTGGGGTAGGGTATTTTGGTCATTTTCTTGTCCGGAAGGATTTGGGACCACAAGTGGTTTAGTTGTGTAAGTGGTTCTGAGATGAATTCGTAGACAGGCGGTAGGCTTGAATCGGAGTTTAACGAAGTGTTGGCGATGAAATTTCTTGGGTGGCAAAATCGTAAATAAGTCGAAAAGGTATTTGTAAAACAAAATCAGATTTTTCCATTTTCAGTTCACTTTCCTCTCTCTCCCTCTCCCGTGCGTTCTCTCTCCCGCGAACTCTCTCTCTCTCGTCACTGTTCACCCGAACAGAATTCTCCACGCCGCCATCACCTCCGGCCACCCCAGCCCCCGAGACCGGTTCCGTTCGACTCGTAGTGAAGTCCCGGACCTGACCCACCCAAAATCCCGACCGTCAAGCTCGAGAACCGCCGACTGTGGCGACTGGTTCGAATCGGAGGTTTTCCGATCGTTGCACCACCGCTTCAGTCATCCTTTTCCGGTGTGAAAGGTGAGTTTTCTCCTTCGTTTTATCTGTTCTAGCTGCCTGTTGCTTAGGATTGAAATGATTTTGAGGTTTTGGAAGTGATTTTCGAAGTAGGGTTTTGGCCGGTTTTCAATTCGAAATTCCGGCCAGTTCCCGGTGGTTTTGGGCTTCGCCGTAGTTGAATGAAGTGTTCCCCTAGTTGAGTAGGACCTGTAGCCGGGAGGGTGACTTGTGATTTGGAGATTTTCCGTCGCCGGAATTTCTCTGCACACCCGCTTGCTGCCGGCGCGTGTGGCGGCGCGTGGGCAAGTGTGGTGGAGCTGCAAACTGTTCCAATGTGATCCTTACGTTGTCACGAGCGCATAGGATTTCGCGGATCTCGATTCCGAGGTCGTTTGACTATCGAACGAATTATCGCATATTGTGCGTTATTCGGGTTCGATATGTTCTGACCGTTGGATCGTTTTCCAATTTAAGTATGTTCCTCTGGATAACCGTAAGATCGTGTAGGATTCGACGGATCGTAAAACGGAGTCCCGGATACTCCGGAAATGCCAACCCTAGGGTGAGGGTTTCGGTAACCGTCCAATTGTGCGATCGTGAGCAATCCGACCGTCCGTTCTGAACCAAACTTACAGGACGTGTATCCTAGCCCTCGTAAAACCTATAGGAACTCCCGGGAAGCTAGGGTTTTATTTCAAGTTCTGTTTTGAAGTGCTTGATATTCATCGCTTTTGCGTATTCTGAATCAGGTACTCCGACCCAGCATACGCAGCAGACGGGACCCTCTAAGGGTCAAGCTGTGTGGGACTACTTGTGAGTGGACTTTTCTTTTGAAACTCAGTATGATTTTATTCATAGAAATATGGCATATCGTTTTATTATATCTAGTAATTATTTTTATATGCTTGAATGGGAATTTGAGGTTTTCATAAAACTTACATTGATATTTGAATTTTGAGAAGCTATATTTACATGCGGCTATGCATGGGATACTTGGTGGTTAAGGTTAATATGAACTATGGAAAGGTAATGTTGGATTTATTATTTGGAGTGCGTTAAGCACTAATTTATGTACCTCCCCTGATCTGAATTTGGTTATGATGAGAACTCAGGGCATCCTTGAGGGGATGTTGCTGTGGACCCTGGATTTGGGGTAGTCTGCGCGCGTAGGACTGGTATTTCAGGCGTACAAGCTTTGACTGTGTCGGCTGTATGTGCTGGCTGAGAGTTAGTCCCCCGGTTGGACGGCTCGTTCCCTAGACACATGGTGAATTGAGGAATGGCTCTGCCATGTGGCCTAGTCAAACAGTCCCCCGGTTGGATTGTTTCCCCGGTACAATTAAATATTGGTTATCTTTATATACTATTATTATTATTATTATTATTATTATTATTATTATTATTATTATGTTATCTCATATTATTATTATTATTATGTATATGATATATATTTATTTATATGAATGTTCCTTCGTTCTATTTTTCGGTAAGGATTTTTCCTCGCCGGTCGTACTTTTGAGTACGTTTACGAGAGTCTAATCTCTCGGGCCTCTTAAGTTGAGGGGTGGGTTTCGTGAAGCATTATTCACGGATGACGGATTTGAGATCCGGTAGATATATGTTCGTGTATGTTTATATACCTTTTTCTAATGGTGGTTATGCTTATGGTTTCATTATATGTTTTTATAAAGGTGGGGGTTATACTACTTTGATTTCTTTTGAACTGAACTTGATTTTTGTCCACTCACAACTTTCTATTTTGCGCCCCCAGCCAGTAGCGACTGAGCTTTGCAGTTGAGCCGGACCGGGTGCATCTTGGAACTCGAGTCTTCGTAAAGACTCTTGGTGCTTTGTTTTTCCTTTCAGTTAAACGGTACTTCGATTGTATTTTGAATTCCTTAGATATGCTCTGTATCGCCCGCTGAGGGTTTAATTTTGTGAGGCCGGAGGCCTTTGTTGTAAAATCTTTGTTTGCTTGTAAAGCATGCTGCCAGTTGGATTGTAATTAACTGTAAATTTGAACAGGTTGAAGTTTGGGAATGTTCAATTTACAGGGGAGACTCTGCCAAATTTTTGGTAGAAAGTCTCAATCTTTACTAAGTGGGCCCGGCATTAGCTTGATGTCGGTAATTAGGCGGGGTTCGTCCCGGATTCCGAGGAAATTCGGGGCGGGTCTTGTCACAAGAGCATCATAAGTTTTGTCTATTTTAAAATGTCCTCCAATAACTACTCCACATGACTCTCTCTTTCCCTCTATTTCAAGGGAGGCAAAGATGGACTGGCCACACCCACATGTGGCTTGGAGAGGAGAGAAAATGAGGCTCTCTGATAACGAATTTTGCAGAGCACAAAATCGTAGCAAAATAATGTAGTTGTAAGTGAGTATCGTTCTGCATAGACTAAGACTACTTAGCTGAGTACTGATTATATTTAATCCTAAACTTTATCTAGATGTTCGAATGGTGAGGCTTTGATTTGAATTACGTAAGTAATTAGCAAGAATTAAATAACATAAATAACAATAAAATTCGGCAAACACTGATGGTATGAGCACTAGGGTTTCAATTGCACCATAGCTAATTCTACCCTATTCTTGTAGCCAATTAATTCTAATTATTATTCATGTTAATGGTAAATTTCCCTTAATTATTCAATATGACATGCCTGTCTATACCAAAAGTATTCCTACAACCGTCTCACTCTATGCCTAGATGAAGAACTAAGAAGTAAAAACCCATTAAGTTCTTTGGAAATTTATGGAAACCACACAAGCCTCAATTAACCTTCTAGTTCACTCAAGTAACCTGTGGTATCAATTACTAGAAGCAAAATCTTAAGTTGGATATTCCTATCGTCAACTCAAGCATCAAATTAATTGAGTGGTGATCAAGCACTCAAAACATTAAGAACGGTAAAAGATACTCAACATGAAAAATAATATCAAATTAACATAAACTCGTAAATAAGGTATTCATGGCTAGGCTACATCGTAGCCCAGGCAAAAAGAAATTAGAACATGATAAACTTATCGAGAATCACGAAGTGGTTGATGGTAGACATGAGGATGAACTTAAAAACTACCAAAAAGCTCCAAGGTGGCCAGCAGCAACATGACTTCTCTTCACAAGAATTTGGTTTTCCGATAGTGAAAAATATGGATCTCCTCTAGGCATGCAATTGTTCTGGATATCTAGGCATGCAATTGTTTTCGTTTATTTAATTTCTTTGTGTGTAATGATGTGTGATGTAGTTTCTTGGCTTTAATTAATATAATGGTGTGGATTCTTTCTTTGCTTAATAGTTAATTTTGGCCTAATAAAGCATAGCGTTTTGAAGTATCTATCTTGAAACAAAAAACAAAAAGCAATAACGAAATCTCAATGCATGGAAGGGAAGGGAGGCGTCGACCATTTGCTTAATTACAATTTCTTCGAAAAATTGATAGTTTTCACTTTTCAGTTTCCAAATTAATTAATTTTTTGGGGAACTTGTGTAAACATCATCTAAACGTTTAGGTATGTGCGCAATTACCACATGAACATTCAATTTTTACCTCAACTTTGCAAAGTTTAGCAATTTACCTCCTATGTGTAACTCCACTAAAATTTTCATTAAATAAAGTCACACGTTGAACATGTGATATTTTTTAAAAGTGATTTCATCATTCAATTTTTTTTTTTTTTTTTTTTTTTTTTTTTTTTTTTATATAAATAATAAATATTATATAAATTACATTAAATTTTAAAATTTTTTTTTTTTTATATTAAAATTAAAAAAAAAAAAAAAAAAAAACCTAATTATCCCACAAGCTCCCCTTCCCCCTTCTGCTTCATGACAGCCCCCTTCCTAACCAAAAGGCCACAGCCCACAACAATCCATCCCTCCTATTCCACCCTCGCCCTAAAACTCCTCTCTCTCTCTCTCTCTCTCTCTCTCTCTCTCCAACTGCACAAACAATGGGCCAAGCTCTGCAAATCAATAACAAATTCAGCCATAACTAGGTTTGCGAAGTTCAATTTTACTAGCACAAAGAAAAAAGGAAAAGGACATAATTGCTAAGTTTTAATGTATTAGAGAACTAGGGTATGTTTAGCACTCTTGAGCATATCTTCCACTTTTCGTAAGACTTCACCTTGAATTGCAAAATGGTAATGGATGAGAGAGATGTTGGGGGAGGCGATAGATAATATGCTTGATTTTCATTTTTTGTCATAATTATTTTCAAATTTGTTAAGTTTTTATAATTATAATATCACTTGACTTAACGGAAATCTTAACGGAGTTATACATAGGTGGTAAATTGTTACACTTTATAAAGTTGAGGTGATTAATAATTAAAATTAGAAGTTCATGTGGTAATCGCGCACATGCTTAAAATTTCAGGTAGTACTTATGCACGTTGTCCTAATTTTTTTAAACGAAAAAATGTGTTCTAAGATTCCATTTGCATGTGCATCCCAAATACCCTCATTAACAAAGTTGAAGAAAAAGGGCCCCAAAATTTCTTAACTTGTCATTTTGTCTCTGCTTGTTTCGTTTGCTTTGTTTCTAGATTCAGTGAAGAAAAAAGGTTGAGCACTAAGATTGAAAACCATTCATCCAAACCGTCCATCACAAAAAAGAAGTTGAACTGCATATATATGAGAGGGGAGGGGCTTCAAATAATATTCTGTCCTACATATATATCATCATTGTTAACATATGTACTCCCATTAGCAAGATATATAATTACAACGAAAGCCCCAAGCACTTGAAGGAAACAATATTACAGTCTTGAGGCAGGGATCCAGGATTGAAAAATGAGTCTGACTACTTTTCAAATTTCGGCAGTCCTAGCATATGTTATCCAGATGCGAGTGGACACCATATATCCAAATGCCGCATGTTTGGTTCAATTTGAACATGATTTGTGGGCTTAGCATATGTTATCTTGGATAGGGTTTAAAAGTAGTCAAAGAGTATCAGAGAATTAAATCCACTTCTTTTTCCTCCGTAAAGTTTTATTAGAGCAACTCCACCCATTTGCCCTTAGCCATGGCAAGGGGGGGAGTTAGGGCAGCCATTATTCACGTGAATAGTAGTTGTCCTTGCAAATAGTATTTTTCGTTTCCCCCCGTTGCCATGGCAAAGGGCAATTACTATTCATTTTTTTATTTATTTCACAACTTTTTTTACCTCAATAATTAATTTGGATAATATTTTCAGATAAAATTTTCGGGTTCCTATGTGTCAATACTATTTATATCTCATAATCAGATAAAATTTTCAATTTCAAATTTCAGATAAATTAAAAAAAAATTGGCTGGTATTTATAGAAAAAAATTCATTAATTTTTGGGTATTTTTTAAAAATTTTCAGAATTTTTTCCAATATTTTATTGCAAAAAAATTGGCTGCCGTTGGATTGGAGGAAAAAATCAGATTGGAGAGTTCAGACGACGCCACGTGGCAACAGAAAAATAAATAAATAAGGCAGTACTGTAGTGAGTACTGTAGTGGTACTGTAGCAGTGACGTCAGCCGCCCTCGTTTTGGACCTTGAGCTGAAGCTGCCTTTGGGCCAGCCCGAGTTGGTGAGTCCCACACCTCCCCCGGACCTGGACTGTCCGCTGGAACAACTTTTTTTTTTTTTTTTTTTTTTTTTTTTTTTTTCCTTGGCCAGCTCAGCTTGGGGTCAGCTGGACATGGCTTGCTTAAAGATTAAGGAATTGATGTGCTCTCTCTTTCACATCAGTGCAGCATGGCTGGCAATGGCATTAACAAAGTTGAAGGAAAAGGGCCCCAGTTTTGACTTGTCATTTTGTCTTTGCTGTTGCTTCGTTGGCTTTGTTTCTAGATTGATTCAGTGAAGCAAAAGGATTGAAAATCACCGTTCATCACAATAAGAAAGAAGAAAGTGTGTGACTTACGTTCTTTAGTTATTAAAAACGATGGAAATAATTAAGCATGGGATATAAGGACATGAGTTTGAAATTTGTCACACTCAGACTTTATGTCACATTTCTAGCTAGCTATTTAAACATTGTCGGCCACACCAACTGATCACTGATGAAAACAACGACACAACCCAAATGAGCCTTGAAGAAAATGTTTGATAGTCTATGATTTGTATTTTCTAGGGTTAGCAACTTAGCAGCATATATATGATTTTGTGCAGGGTTTAAAAGTGTTCAAAACGCATCCAATTTTGTCGTTTAGATTTATTCGCTGCAAAGAGTAGCTCAGTCTAGAGAGTAGGAAAAAAATGAAGATATATATGAATCAAATCAATTCCTGCATATATGGGAAGAGAAAAAGAAGAGAATTAAATTCACTTTTTTCTCCTCCCTAAAAGTTTATTAAAGACTAAACAATTGATGTGTTGTTCATCTCTCTCTCTCTCTCTCATGGTTGCATCCAATCATATATATATATATATATATATATATATATATATATATCATGTCATGGTACCTGACATCACTTGCTGATTTTATATTAAGAAAAATACAAAATCATAGTTGTACTAAGCTCAAACTCCAATTGCACACAAGTGTTTCTTTTGTTATGAGCGTTCAATCTTTATTTATATATCCATCTTTGCAAAAATATACCAATAACATGTCAATACGTTTTTATTGAGGCTAATAATGTCGATGGTATATCGACATTAAAATTAGAATCTGTGCAAAGCCAAATAATGACATTGATAACCATTTTTTAACCTAATATTATAAAGTTGTTGCCCCTATTTTTCAATGGCTATGGCCAAAAAGGAAAAATATATAATCATAACTGGAAGCTAGGAATTAAAAAAGCAAAGACAAATGTTTGTAATTAATTAACACAAGGGATATGTAGTTAATGGCTTGCACAGAATCTGATTCTTCTCTTTTTGCCAGATATATCGCACTTCTTTGTTCGATTACTTAACTCTCAAAGAAGGCTCAAACCATTAATTAACTCACCACAAACACCAAATTAAACACACCCTCAAGCTCAGCTCAGAAAAGAGAGAGAGAGAGAGAGAGAGAGAGAGAGAGAGAGAGAGGAGAGAGAGAGAGAGAGAGAGATAAGATGGCAAATCAGAAAACAGAGTGCCCAGAGGAGGTGGAGAAGTTGAAGCCACCTCAAGATCATCAACCAGCACAAACCAACATCGACAACAACACTGAGGAGCCATTGTTGGTGTTCAAGCCAAAACCTGGAACTGTAATTCCAGCAAGGAGGAGGTTAGTGAAGGCCATGCTGGTTCACCGTTTCATCCGAGTTTGCTCTGTTCGTCCTCCCACTTCTTCTGAGTCGAGGCCAAAATGAGCAACCTTACCTTGTTTATGCATAATTAGGTGGATGTAATATTGGAGTAAATGTACTCCTCTGGCTTAAATAAATTCTGTGATTCAGTTAAGTTGGTTTTGGAGATTTTAAGTGCAATCCAATCTAATTGAACCCAAAAAGAGAAAAACAATTGAAATTGGTTGAAATCTACTAGTCCAATTAAATTGGTTGCCATTTCCCTTAGTTTTCTGATTTCCGGCCTCTATGAAATTGGGCCCAGGTGGATATTTGTCCTCTTCGAAATTCTTTGTCATCAACTATATGGATGTTGAGGGACGTCCCATTTCCACCCCATTATTTCCTATCCTCTTCCAATCCCCAAACGATCCCAACCCAACTACCAGTCATATCATATATACAATGAGCGAACCGCAGGCTTCTTTTTTATTTTTAAGTTGGCCATGAAATTAATGAAATGGGAAGAAAGAACTTTCCTGCAATGTACACTCAAATCAAAAGTCATTTCTATGTGCTTGCCTTTTGGATTTCATCTACTTTTCATGTTTGTCAAGTGAAGCATGTGGAGGAGGGACAAACAAAACAACCATATATAACAGATCTTGAGGAACAAAGAAAGAAATTGGGAGTGCAAAGTTGATACTAACTTGGGTATATTTGCACTAAACCAATGCATAATAAATCAACTAACCAATGGGGGAGAGAGAGAGAGAGAGAGAGAGAGGGTTGCAAAATACATTGAATTGCAAAAAGAAAAGTCTGCCTTAGAGTGTGACCTTTGAGTGCATGTGTGCCACGCTACCGCCTCTTATATGATGCATATCATAGCGAACCAACATACACGCTGAAAACTAAGGGATGCGATGGCAATGGAGAAGAAACATTCAAAACAAGGGAAGGAGCGCAACAAGACATGGTTCTTCAAACCAAAATCTGGGAGTGTATTTCCGACAAAGAGGAGGTTGGTGAAAAGAATGGTTTTTTATCAAATAGTCCAATATTTTGGATCTCTACTTTCAGGCCCTAGTCCTTCTGCTACTTCACCTAGAGTTACCTCAGAAACCCACAAGGCCAAAGCATCAATTCAGACCAAGAACAGCAACAAAGTTTTACCCAATTGGTCACCATAGGTGGTGTTTTGCTTCAATGTTGTTCTAGTTTCTCTTTCAAACTATAATAACATTTTTTATGGTATACGATATAAGGGACTTATAGTTCAAGTAATTAAGTACAATTACTCATGCATTGAAGTCGTGTGTTCGAATCGCTTGTATCAAAAAAACACTTGTTTTTATGGCTTTTGAATTTTGTTGGCAACTTGTAGATTTGATGATTTAGTTAATTTGGATTAAATTTAATTGTGATTGATTGGAGAATAAGTCAGGCCAGAGAAAGATAGATATGCATAAAAATATATCAAGGTGAAGGTTAATTGGAAGAAGTCTCAAGCCACAGTCACCTTCTTCAACATTATTGGAACAGAATCACTCTCTTCAACTTTAAATAATTCTTAAAAACACAAATCCTCGCCGTCAAATAAAAACAGTTATTTGGTGAATTTATTATGATTGTTTGGTAAATTTCAAGGTGACTTACATGTGCAAGTTTACTTCTGTCTCGCCGTCTTTTTTTTTGGGGTTGAAAAGGCTTGAATTTCATTAAGTCTTGCCGTCTTGGACTTTAGATCTTTTTTTTCTTTTTTTCCGACCCAAACAAAAAAAGAAGAAGAGATTTTTCCTCCTTTTTAGCAAACATTTCATTTTCATGCCCCCCATGAACCTTCTTTGAACTAATGTTAATGTTATGAACAAGTGGAATGAATAAAATAATCAGAAGTGTCAGAGAAAAAGTATATACACAACAACAGTCGGCAAATTGAATTTGGTTTCTCCATGATATAATATGTATATATATATGCCTTCTTGGTTTGTTTATTTAAACAGAAAAACAAAACAAAAATTATACACTGAGAGAGAGAGATGGAAGTGGAGAAAAATTCAAAAACAGAGCAGCCACACTGCTTCAGGCCAAAAGCATCTGGTGGGGGGGGGGACTGCGAGTGTAATTCCAGCCAAGAGGAGATCAGTGAAGAGAATGATTTTTTATGATTTTGTCAAGTTTATCTGTTCTGTTTGCAAAACCAACCAGAAGCCTAAACCACCGAACACCAAGAAGAAGACTGTGTTCATCATCAGCAACCACATCTACCCAAGCCCACCATAGCTTGTAAGTCTTATACATGTGATATGAAAAGTGTAATTTTCTGTAATTCTTGTATGGCTTTCAATACTGAATAGAAGAATATGATGTGATATATTATTATGTGCTTTCTTTTGCTGGGGTCTGGTTTAATTTCTTGCTGCTAATGATTAATTCCTGGTTAGATTCTTCTGGTTTGTGATGGATTTTGTGGGGATTGATGATGATGGTTAGTTTGTTTCTTCATTTAATTTTGTGTGTGTGTGTTGAAGACCAAGTTTAAAAGGAAACTTCACATTGATCAGTTTAAAACATATCAAAAATGAAGAAAACAGAGAAAGCTCTGGCCTCTACTTTCAAGTAGTTCAACATTTTGGGTCTCTACTTTCAGGCCCTAGCCCTCCTTCTACTTCAGCTGCTGGAGTTAGCTCAGAAACCCACAAGGCCGAAGCATCAATTCAGGCCAAGAACAGCAACAAAGTTTTACCCAATTGATCGCTGTAGTTGCTGTTTTGCTTCAATGTTATTCTAGTTTCCCTTTCGAACCTCAATATTTAATGTTATTATAACACTTTTTATGGTATACTGTATAAAAAGCTTAGAGTTCAAGTGATTAAATATAATTACTCATGCATTGAATTCGTGTGTTGTATAAAAAAAACACTTTTTTATGGCTTTTGAATTTGTTGGCAACTTGTAGATTTGATGATTTAGTTAATTTGGATTAAGTTAATTTGAATGTAAAAAAACGAAATCATTGCCCTAGTAAACTAATCTAACCCATGTCTCTCACCTAACTCATAATTTAAACAAGAAATTCCTTGCTTAGTATTCAAATTTGTGTCACATGAGTAAATTAATTAACATGAAGGGACAAAAAATCCAAGTGTCCAGTAGCTAAAACTGCTATAGATGCTTCCAGAGCCTTCTTTCTTCAACCGTTAAATGGGTAACGGAACGGCGGAACGGTCATATTTTCTTATTCATCTTTGTGGCCGTGTGTGTAATTTAATATGATTGTTTGGTAAATTTCAAGGTGATTCACATGTACAAGTTTATTTCGGTCTCGCCGTCTTTCTTTTTGTTTGGTTGAAAAAAGATTGAATCTCGTCAAGTGTTTGCCCTCTTGGACTTTAAACTTTTTTTTTATTCAAAGAATCTTGGACTTTAGACTTTAATATGCATTGAAAAATAAATAAATAATAATTATTCTTACCACGAAACTTCCCAAGGTTCTTACTCACAATTTCTATCACTACTATATTAAATTATCAACCGTCAAGTGCGAATTTTCAGTACACGTGGTTGACATTAAACACACATCAGCCGCAATCAGCAGTCGCCTGCAAAATTATGTGTCCATGCATTCTCATGAACAAAGATCTGTTCCCTCCATTTTTGCAAACATGTCATTTTCATGCCCCCAATGAAACGTCACAGCGTGACATGGGAAGGTTCTCTAACTTATTGATTCGTCACCTCTAATCATGAACCGAACTTTAATCTTTGGAATTAATGTTATCAACAAGTGGAACGAATAAAATAATGAGAAATGTTAGAGAAAGCTTAAACGTGAAAAAGCATGTGTGGTTTTTGGCAACAATAGTCCACAAATTGAATTTGGTTTCTCCATGATATAATATATAAAGCAAAGGGAAAAGAACATCGTAAATGTCTCTTGCCTTTTTGGTTTCTTTATTTAAACACAAAAATATTACACACTGAGACAAAGATATATGGCAATGGAGGAATATTCAAAAACAGAGCAGCCACATTGCTTCAAGCCAAAAGCATCTGGTGGGGGGACTGCGAGTTAAGAGAATCATTTTTTGATGATTTTGTCAAGTTTTTCTGTTCAGTTTTCAAAACCACCCAACACCAAGAAGAAGATTGTGTTCATCATCGGCAACCACATCTACCCAAGCCCACCATAGCTTATAATTCTTATACATGAGATATGGAAAATGTAATTTTCTGTGATTCTTGTATGGCTTTCAATACTGAATGGAAGAATATGATGTGATATATTATGTGCTTTCTTTTGCTGGGGTCTGGTTTAATTTCTTGCTGCTAATGATTAATTCCTGGTTAGATTCTTCTGGCTTGTGATGGGTTTTGTGGGGATTGATGATGATGGGTTAGTTTGTGTCTTCGCTTTAAATTAGTATTGCCACCAATTGCCATGGCAAAGTGCAATTAGTATTCATTTTAAATTATTTATATTTTTTATACACAAACGATTAATTTTGATATGGTTTAAGATTTTGGTGTGTGAAGTGAAGTAAAGAATATGACTAGGTATTTATAAAATAAATAAATAAATTTAATTTTTTTGGTTTTCTTTTATTTTTTTAAATTAATTTTTAATTAATTTAATTGGCTACTGATATCAGCATTACATCACTTGCCCAAACAACAGCGCGTGCTGAATTTGCCTGTGGGCTTGCTCGGTTTACTGGGTCCACCTAAAGGCCTTATCCTATCTGTGTTTTGAGGGGACCCCAATATTGGGCCGTTTCCAGTTTTTATTATTACAGTTTTTTATAGGACTTTTTATTTTATGTTAAAGTTATTCCCCAAAATCCGAAACCGTCCAACCCTTAAATTGGGCTACGACATGGTCATTGACATTGTTAATTACAAAAATCACATGTCAAAGAAGAAATTGTACTACTAAATTAATTCATTCCAAGGAACATACAAAGCAAGCTTTAGCTAAGGAAGAAACTACTAACACCAATTTAAAATTAACATAATATAATTATGGACTATATTTAAAAGAAGGCAAATATATAGGTTTATTTTTATTTTTATCCCAAAAAACCTCACTGGACTATAACCCATTGTAGCCCTTGTGGTGGTGCCACGTCATTTTTGGGTGGTGGGAGACTTCCTTTTGCATCTTCGTAATTATCTTCATCTTCTTCCATCTTAGGAGCCAAATGTCCTTTTTTAACGATGCAGTCCAGTGTCTTTTTTAAGCCATTTTCTTTCACAACATGCATAGCTTGCTTAAACCCTTCGCGATAAGCTTCATCTGAATCGATTTTCTTAAGATTTGCATAATATTTATTCAAATCTTTTGTAAACTGAAGTTGCTCATCGGTTTTATTGTATGAGGAGTACTTAAAACCTGTAGAACAAAACCATTTCCCATACATGTGTGACATTACTTGGCAAATACCTTCTTCTACCAATCTTTCCGGTTTCCTATCACCAATTAGACCTACAAAAAGCACTCATTATTGAAAAAAAAAAACATAAGAACACAGAAATAGAGAGTTTCATACAATATTATACAAAAACCTATTAGACCCAACAAAAATTTAAAGCAATCTTGAGGGTAGGCATAAGTTTAAAACTTTTTATTTTTCTCATGCAAATTATTTGTAGTGAATAATAAAGCCTAAATCTAGATTCAAACCTTGAAACCTCAACCACTTATGCATCATCTCATGTGCCAACGTCATGCCCATGAGCACACTGTAATTAAGGAAGACAAAACGTTAGAGTTATTTTTAAAAAAATTTATAATTAAAAAAAGAGTATGATTGCTTTATAGACTACAATTGAATTTTGCAAAATCCCTCAGTGACGTACTCCGGCCGTGCGAATAGAAGTAAAAGTTTATTGTCTTTGTTGCTGCCGAAAAGTGCTGCAAAACTTTCGGCCATGGTTAGTTTGTTGGCTTTTTTCTCCACTTCAATTCTGTCTTCGTATTTTGTACATCTACTAATCTGATGCAAAATCAAACACGAAAGATTATCACACGAGTTTATTACCAATATAGTTTATATAGCTAAATACTTTATTAAAGAAGGAAAATAATTAACTCCGGAGTGGATGAAAATCTTACCGTCACGATAGGCTTGAAATCCAAGATATTGGTGGCTAAGCCAATTATGTCCCGATGCATCTAAATTAAGAACATAAAATAAGAACTTGATAATTTTTCTAATAACATAAAAGCCAAAAACAAGTTTTGGAAAATTGCTCGATGAATTAGCTATCTTTTACTACATTTTGTTGAGACTTTTCATCTTGCTTGCAGAGTAAGTGAAACTTATGTACTTTCTTTTCTCTATCTATTTTTGTTCCAAATTCTCACCTCATAATTTCTTTTGCGAACTCTGCTCATCTCATCTTTATCCACCAATAAAATAGGAATGTCTTCATCCAAATTGAGATTTAAACCTGTATAAAATCTACGCACGTTTTCAAAAATATGTTTCTCGCATTCCTTTGGATCCGCGATAGTAATAGAATAGCAATCTAAGCAAAGGTTTCGCCCGTGGCCAAGATCCACATATTTTATTTCTGGTTGCTGCATGATATAAATAAGAAATTAGACAAGTTAAACGCAAAAGTTCCCAAAAAACAATATATATATATATATATATAATTATGTGAGGAATAAAATTAATGTGTTTCCGCAAACCTTCAATCTGTGGCAAGTGCTACACCTCAGAGTCCCATCTTTGTAATGTTCCACACAACATCTTTGGCCCCAGAATTTATTATGCAACACGGCTTCATTCTTTTGAAAGAAAAAAAAAGATGCTTATTAGATTAAGATAACTAAAAATATATAACGATCACATTATTCTATTTACAAAACGAACTAAATTGAAATTTGCATATAATTACATTAACATGTTATGAAAATTATGTGGTCGAGTTGCATGCCGATCGATCGAGATCTGACTTGAGGAGCTCTTCAAATTTTTGTCTAATCTTAAACATGAACAAAACAAAATAACACAATAAGATAAAGCACTGTACTTACATACTGGTGACAAATATCACATATGTTTGCATAGCTATTGACTTTCTTTCTTGTGAATTCTTGATTCATGACTTCAGTTAATGCAAAGAGGGCTGAATCTCGATGGGTGAAGGAATTGTGTCTGATCGATGAAATAACTGTAAATTAGTCTTGTAGGCATGTCTTTTGGAGTGGAGAGCCATCTTTATATAGATGTGGGTAACTAGGATTCCTGAAGAGAATAGGAAGAGAAAAGGGATATTTTGTTTGCCTTTCCCCTTTTGAAAGGTTTCAGTGCACCCGGATTGGGTACGTGTCGCATACTCAACGAAGCAAAGCACTTTCGGGAATCTCTTAAGACTTTCTCGGAATTCAAACACTCTCTACTCGAGTTTCAGCCCTCTTCTGTGAGGTTCGCCGGATCTATGATTAGTCTTTTATTATATATTCACGTGTATTGATTGTCTTGTATGAGTAAACTTGAAATATCAAAGCTGAAAATTAATTCCATCTATAATTTCTGTGTAACTGGTTTACTTTTATGTTTCTTGTGCAGATATGGTTAAAAATAAAGGCTTCCTGCCATCAGGGCATTTTGAGATTTCTTTTCAACGTAATCAAATAAAGGAAATTATATACTCTTCACTGTAAACTCTATTACTGACTGCACACGATAGAACACACATCAAGAATACACAAGAGCATATTTCCTTAATCCGATTCCTTCATACACTTATTCTAGATGGGGTGAATTCTTTTGTGTGGGTTGGCCTGATCAGTTGATCAGGGTCACTTATAATTTACATGCATTTACCTAAGAGTCTTGCCCATCAAGAAACTCTTTAAGAAGTCCTTATTGCATTAGGTTTATAACACCTAATCCACTATTAAGATAGGAATCATTCTAGCTCTTATATTAGCCTTAAAACACTAACTTTAATAGAGCTGCAGGTTTGGTTGTATTTGAACTCCTAATTGGTATCAAGTCTTAGAATCCTTTGATGATAATAAGACCACACTTTAATGGGTTAGACATCTACACATCTAACATTTACTTCTTCCAGCTTGCAAAGAGCCTGATATGGATTCTGGCATCCCTTTTAAAGCTGAGGCAATAATTGCAAGTCCCCCAGCATATGGTTAGCCCTCGTGTGGGTAATGGAATCTGCATCTTTTCAATGTTTTTTCATTGTTGTCATTCTATAAAGTTTAAATATGCATTGTGTATGTTTTACCTTTTCCTAACCTAGCTCACAATTGCGTATTTGGATACACATATCATTTACAACATCTTGAAAGGAGAACAGTGTTTTCGACCTCCTTAATTATTTGTGCCGTATTAATGTGATTATGCAATTGGATTGGTGTAAAAAGACACCTGCATTGCTTCATTGATAAAACGTGAGTGGTTTTTTTTATTTTCAATTTGATTATCTTAAACTAATAAGCCGCTCCCTCCCCCCTCCCCAACACACCACCAGAAAACCATTTCCAGCAGCCCCCTAGGGCGCGGGTGGAAGAGCCCAAAACGCAATTCCAGCAACAAAGGCTGGCCGGGCAGGGTGGGGTCCACGTGCCTGGGCTGGCCCGAAGGCGGAGGGAGCCTGAGGGCGCGGCTGACGTCATCGCTAATGCCAGCGTGACGTCAACACGCGGTTTTAAAAATTTTTTACTGTTGGCGCATACAATGCATGCACCATCGTTAAAAAAAATTCAAACTCGCGCGTCAGCTTTTCCCCCAACGAATCTGTGCGACGTGGCGCTCTGTGGTCCTTCCGATTTCGCCTTGTCATCCAATCCAATGGCCTGACATTTTTCAAGGCAAAAAATTATGAAAAAAAATCGTAAAATTTTTATAAAAAACCCCAAAAAAAATTGATTTTTTTTTTTTTTTTTTTTTTTTTTTTTTTTTTTTTTTGCAATTGGATTGGTAAAAAGACACCTGCATTGCTTCATTGATAAAATGTGAGTGGTTTTTTTATTTTCAATTTGATTATCTTAAACTAATAAGCTGCTTCTCACCCCACACCCAAACCCCCCACCCAAAATTATCTATGCATAGTAGTAACATGTTGATTATACATATCCTTGTGTATAGACGTCCAGTGATTATACACACCACAATGACTAGAAACTTTTATAAACTTGAATGCTTACAACTTTGACAGGTTCATAGGTTGTCTCAAGGTACTTCAGAATCATCTTGGGTTTAAGTCAATTGTTCTGCATGTGAACCTGCTGTTGTTGTGCATGTCGTCGAGATCCCACTACCATCTCCCATGGAACAATGAGTTCCCAAAGAGAAGATCAAGACCTAACTTTTTTTGTTTTTGGGTTTAAGCAATTTAGAGCAATACTTCTCATATTTATTCTTTTTTTGTCGACAATTTTTCATTTTCTGTAAAAATTCAGTGTGGGCTGCATCTGATGTGCTTTTGGTGGGAACAAGGTCAGGGTCCTCATTGTGTTTTTGTGAAGACTCGTATTTTAAATGAATAAAAGAAGATATTTATATTTTGAATAAACTTGGACGATATTATCTTTTTAAGATATTTATCTTTTGGATAAACTTGGATGTTCTTATCCTTTTAATATTGAAGTTTATCCTATCCTTATAACTACTATAAATAGGAGCATAACCTTATAGTTTCAAAACATAAGAAATTAGAGAGAGAGAGAGAGAGAGAGAGGAGAGAGAGAGAGAGAGAGAGAGAGAGAGAGAGAGAGAGGGCTAGTTGTGATATAGTTCTTGGAGGAGTACATGTCCTAGCTTGTGTATTTTCTTAACTTGGATTATGCTTTGGAATCGAGGTAGGGGTTTCTTGGGAGACTTTACAGGGATTGATCTAATTAAATTTCGTGAGCTCTATATTATGTGTGATATTGTATAATGTTCTTGATATACTATATTTACGTATTGTGAACTATTTGAATAATGTTGGCATAATTATATCATATCATGGTAATTGGTTGGAGTTGTTGGGTGGAGAAGATAATAATGGAAAAGAGTGTAATGGATAAGGATCTTTTGTGTAGTTGAGTCTAACTCTTGGCAGGTACCAGGTCTCAAGGATCCCACAATGCACATTATTTTTATTGGGTGATTCGGGACTTGCGAAGGGGAGTTAGACAAGATGACTAACAAAAGGGGAATTACGGGATGATTGAAATGAGTGTTAGTTCATATAAATGGGCATTCGGGACCAAGTGGTATAAGCATGGTATGTGACGTGCAGGTCTGCTTGTCCAGTTATATGAATTAACGGGAATAGATGAAGAGCATTCATTCATGCATTATTATTAATAATGTGATTGCATGTCACTTAATTTAGTTATATCAATCTACTGTGGTAAGGTCTCATGTTCCTACTGAGCTGTGGTTGCTCACTCCTCATCCTGTTTAATTTTTTCAGATGAATTAGTGGGCAAGAAAATGACTAAACCAGTTAAGGCTGAATTAGATGAGAGTGATAGAGCTTTATTTATTTATTGTAAAGTTGTAAGATTTTAAAGCTATTTTTATAAGAGAATTTTATTTTAAACCATGTTTCGGCTTCTTTTCTTTTTATTTATTTTATTTTTTACTTTCTCACGCACCGAGCGCGGGGTTTCCACTGACCCTCGGGTCCGGGGCGTGACAGTTTTTTTTCAATCACAACTACTACCCCAGCCTGCTTAAATTCTGGAAAAAAAAATATATATTTCTACATTAGATTGATCCTAAGATCCTCAAACCGATCTACGCCAACATGACGTATCCAACATAAGTTAATATCCTAAAAAGTAATAATAATAATCACATCTTCTCTTCTTCCTCATCTTCTTACTTCGAATTTGTACAGACATGTGGCAGACATCTTGCTGCAACGATATGATCCAGTGTCGTTTGGAAGCCATATTCCTCAACAACCTGCATTACCTGGTTGAACCCTTTTCCATAAATTTCATCGGAACGGTTTTTCATACGTTCTGCTCTATACTGGTACAAATTTATTGTGAAATTAAAATGCTCTTCAGTTTTGTATGAATAGTCAAAACCCCTTGAACAATACCATTGCCCATATTTTGGTTTGAATATGGATTTAGGCTTCTCCTTGTTAATGTGCAAAATGGTAAACTGATTTAGTATGTAATTGCTAGTTTAGTGTTATACTTAGCTCATATGCTAAGTTGTCTATAATAGTCAAACGGTTTGTTAAGTCTCATAGGACTTGACTGGATAGGTGTCATAATCTTTCTAATAGTGTAGTTGGATGGTTGAGATTGAAGCTAGGATTTGTCTAGCTCTCTCTCTCTCACTTCTAACAGTAATATGAGCTGTGAGTGATACAGCTCAATATACCCAACGAAATACAAAAGTTTTATAAAGCATTTTATTTCATTCACTATCTTCTTCAATATACCCATTCATCCATTTTTATCATAAGCTTATTAAACACTAACATGGCCTCAGAGCCAGGTTGGGTCTGAATTTCTGGGTGTTGTGACTGTGAGGTTGGGTTCAAATCTATGAGCAAAAGCTCATTGTGTGATTCTTGAGCTCAAATCAGTAATCTAGACCAACATGTCTGGATCTGGAGGAGGAGAACTCAGGGCACCCATTTTTAATGGTGAAAATTTCGATTTCTGGCAAATCAAAATGAAAACCATCTTCTGTTCGCACGAGTTGTGGGATCTAGTGGAGAATGGGTACAAAACTCCGACGAAGGAGGCGGAGGAGCTCACGGAAGCAGAGAGGAAGCTGATGCGTGAGAACTTGGTGAAGGACGCTAGAGCTCTGGGTATCATCCAAGGGGCTATATCAAATCAAATTTTTCTACGAACTGCAACTCAAGAATCTGCAAAGGCTGCGTGGGATATTTTGAAACAAGTAGGTAAGATCCGTGAAACTTTAGGGTCTTAGGCGTGATTTTGAATATACTCGGATGAGTGATAATGAATCTTTGTTTGGATATATTGCTAAGTTGTTTGATCTGATCAACCAAATGAAGAGCTATGGTGAGGATCTGAGCAATCAACAAATTGTTCAGAAACTACTAATTAGTCTGCCTAAGTCCTATGATAGTATTGCAGCTGTGATAGAGAATACAAAGGATTTAGACACTATTGATGCTCAGGATGTTGTTGCTATTTTAAAAACAGAGGCGTGATAGGCATGGTGACAATAGTGCAGAGAAGGCTTTTGCTAGCTTCAACGTTGGATCAAAGGCAGCACGGTCTAATGGTCACACCAGTAAGTCTCAGAAGAATGCCAAACCACAAGGGCAACAATGGGGCAAAAAGGGTGATGGAGGTAATAAGTCTAATTCATCTATGAAAAATGAGACAGACAACACTGGAAATAAATGCAAATTCTGTGATAAATTGCACTATGGAGAGTGTTGGTTTAAGAACAAGGTCAAGTGTCACAAGTGCAACAAAATTGGGCATATTGCAAAATATTGTTATACAAACAAGGTTGTGTAGCAGGTGAACTTTGCTAATCAGGTTGAAGAAACTGGAAACTTATTTTTTGCTAATCATTCTGGAGAAGTAAAGAAGATGAGTGATGAATGGTACATAGATAGTGGATGTAGCAATCATATGACATCTATGGAAGACTTGCTTGTAGACATTGACAGAGGAGTGAAAGCAAAGGTTCAAGTAGGCAATGGAGTTTTGGTTGAAGTGGCAGGAAAAGGGACACTGATCATTGAAACAATGAAGGGTAAGATGTATATAAAGGAGGTTATGCTTGTACCTAGTCTAGTTGAAAATTTGCTAAGTGTAGGACATATGACAGAGCATGTCCATTTTCTTGTATTTAGAGATCACAAGGTTGACATCTTCAATGATAGTTCCTTAAGTAACATGGTGGTAAGTGTAAAGCAAAAGGGGAAAATGTGTTTTCCTTTAACTTTCAACACAATCAAGGAGGTTACCTTGAAAACAAATGTGCAAGAATGCTCCAAGATATGGCACAAGAGGTTTGGGCACTTAAACTTTCGAAGTCTCAAGCTGCTGCAAAGCCAAGCAATGGTATTGGGGCTGCCTGAAATCCAAAATGGTGAAGTGTTGTGCCACGGTTGTGTATTGGGGAAGGGTCATAGGGAGCCATTTCCTAAGGAATCAAAGTGGAGAGCCAATGAGCCATTAGAACTGATTCATTCAGACTTGTGTGGTCCAATGCAAACAGCAAGCCCAAGTGGAAATAAATATTTTATCACATTCATAGGTGATTTTTCAAGGATGTGCTGGGTTTATTTTCTGAGAAACAAGTCCGAGACATTCCATGTGTTCAAGAAATTCAAAGTAATGGTGGAGCTTCAATCCGGATACCATGTGAAGAGGTTGAGGACTGATCGGGATGAGAATTAATCTCAACTGATTTTCTTTAGTTTTGTGAAAATCTGGGAATAGAAAGGCAGCTCACAGTAGCTTATTCTCCACAGCAAAATGGCGTTGCGGAGAGGAAAAACAGAACCATTGTAGAAATGGCAAAGTGCATGATTCATGACAAGGAGCTTCCTTACACGCTTTGGTGTGAGCCAGTGAATACCTCTGTGTATTTACTTAATAGAAGTCCAACCCGAGCTTTGGAGAATACTACACCTTTTAAGAATTTTAGTGGGAGAAAGCCTGGCGTTAAACATTTCAAGGTGTTTGGCTTGGTGTGTCACTCACTTATTCCTGGAAAGTTAAGGCATAAGCTAGAAGCAACAAGTGCCATAGGAGTTTTTATTGGATATGGTACATGTGAGAATGGATACAGAATATTGAATCTTGCAACTCAGAAGGTTTTTTTCTCAAGGGATGTGGTTTTTGATGAGCATGGCAAATGGGACTGGGAGCAACACAAAGTGAAAGAAATCTGCATTCCACTTCCTGCGGATGAAATGTCAGATATGAGAACAACTGAATCAGAAGAAGAACCTGCTTTCCAAGAACTTGAAATAGAAGAAGAACCTGCAGATGATCCCTCGATTGATGACACACCTTTGAGGTACAGAAATCTGAGTGAGATCTATGCAAGTTGCCATTCATGCATAGTGGAGCCTGAGAACTTTGATGAAGCTGCACAGGATGAAGCTTGGAAGAAGGCAATGGAAAATGAGATGAACATGATTGAGAAGAATCAGACGTGGGAATTGGTAAATAGACCTTTCAACAAACCTATAATTGGAGTAAAATGGGTGTACAAGAATAAGTTGAACTTGGATGGTTCAGTTCAAAAGCATAAAGCTAGACTAGTTGCAAAGGGCTATGCACAAAAGCCCGGAATAGACTATAATGAAACCTCTGCACCAGTGGCAAGGTTGGATACTGTATGAACTATCATTGCCTTGGCTGCAAAGTAGTTGGAAAATGTATCAATTAGATGTGAAATCAGCTTTTCTGAATGGAGTGCTTCAAGAGGAGGTGAGCAGCTCGATGATTTTATTGTGCAAGGAGAAGAGAATAAAGTGTATAAATTGCACAAAGTCTTATATGGCTTGAAACAGGCTCCTAGAGCCTGGTATGGAGAAATAGACTCTTATCTCGTGCAATGTGGTTTTAAAAGGAGCACAAGTGAGGCAACATTATATGTTAAAGGCAGGGGAACCTCGGATTTGGTCATACTATCTATCTATATGGATGATATAGTTTATACAGGGAATTCTCAAGAGCTAATGCAAAATTTCAAGACTGATATGATGTAGAGGTATGAGATGACAGATTTGGGTTTGCTACATCACTTTCTAGGAATGAGAATTATCCAAAGTGAAGACTACATTTTCATACACCAGAAGAAATATGCTTTCACACTTTTGAAAAGGTTTGGTCTGCAGGATTGTAAATCGGTTGGTATTCCTGTTGTACCAGCTGATAAATTGAAGAGAGATAGTGAAAGTGGAGCTGCAAATGAAGCTGAATACAGAAAACTAGTGGGAAGTCTACTCTACCTCACTGCAACTAGGCCGGATATTATGTATGTTGTTTGTCTATTGGGTAGATTTATGCATTCCCCCACAAATAAACATTATGGAATTGCCAAGAGGATACTAAGGTATGTTCAGGGTACACTTGACTTTGGTTTGGAATATAAGAAATGAGAAGGATCGGTTTTGGTAGGCTTCTGTGACAGTGACTGGTTTGGATTAGAAGATGATATGAATAGTACATCAGGATATGCTTTTACATTTGGTCGTGGAGTATTCTCTTGGGCATATGTGAAGCAACAATGTGTTGCTATATCCACAGCTGAAGCAGAATATGTAAGGGCATCAGAGGCAACTGCACAAGCTACTTGGTTACGGTTTGTGTTAGAAGATTTTGGTGAAATGCAAACTGTGGCAACACCCCTAAACTGTGATAACACCTCAGCCATTGCTATCCCCAAGAATCTGATCTTTCATCAGAAAACCAAACACATAAACCGAAGGTATCACAACATCAAAGAAGCTCTACAACAGGGTGTAATCAACTTGATTCATTGTCCTAAAATGGAGCAAGTAGCTGACATCTTCACTAAGACTTTGGCAAGAGAACAATTCGCTTATCTTAGAGAATCGCTTGGGGTGAAATCAGTTCACAATTTGAAGGGGAGTGTTAATGTGCAAAATGGTAAACTGATTTAGTATGTAATTGCTGGTTTAGTGTTATACTTAGCTCATAAGCTAAGCTGTCTATAATAGTCAAACGGTTTGTTAAGTCTCATAGGACTTGACTGGACAGGTGTCATAATCTTACTAATAGTGTAGTTGGATGGTTGACATTAAAGCTAGGATTTGCCTAGCTCTCTCTCTCACTTCTAATAGTAATATGAGCTGTGAGTGATACACCTCAATATACCCAACGAAATACAAAAGTTTTATAGAGCATTTTATTTCCTTCACTCTCTTCTTCAATATACCCATTCCTCCATTTTTATCAGAAGCTTATTAAACACTAACACTCCTTGGTCACTCACTGTTCCATGGGAGATGGCGGTGGGATAGGGACATCATGCAGAAGAGATGGTGGTGGGCTCGGGTAGATTTCATCTTCATTTTCTTCTTTTTTGTTTGACCCACCCAGCTCCACATCGCTCAACTGTGATTCCACATCGCTCAGCTGTCGTGGAAGAGTTCCTTCATCACTCTTCATAATGGATTTGATGCACAAATACATCATCCAAACAATCAAGGCTCCAATCCAAAAGGAAAAAAAGATAATGGCTCTTATTTTTTTCATGGCTACGAAAAGGAAGGTAAATGAGTACTAAAGCAAAACAAATATATAAAAGGAAAACAAGAACCGAACCCCAAGTTGAGTTGAGAGAGAGTTGTTCCTCCAAAGAGTGGTTGTTTGTTTGGGAAATGAGGGAGAGAAACAATACCACCACTTGTTATTTGCACAAATAAAGATGAGATCTACTCACTGTTCCATGGGAGATGGTGGTGGGACAGGGACATCATGCAGAAGAGATGGTGGTGGGCTAGGGTAGATCTCATCTTCATTTTCTTCTCTTATGTTTGACCCACTCAGCTCCACATCACTCAACTGTGATTCCACATCGCTCAGCTGTGGTGGAGGAGTTCCTTCCTCACTCTTCATAATGGATTTGATGCACCAATACATCATCCAAACAATCAAGGCTCCAATCCAAAAGGAAGAAAAGATAATGGCTCTTGTTTTTTTCATGGCTACGAAAAGAAAGGTAAATGAGTACTAAACCAAAACAAAGATATAAAAGGAAAACAAGAACCGAACCCCAAGATAAGTTAAGAGAGAGTTGTTCCTCCAAAGAGTGGGTGTGCGTTTGGGAAATGAGGGAGAGAAACGATACCACCACTTGTTATTTCCACAAATGAAGATGTGATCTACTCACTGTTCCATGGGAGATGGTGGTGGGATAGGGACATCATGCAGAAAAGATAGTGGTGGGCTCGGGTAGATCTCATCTTCATTTTCTTCTCTTCCGTTTGACCCACTCAGCTCCACATCGCTCACTTGTGATACAACATCGCTCAGCTGTGGTGGAGGGGTTCCTTCATCACTCTTCATAATGGATTTGATGCACAAATACATCATCCAAACAATCAAGGCTCCAATCCAAAAGGAAAAAAAGATCCTGGCTCTTGTTTTTTTCATGGCTACGAAAAGGAAGGTAAATGAGTACTAAAGCAAAACAAAGATATAAAAGGAAAACAAGAACCAAACCCCAAGTTGAGTTGAGAGATTGTTGTTCCTCCAAAGAGTGGGTGTTTGTTTGGGAAATGAGGGAGAGAAATAATACCACCACTTGTTATTTGCACAAATGAAGATGAGATCTAATCACTGTTCCATGGGAGATGGTGGTGGGATAGGGACATCAAGCAGAAGAGATGGTGGTTGGCTTAGGTAGATCTCATCTTCATTTCCTTCTCTTTTGTTTGACCCACTCAGCTCCACATCGCTCAACTGTGATTCAACATCGCTCAGCTGTGGTGGGGGAGTTCCTTCATCGCTCTTCATAATGGATTTGATGTACAAATACATCATCCAAACAATCAAGGCTCCAATCCAAAAGGAAAAAAAGATCATGGCTCTTGTTTTTTTCACGGCTACGAAAAGGAAGGTAAATGAGTACTAAACCAAAACAAAGATATAAAAGGAAAACAAGAACCGAACCCGAGTTGAGAGATTGTTGTTCCTCCAATGAGTGGGTGTTTGTTCGGGAAATGAGGGAGAGAAACAATACCACCACTTGTTATTTGCACAAATGAAGATGAGATCTACTCACTGTTCCATGGGAGATGGTGGTGGGATAAGGACATCATGCAGAAGAGATGGTGGTCGGCTTGGGTAGATCTCATCTTCATTTTCTTCTCTTTTGTTTGACCCACTCAGTTCCACATCGCTCAACTGTGATTCAACATCGCTCAGCTGTGGTGGAGGAGTTCCTTCATCGCTCTTCATAATCGATTTGATGCACAAATACATCATCCAAACAATCAAGGCTCCAATCCAAAAGGAAAAAAAGATCATCGCTCTTGTTTTTTTCATGGCTACGAAAAGAAAGGTAACTGAGTACTAAAGCAAAACAAAGATATAAAAGGAAAACAAGAACAGAACCCCAAGTTGAGTTGAGAGAGAGTTGTTCCTCCAAAGAGTGGGTGTGTGTTTGTGAAATGTGGGAGAGAAACAATACCACCACTTGTTATTTGCACAAATGAATATGAGATCTACTTACTGTTCCATGGGAGATGGTGGTGGGATAGGGACATCATGTAGAAGAGATGGTGGTGGGCTCGGGTAGATCTCATCTTCATTTTCTTCTCTTCCGTTTGACCCACTCAACTCCACATCGCTCAACTGTGATTCCACATCGCTCAGCTGTCGTGGAGGAGTTCCTTCATCACTCTTCATAATGGATTTGAGGCAAAAATACATCATCCAAACAATCAAGGCTCCAATCCAAAAGGAAAAAAAGATCATGGCTCTTGTTTTTTTCATGGCTACGAAAAGAAAGGTAAATGAGTACTAAAGCAAAACAAAGATATAAAAGGAAAACAAGAACCGAACCCCAAGTTGAGTTGAGAGATTGTTGTTCCTCCAAAGAGTGGGTGTTTGTTTGGGAAATGAGGGAGAGAAACAATACCACCACTTGTTATTTGCACAAATGAAGATGAGATCTAATCACTGTTCCATGGGAGATGGTGGTGGGATAGGGACATCATGCATAAGAGATGGTGGTTGGCTTGAGTAGATCTCATCTTCATTTCCTTCTCTTTTGTTTGACCCACTCAGCTCCACATCGCTCAACTGTGATTCAACATCGCTCAGCTGTGGTGGGGGAGTTCCTTCATCGCTCTTCATAATGGATTTGATGTACAAATACATCATCCAAACAATCAAGGCTCCAATCCAAAAGGAAAAAAATATCATGGCTCTTGTTTTTTTCATGGCTACGAAAAGGAAGGTAAATGAGTACTAAAGCAAAACAAAGATATAAAAGGAAAACAAGAACCGAACCCCAAGTTGAGTTGAGAGATTGTTGTTCATCCAAAGAGTGGGTGTTTGTTTGGGAAATGGGGGAGAGAAACAATACCACCACTTGTTATTTGCACAAATGAAGATGAGATCTACTCACTGTTCCATGGGAGATGGTGGTGGGATAGGGACATCATGCAGAAGAGATGATGGTTGGCTTGGGTAGATCTCATCTTTATTTTCTTCTCTTTTGTTTGACCCACTCAGCTCCACATCGCTCAACTGTGATTCAACTTCGCTCAGCTGTGGTGGAGGAGTTCCTTCATCGCTCTTCATAATCGATTTGATGCACAAATACATCATCCAAACAATCAAGGCTCCAATCCAAAAGGAAAAAAAGATCATGGCTCTTGTTTTTTTCACGGCTACGAAAAGGAAGGTAAATGAGTACTAAACCAAAACAAAGATATAAAAGGAAAACAAGAACCGAACCCCAAGTTGAGTTCAGAGATTGTTGTTCCTCTAAAGAGTGGGTGTTTGTTTGGGAAATGAGGGAGAGAAACAATACCACCACTTGTTATTTGCACAAATGAAGATGAGATCTACTCACTGTTCCATGGGAGATGGTGGTGGGATAGGGACATCATGCAGAAGAGATGGTGGTCGGCTTGGGTAGATCTCATCTTCATTTTCTTCTCTTTTGTTTGACCCACTCAGTTCCACATCGCTCAACTGTGATTCAACATCGCTCAGCTGTGGTGGAGGAGTTCCTTCATCGCTCTTCATAATCGATTTGATGCACAAATACATCATCCAAACAATCAAGGCTCCAATCCAAAAGGAAAAAAAGATCATCGCTCTTGTTTTTTTCATGGCTACGAAAAGGAAGGTAAATGAGTACTAAACGAAAACAAAGATATAAAAGGAAAACAAGAATCGAACCCCAAGTTGAGTTCAGAGATTGTTGTTCCTCCAAAGAGTGGGTGTTTGTTTGGGAAATGAGGGAGAGAAACAATACCACCACTTGTTATTTGCACAAATGAAGATGAGATCTAATCACTGTTCCATGGGAGATGGTGGTGGGATAGGGACATCATGCATAAGAGATGGTGGTGGGCTCGTGTAGATCTCATCTTCATTTTCTTCTCTTGTTTGACCCACTCAACTCCACATCGCTCAACTGTGATTCCACATCGCTCAGCTGTGGTGGAGGAGTTCCTTCATCGCTCTTCATAATCGATTTGATGCACAAATACATCATCCAAACAATCAAGGCTCCAATCCAAAAGGAAAAAAAGATCATGGCTCTTGTTTTTTTCACGGCTACGAAAAGGAAGGTAAATGAGTACTAAACCAAAACAAAGATATAAAAGGAAAACAAGAACCGAACCCCAAGTTGAGTTGTGAGATTGTTGTTCCTCCAAAGAGTGGGTGTTTGTTTGGGAAATGAGGGAGAGAAACAATACCACCACTTGTTATTTGCACAAATGAAGATGAGATCTACTCACTGTTCCATGGGAGATGGTGGTGGGATAGGGACATCATGCAGAAGAGATGGTGGTTGGCTTGGGTAGATTTATATTATTGTAACAAAATTTTATGACATGTCAACCCAAAAATACAAAGATAGCCCACATGCATCAAAACGAACTCAACAAAAGCAGATAAAAAAAAGTATTTTATTAAACAATTTGAGGTTTTAATGCCAATTAATGTGAGGAGAAGCCAACAAAACGGTCAGGGTTTGTTGTGCACAAACGCAGACGCAGACATGAGTAGCTATGAAATCATAAGCTAAGAAAATGTTTAGAATAACTGAGATAAGTCATAGAATCGAACTTTGCACAATGAAAAAGAAAAAAAAAAATTGTGAAAGTAAACTTCAAAACCTGCTATTTTTAGCTTCAAGTGTTTTGCTTAATTTTATTTTAGTGTTTATTTTAGAAGAGTTTGGAAGAGAAAGCCAGATCCAATTTTTGACGGGTGTGAAGATTTGACGGAGTGGACTTTTCATTTTTGTATTTTTGGGAACTTTCCATTTTTCTATAAATTCAATATGGGCCACTTTTTATCTGCTTCTGTTGAGTTCGTTTTTGATGCATGTGGGCTATCTTTGAGATTGGGTTGACATGTCGTTCAATCCACCAAGGCCCTAACTGTGTTTTGACTCGACTCTTTTAAACCCAGGCCAGAGACAGACACCTGGAGAATGGTCTACCCAAAAAGAAGTTGCATAAAATTAAAAACACGGTGGATTATGAGGTCACTTTTGCATTATTTTATTTTAGAGATTTTTCTGTGGATGGAACCATTGCATTTTTATTTACACGTGTGAGTTCACTTTTTTTTTCTTTTCCAAAGTTAGGAAGAGGATGGGGAAAAACTCACACTTAAACCTAGGAGCACTTGAAAATGTACAAAAAACCAGAGCAAATCCAACTAATACCCTTTTCATTTGCATTCTCAATCACTTAATTTTGCAACATATTGCAATGATTTTGAATAAATTGTAATTACAGGATTTAGGGTAATGGATTTCAGTGGGATTTGCAAATTTTACTAATGATTTTGAATTCACTTAGAATTTTTTTGTATTCTCCAAAGAATCAAAGATTTGCTATCTAAAACATTTCATATGAAACAAAATAATGTAACATGAAATAATTATGAGTTTTTATCAATAATAGCCAAAATTTACACCCCAATTTCATAAATGTCAATTTTTATAAAAACTTTCAAATATAGCCAAAAATCCACTTAATTTGACACAAAAACCCTCAAAATTAAAATATAATACCCATAAAACCAACCTCTTCACATTATCTATATTACTAAAACAACAAAACAAAAAAAGGAATTTTTTTCCACAAACGAAGACTAAAGTCCCAATTATGCTACTTCTTAATTATCACCACAAACACAAACATAGAACCTCAAAGATTGACCATGAAGAAATTCAAAATCCCATTTTGTTTTTGCTCGACTTTTGTAGATCCAAAACTTCCCCTTTCTAATAATAAAAAACCTTCAACCAAAAACAATGGAACCCATATCAAGATAAACACAGCAAAATCGCAACAATATTTGCCTTATGTTGGTTTTATGTTCCAAAAGAATACAAACACAATTCATTTTATTTAATTTAAGAGAGTGCAAGGGAGATAATATTATATTAATACAGTTTGAAATTAAAAGGAAAAATCACGTACGACAATGCAGAAGCATTTTATTCAACATCAGATAAAGGATTGGAAAAATATGGTATTTTAGTTTTAGGGTGAGAGAAGAAAGAAAAGCGATTGAATTTGTCAAGTCCATCGAACTTGAAATAAAATTGGGGTTTTGAGTTTTTAAGTAAAGTTTAGGGTTCATCGTCATAACTATCGCCATAACTGGCCACCATAGTTGTGAGTAAGCTTGGCCACCGTAGTTGTGAGTTATTTGATTTGTAAGTTTTTTTGTTATTTGGTTTAATTTTGAGGGTATTTGTGTTAATTTAAATGATTTTTGGCTATATTTGAAAGTTTTTATAAAAACTGACATTTATGAAATTAGGGTATAAATTTTGGCTATTATTGATAAAAACTCAATAATTATGCCACATGGATAAATAACCAAATAAGAAAAGAACTATAGGTTAGTGACAAATATCGCAAAAGTTTCCATCATGGCTATTGACTTGACTCATGACTTTAATTATAATGCAAAAAGACTGAATCTCGATGAATGACTGATGTATGATCCATGTACTTAATGGAATTATCTATATATTAGTTAATTAATTGGTAGGAAACTATTCCTTTGATTGAATTAGTAGCGTATATGTGGGGAGAGCCACCTTTTTATATAGATGTGTTTTGAATTTGAAGAGATTGTATTGGATTGGATTATGTCTAATCCTAAAGCCAAATGTAATAGGATTATTATGAATTCTATCAAAATGTTGGGATTAAGTTGAATTGGAGTCTGTCTAATCCTACTAAACCATGTAATAGCATATTTTAATTAATTCAACGGACCCCATAATCATATATAGTACCGAACACATCATTGAATTAGTGTTATTATTTTTAATTTAATGTAATAAAATGCAATTTAATTCTACTTCATAATGCAATCCAATCTCAATCACCAAACATCACTGCTAAAAAAAAGGGGCGAATGCCACAATTGCTTAGTCAGGATGAACCAACATTGACTATTGATATGTAATAACCACGGTTACTATGCATTCGTAGCTTGTAATATATACGTCATAGTGACTCCGTGGGTGGAAAACAATTAGCCACAAACGTGGTGGCCTATGGAATACTTTGCCACATCCAGCCGTGGCCAATTGTTGGTTAGGCCACTCCATTTGTGGCCAGTTTTATTTATGTCAAAATAAAATACTTTTTCAGAGAGAGACAGACACCTGAAGAATGGTCTACCCCAAAAAAAGTGCATAAAATTAAAAACGCGGTGGATTCTGAGGTCACTTTTGCATTATTTTATTTTAGAGATTTTTCTGTGGTTGGAACCATTGCATTTTAATTTACTCGTGTGAGTTTACTTATGTGGCAAATTATAAGTCTTTGCCGTCTTCTTTTTTCTTTTTGATTGGAAAACTCTTTTGCCGTCTGGAAATTGGGATTATTTATTTTTAATGTGGGGAGGAGATTTGGGATTTTATTTTTAAATTTTTTGAGTACAAACGATTAAGAGAGATGAGGGTTTACACAATATTCATTGGGTGTCTGGGTAATGTGAATTGAAATTTTTGAATTTTCATAAGTTCAGGTCATGTGTTTGTTTTTTTTTTTTTTTTTTTTTTTTTTTTTTTTTTTTTTTTGTATGGGATCTGTATAAACAATAAGAACCATTTTTAGTTTCGTATGCTAATTAATATAGTGACAACCAAATGGGAATTAGAACTGAAACTGTGGGAAGCAGAAACATAAACAAAAACACAATTAGTAGCAATAGAATATCTAAAAAATTTAAACCGAGGCATAAACACTAAAACTTTGTTGCACTTGCAGATCTGGATGTGAACCTGTAAATCGGAAGGAGAAGAAGAAGAGAGAAGAAAACAATAAGAAAGAGAGAAGAAAGAGAAAGAGGGAATTGATAGTATGTTTGAATACTCACCCTCTCTCTTTCTTTCCGTTTGTTTAATATCTTCCCCTCTCTTTTTTATTCCTTTTCCTCCTCCTCCTCCTCCTCTCTCTCTCTCTCTCTCTCTCTCTCTCTCTCTCTCTCTCTTCCTCTTTTCTTTCTTCTCAACCGGTTGATTTCTTGTCCATGGTAGACTGATTATTTGATTGGTCTAGATTAAGCCTATACACTAAGCCTAATCTCAAAGTCAACACTGTGCTGGAGCATACCCCAACCACCCCTAGCTCCGCCCTTATGTCTGGAAATTTCGAAACTTTGCCCTCATGAGTGAAGGTTGAGACTTTTGATAACACGTCCAAAGTTTCCTATTTAATATTTTAAAAATACCAACATAAGAATATATAATCACATGAACATAATCTCCTATCAAGTGTTTTGTCGACACCAAATTATTCTATTAAATACTAAACGACATAAAACTGTTGCTACCTCTAATGGATAAAAGGAAACCAAACCTTATACCTTTATATTATCCACAAATGCAGCAAATTAAGGAAATCATATTCAACCAAATGTTTTTTGTTTTTTAAAGTACGTTTTCTGGTTTCCAATCCCTAGCCACTGAAATCAAAATCAATAACATCGAGAACACCGCAGCTTCAACAAATAAATTTAAATTGCCCATGACATGATCATAGACTTGTCAACCCTATTTGGATTTTAGACGTAATCTATTGGTGGATATGTGCAAGCTTTTGTGCCCTTTCTATTTCCCAAAGAGGTGTGGATTATTTTATTGACTGGGTCCAAAACTTAGAAAAATGTGGGCCCATATAAAAATAAAACTATATAATAAATTTGTATACCATGTAAATATAGCATGGAGGTGGATCCAGCTGTATTATTTTTATCCAATTTGTACTAAGGATCTTGGATCTTGTTAGAGATTCTCTCTATTATGTAAATAAATTTTTATGTAACGTTTCTTATTTCTTAGAACGCGTTGTCTATGATTTCCAAAGGAAGATAACGCGTTTTGTGTTTTGTTTCTTTTTCTCCCACTCTTTCTATGTTCCTCGTCGTCGTTATTTAAACACCTCACACTCCACCAAAGTATCAAACACACACACACTGAGAGAGAGAGAGAGAGAGGAGAGAGAGAGAGAGAGAGAGAGAGAGAGAGAGAGAGAGAGAGAGAGAGATTGGCCATGGAAATGGAGAAATGTTCAGAAGCAGAGAAGGGTTGTTTGGAGTTGAACCCAGATGGGGAAGAAGACAACAAGACTGAGGAGCTAGGTTTCAAGCCAAAGGTTAGAAGTGTAATTCCGGCACAGAGGAAGCTCGTGAAGACCATGATTCTTCTTGATATAGTTCAGTTTTGGTCTGACATTTCAAACGCTACTTTTTCCACCAAGGCTAAAGCATCAAACGTGAAGAAGAAGATGATCAGCAGCCGCCTCGTCTGTCCAGCCCTGCCATAGCCATGTAATGCATGCAACGTCATGAAGTTGGTGCCTTGGTTGCGGGTTTAAGTCTAACTCTCACGGTTTGCAAACGTTTTTTTTCTTTGCTTTTTATATTCTTGTTGTTTCAGTACTTTTTCCTTTCGTGATGTCTGTGGCTTGTCGTGATGTTGGTGTTTCAGTACTCATGGTATAAATAAATATATTTGATACCATGATCTCTCTCTCTCTCTCTCTCTCTCTCTCTCTCTCTCTCTCCACAGCACCTTTATCTATTTGATTGCATATAGATATTACTCTGTTAATCAGAGATATTACTCTGTTAATCAGAGATATCCTAGTTCAATTTTTAGCTGTTGTAATTACCATTTGGTATCAAATTGATTGTCCCCATAAAAATATTTCCCCTATACATGGAAGCATTGGAGCACTTCACTCAAATAAGATACGTCATATTTTAATTTGATGGTTGAATGGCAGTGAATTTTAACATCTTCAGACTCTTCTTCCAACCGAAATGCCATTTAGTTATTTTACTAATATAAAAAGCTCATATTAATCACAGGATGGGATCCACGCTATTAAAAAAATACTCTAACTTTAAAAAAGTCACAAAAAATAATGAATTTGACATTTCTGTCAGATTTGACGTAAAAAACTATAGCTTTTATTCCAGGTCAACTTTAACATAAATTATTAGTCCATGTTTTCAATCGAACTCTCCAACTCCAAGTATTTTCCTTATCCATAAAGAGAAGTCAATCTTCTATTTTTGGCCTCAAGGGACATTTTCATATAAACTAAAACCAAACACTGATTTGAGTTTGACAAATAATAATATAGCTAAGATTGTGTCATATAATCTCCCTACAAACTAAGTCATACTGGATATCAGAACCCTAATGAAGTATAATTCTTGACAATTGATCCTAATGAAGTCTAACCTCTTGACATCAGAACCCTAATGAACCCTAATTCCCATAGTGTAGAATTTGGAAGCTAAATTTGTCATATAACATATATAATTAATTACAAGGATTAAGCCGTTAAATGATCCATCTCTCACATTGTTTAGGCATTGGTTGGTAGCAGAAACCAATGATAACAGATTATGATATGAAGCTTTTTTCTTTTGCCATGATTTTTTAATTATTTTGGGATGTCATAAGGAAGACGACATTTTATTCCCTGTCACTATCATCTTTGTCATTTCTTTATTTATAGTCCACCCCTAGCCAAAGGCAAAACCATATTGCGAATTTTTCAATTAAAAAAAAACTAATTTAATTTATTTATAGTTCACATAATCATGAAATTCCTTTGAATTCAAAAGCCTCTTCCTCAGGAGAGGAGAGTCAGCAGCCGCCGGCAATATCATTGTCAATAAAGCCCGAAATGTAGATAAGACTCCGCTGTTTACAACGTTGGCTAATTTATGCTTTATGTTTGGTTTGGAAAACGCTGGGTGGGTGGGGTCTTCGGGGGAGACTACTCTATCTCATCAAGGAAGTTGGGGGGAAACCATCTCACTCCGTCTTACTATCTATCAGTTTATAGTCAAAACCACATAAAATTCCCATTTCCAAAAATATCCACATATCTAGACGTAAGTTAAGTCACTTATACAAAATGCTTCTTTGTTTATTTTCGAGTTTGGTTTCTCTCTATGTAAATTAGATTAAATCAGATTCGTTTCGTTCATGTTTGATTTCTCTCTGTCTAAATTATATTAAATGCGTAATTTAGACTCTCGCATTGTATATAAAAATGAGATATATTCTAATGTGATGTGAGGTACCATATACAACATAGAGAATAAGATATATTCTAATGTGATGTGAGGTACCATATACAACATAGAGAATTATCACGTTAGATCGGCTTGGAGAGATGAGGGTGTTGGGGACATGCCATTGGTAAACGCGTTTGGGTGGTGGGGGAGGCTAAACGCGTTTATTTCTTAGGACTTTGCGTCAACGACGTCCAAAAACTTACCAAGAAGCACCAAGGTGCCACAACACACAAAAAACCGAATCTTTCTCTCAACACTATACATATATTCCTTCCCACTCTTTCTCCCACCCAACTGCATTGCCTTATGTATTCAAACCCTCCACCATTCAAAAAGCTCAATCAAACACACACTCACCGATCACAGACACAGACAGAGAGAGAGAGTAGAGCAATGAAGATTAATTCCAAAGGAGGAAAGGACTTGAACCTGAACAAGAAGAGTGATCAGCAGCAGCCATATTGCTTCAAACCAAAAGCAGCTGCTTCTCCTCCTGCTAGTGTAATTCCAGCAAAGAGGAGGTCCGTGAAGAGAATCATTTTTAATGAATTTGTCCAATTTGTTTCTTCTCTTTTCAAAACCAACAAGAAGCCTAAACCACCACCAAAGTCCAACAATTAGAAGAAGAAGATTGCAATCACCAGCTAGTACTGTAGTGTAAAAGTTGTCCTCTTTTCTAATTCTAGTACAGGTGATTACACATAACACATACAAATGTTTTGCCATTTCTCTGGCTTTCTGTTGTACCATAGTTTTAATGTGAGTAGGTGTTCTAATTAGTTGCTTGGTGTGTGAGTAGTTTTTCCCTCTTTTTCTGGCCTTAAACTACTAATTTGCACTCTTTTTGGATTTTGACTTTTCTGGGTTGATGATTGTGTAATTCATGAACAGCCAAAATAACTCAGCTTCAAAACCACAGCGATGACACATAATAATCAGTGAATTATAAGCACAAATTTGTTATAGTATGGAAGATTGATAAATGTTACTTACATGTTACAATGGATAAGCCCAGACATGTCCTCTGCACATGATATATATTTCATTTGCGTAGTAAATAAATAAATAAAAATTATAATATTTCTTTCGAATGACACAGAAAAACACTGTGGCTAAATGAGAGAGAGAGAGAGAGAGAGAGAGAGAGAGAGAGGAGTTTAGATGAATTGCCATTGCATATCTGAACAATAAAGCTCAGCATAGTATTTAATACCACTTGCAATTACAAGGAACATAACACATCATTTAGTAAAAGTTTCTCTACCATATCCTACAACCTTGTCACCTCCTAAGAACAACAAAAGTGCTAGGTGAAGAAAAATGGAAACAATCTCCCACAAAAAGCATAAATTGCAAATATTCAATAACAGAGTGTGCATGTTCCACTGCGCTCTCATTCCGGTTCAGGTGAGCCGCCAGGGACCAGCTGCATTGTGCAAAAATATTGGAAAATTGATTAAGATAATTTGAACATCTCTCGTCTTTGTTTTATGCTGGCTCTAGCTTTTGTTGCAAAAGCCAAGAACCAACCACCAAAAGCTTTACACCAGGTAGTTTAAAGCACTTAAGGCAAGAAAAAAGGGCCGCAAAAAGTGCAGTAGAAAACTTGACAAACAAAGACCAATATGTCTTACTTACAATGGAAAATACAGTGCAGGCAAATAAAGACCAACATGTCTAACTTACAATGGCAATGTTGTTTCCGTTGAGCAATATCTGATCAAGCTTGGTTATACGTCTTCCTTCAGGAGTAATCTCACTGTGATATAAAGAGAGAAATAGAAAAGATATAATATAAGTCGACTAACAATGCAATAATAGAGTGAATGACTAATGCAAACTAAAAATGTCTAAATTGATTATATATACAAACACTCTGTATACCAGAGATATCCCAGTTCAGTTTTTCATCTCTTCTGATCCCAAGATATTACAGTACGATAAGACTAAGGAAAATAAGCAAGATGCAAAGAAAAGGTATGATGACCAGAAAACATGAGGCTAGAGGGGAAGGTTCTATCTACCTTGTCAAAATAACTTGTAATCAACATAATGTTAATTACGATATTTCCTACAACTATAGCTTAAAACACTTATATAGCTTTGTCAGCTTTATCAATTCAATATAAATTCATGTTTCAAAAGATGATCCTTATTGAAAATCCCAACTCCAAGTATTTTCTATAAACTTGTCAGCTTTATCAATCTAACATAAATTTATGTTTCAACTGATCCCTACTGAAAATCCCAACTCCATGTTTCAACTGTGACATTGTAACATACAAACTAATCAGTTATTCATAATGTGCTCTACCACCAAACCTAAACCTAACCTTTCAAAATAAAAAACCCTAGTTCCCATTGTATATAACTGGGAATAGAAGCTCTAGCGGCTGCCCTGCATTATTACACTGTTAACTGAAAGAATAACAAAGACAAATCAAATTTTCCAAGCCACCGAAAATTGCCTCGCTATCACTAAAATTCCTACCCTAACGACATATAAACTTCTGCTGCTTCAATCCTGAAAGAACTATGCACTATTGAAGGAGAGTTGCATGACAATCCTAAAGCCCGTACGAACATCAAGACCCAATACTTAAACTTTCCCATTATTCAATCTGATAGTTGAAGCATTTACAAACTCAAAGATTCAATCTTGTAGCAAAAGCGAGTAAAATCCCAAATTTTAGGGTTTCATGCTACATGAATGCAATAGAATTAAGGGAGGGAGCCATACTATTCAGTGACGTCTTCTAGAACCATGTTGACGTAGACATCAAATCCCCTCAGAGTCCCGACGAGCTCCTTGTCTCCCTTCATTATCACCCATATCTTCGACCCTATGCACCGGTCGATCAACTCTGCGAATTTTCCACCCAAACACCTCAAATTTTCCGCTTAATTTTCTCAAGTAAATACGAGACAGTAGAAAAAGAAACAGAGCGGGGCAAACCTGATGGGAGTAGCTGTGAGGGATTGTTGGCCATTGGAATTTGGAAGCAGAAAACTTTGGCTGCGATAGCGAACGAGTTGGCGGCAATCCCAGTCTGTCACTGTGAGTCAGGAACAAGGGCAAGATACTTGGTAGTGTGTTTTTAAGTGTACCAGATTTCAAAAGGCCAAAATACCCTCGGTGCTTTTTCATATTTACCTTTATGTGCTTTGAATTGGGTGTGTTATGGACGATGTGATTTGTATTTTGTGCTTCTAAAATGGGCCGCAATTGAGGTGTGGTATTTGTGTTTTTTAATACAAGAAGAGAGCAATCGAATTTAGAATCTCGGATGCATAATTTACGCTATTAACTACTTTTTTAGATTTATGTAATTGAAATTTTGATTTTGTTCAAGGACCCAATATGTGATGGATATGTTCCTTGTCATTCTTTCAAAATTGGACCAAGGAATTATTGGTGGCTTGTCCTTGGAAAGGGCCCAAATCATGACAAGTGTTTTTAGAGTATTTTGGTGAAAGAAGACTTGTACTAAAATGGAACACTTGAATAATAAGAAGGGTTCACATCACATGTCACATGTTAATTACGTGGACAAATTCATTAGAATTACATTAGGTTATACCTCACGGAAAGTATAGAGATACCAAAAGCATTAGGGTGTATGCGTTAATGACTATATGTTACATTTATCGATGATTTTATATTAGACCAATGTATTTAGGATAAAATTGTCTGTTTTTAGAGGATATATAGCCTTCGGATGTTTTAGCACCTATGATTTTTTTTTCTTTCTAGTTTCTATATTTTTTTTTAAAGATAACATGGGTAACTTGAATGGTGAAACGATAAATTGACACTACTTTAAAGTATCTCAAAATTTAAGATGATTGTGTCAAAAAAGAAAAGAAAAGAAAATAATGCGATTACATTGTGATGAACTCACAAAACCCTTTAATGGAAATTCAGATTCCAACTCCTCCTAAGCCCGATTACGGTTAGTATCTCAAATTTTGCGATACTTTGAAAAAAAAACATTTGGATATAATGGAAAGCAAACCAATCAAACAATGTTTTAAGTCTAATAAGTGACATGAATTAAGCAAAGGATAGAAAATTGGAGATTTAGAGTCAAACTTATACGATAATAGAAAAATAGTTTGCAGAAACAATGTTGCTTGCACTCAATAAAATACACAATACAATGCATGATCCATTTCATCCAATTTTATTAATACAGATTACAATATAATTGTGGTGACAAATAAGCGTCCAATGAACGACATTATGGATGCAAAATCAAAACGCATGCCAACACCGAATGAACCTGCCCGTAGGCCCGACAACCACTTGATTTGCGCCACGTTTCATGAACAGGAAAAGGCAGTCTTGACCGCTCCATCATGGCGGTTGCAAGAGCCGCTGGTTAGTGGTTACCCTCCATTTTCCAAAACGTATTATAAATACCAAAATTCATGTGACGTTTTCTCACAATTTCCCAAATTTCTATTTTATATCTCACACACAGCGATTTCTTCACGCAATCTCTCACCCCACACCAAATTCAAGGACGAATTCAATCACTTCTGTTTCTCTTGTAAATCCTCGCCTACTTTGATTGTGTTCAATTTCTAGTAAATTGTTCATGTTGATCTAATTGTTGTTGTGAATTTGATCGGGTTTGGTCCTTGTTGAATTGGGTTGTTAATGGATTCTTGGGTATTTTTCTAAAAACCTGAATTTAATGCCTGTTTTGTTTTTTCTTAATCCGTTGATGATCTGAATCGGAATAGTGGTAGAGTTATGGGTAGGGTTTGGATGCGATTTGGGGTTTATCTGTGGGTTTAGATAATTGATTTTGATCGGGTAAAGATTTGTACTTTGACCATATTGATCCCTACCCAGTGCAATGCTCAATCTCTGTTTAGCTATGCTTAATTTCCTTTGGATTTTAGGTTTGGAGATGGCCTTGGGTTGCCTTCTATTTGATTCCTATTTGGGTTTCTGGTTTAGATTTGTTGGGAACTTGTGCAATTTTGTGTATGTTTTGTATATGAAAAGGGCCGGATGAGTGTAAGCCCTTTTAGAATATCTGAACAGCATTAGAATCAGTGTAAGATATTTAGGTGGTGATGTGAGCAAATCATTTTTCATGATCTGATCATGCTTTTGGGTAGGTGGGTTATTGTTAACGATTATAAGATGTTGGGTAAGGTTTAAAAAGATATTGGGGTTTTCATTTTCTCGGCAGCGCTTTTAAAGGTTTTTGAAATGTCAGTTCAATATTAATCTGGTCTGAGGCATGTATACAAGCATGCTCTTTCTAATGATATTGCATCTAACCGTCGCTGAATAATACAATGATTGGATTACGATTTTGTGGACATGACATCAATTATGTCTTGTGGTAAAACTGCAGGTCTCAGTCTCACTGGTGATCTGTTGGCCTGAGAAGTAGTCGTTATATATTTAATCAAGAAATCTATCACTTCAAGTTCTGTACTGCTGTCCATTTGCTGCATTATTTATCTCACATTTTGGAGCATTGTAAGAGTGGTTGCATTGTGATTTCTATTAAAGTCAAGTAAAGATTCAGTATTTTTCAGTTGGTAACGCAATAGAGATCAGAAGCTCCAGTAGGGAACTTATTTAGAGCTTTGCGTTTTGGTAAGTGTATATCTAGTTCAATGATTCTTTATATTTTTTTTATCTGTTTCAAATAATGTGTTTTTATTCGGGCTCTTCTTCATGATATTTAATTATTCTGATTTGACATAATCTTAAGTTTGTTGAGAATAAAGGTATCACAGTTTTGGCAGTAATAATTTCATAAACTGTTAACAGGAGCTGACAGTTCTTTTGTATTAGACTTACTTTGTACTTTCTCTTAGAAACTTCAAACGTGGTTGGTTTTTCTTTTGTACATTGTTAGTTATATAGACTTTGAGTAGTTTCTTATTTTTCTCCTTGTCAAACTGAATTTGACAGTTGTTCAAAATGGTATTAGTACTTGTGATTCCTAAAGACATATTTTAGAGTGTATGGGGAAGGGATAATGTGAAACATTATACCAAGGTTTGTACCATAAAACATTTGTACCCAATATTTGCTTCTATTGTCTTATGTGATAAGAGGAATAAATTGCTGCTGTCTGCAACATGACCATAGTGTTTTCCCCCCCTTCTTATGTAATTGATGAACATTGAGTTATGCATGATAGTTCTTGTGTCCTGATAAATTCAACTTGCTGAGTAAATCGAACAGTGTATGCAAGATGGCTGGTGTGAAACGAAGAATAGAAACTGATTCAGATATTCGTGCTCTTTACAAAGAACTGGATGCGGTTACATGCCCTATCTGCATGGACCATCCACATAATGCAGTTCTCCTCCTTTGCAGCTCGCATGAGAAGGGTTGCAGATCTTATATTTGTGATACAAGTTACAGGCATTCAAATTGCCTGGACCGTTTTAAAAAGCTGAGGGAAAATACTAGGAACAATCCAACTCTACCCAGTTCTTTACCTGTAAACCATTCTGATTCTCATAATATTTCTGATCTGAACATCCCTTTGAGGACAGAGTCAAATGAAGCTAATGAAACTCACAATCTGATTGAAAGCAATACTCTAATATCTGTTAATTTACCCGGACCGCCACAAGGACATATTATTCAAGATCTAAATAGGCCTTTAGAAGCACAAACAGAAGGTGTTCTGGAAGTGGCTGATTCCGAGTCATTTCAGGAAAGGGTTGAGCATGATGAGTTGGATGGGGAGAATTCACCAGATTCAAAATTGAGCTTGAAATGCCCTTTGTGCCGAGGAGCCATTCTTGGATGGGAGGTTGTAGAAGATGTCAGAAAGTATCTTAACCTGAAGAAGCGAAGTTGCTCTCGTGAATCATGCTCATTTTCTGGTAACTACCAGGAGTTGCGCCGGCATGCCAGGAGAGTTCACCCAACCACTCGACCCTCCGACATTGACCCATCTAGAGAACGAGCCTGGCAACACCTTGAGCACCAAAGAGAATTTGGTGATGTTGTCAGTGCTATTCATTCAGCCATCCCAGGTGCTGTTGTGGTTGGGGACTATGTTATTGAAAATGGAGATAGGCTAGCAGGGGGAGGGGAAAGTGGTGCAGGTGAAGCTAATGGACCTTGGTGGACTACTCTGTTTTTGTTTCAGATGATTGGCTCAGTTGACCGTGCTGGGGAACAAAGGGCTCGATCAAGGGCTTGGACAAGACATCGGCGTTCAGGTGCTTTATCTGAACGCCGGTTTCTTTGGGGTGAGAATTTGTTGGGTCTTCAAGATGACGAGGTAGATGATGAGGATGATGATGATGATGAGAACTTGCCTATACTAAATCACAGAGATTTGTCTCCGATCCCCAGAAGGCGTAGGCGTTTGACACGGTCAAGGTCGGATGAAGATCGACCATGAGAGGGGTCTTTTATCTGGTAAAATTTATGTTTTCTTGAAAGAAAATTGATATCTGTTTTGTTGGATTTTATATCAGATTGCCTTTGGTTGACCCCATCTGGAACCATTGTTGTTCCAGTTACTGCAGTAACTGCTCGTCAGACAAGACCAACTGCTCTAAGAACTGCAGTTTGAGAACCCCATCAGCTTGTTGGAACTTGGAAGAGCGTTGAAAAGGATCATGATGATCTAGGGACAATGGTGGTGCTAATTTGAAGGGGATTCTATCGAGCCCATGTTCTCTTTATCCGTGGGAGGAATGAGCTTATGTTCTCTTCAAGCAGCCCAAGTCCTCTCTTTCAAGTAGGTAGAGGCTGCCGGCACAAGTTGAGCCTCCTCATCCACGGTTGATGCATTGTTCTTGCTATTCTGCATTTGTATCATATAACCATGTAGTTGATATCAGTTCATCTCTTTGTTTGTTAATAAAATACTATTACGATTGTTTGTGTTTATTTTATGCGAATTGTTTGTGTTAAAATGTATAAAAGTTTATGAAACAATGAAATTTGAGTTTGAATAAAGTGTGAAGATCTCAGAGTTTGAATTCCAATTGAGCCAGTTTGCATTCTCATTTTGTGTTGTACGGAAAATGTCAAGCTTTGATTCTCATGTAAAGATTGTCCACTTGGGAACTTAATCACCCCAGTGCGGATATTGAAAGCACTCAAAAAGGGAAAAGCTGCATGTTGTTGATTTCGTTTTTTCAGGTAATTCTACAAAATGTGAGGTGAGAATGGCCATTGCCAACGACGTCGTTTTGAACACAAGTACAATTATCGGCATGGAAACCAGAAGCAGATCATCCAAGAGAGAACGTGGATGAGATTACAACCAAGGGAGCCAAGCAGAAATGAATGAGAAAACAGCGACAGGTTTTGATGAGAGCAACTAATTCCTTCCCAGTAATACCAAATGGGGCACCAGAATAAAATCAGAAGCTAAGAGGAGCATTAGGCACATCACCCTTCCTTCATCTGAGTCTTCGTCAAAGACCCAGCTGCTTCCATCTCAAGTGACAGTATCAAGACTTGCATAACAAGTATAGTTCCCCCAATCTCAGCCCTTGATCATTGGCTCATTCAACAGCCAAAATCAGGCTGAATTGCATACGCAGTTGCAGCCACAAATTATGGAGGGCTACAAATTTCTGTCAAAACCCAATGAAAATGAGAGGGCAGAGAAGCTGAGACGCAAACAAAAGCTCGACAAGTTGGCCTCTAATTTGGGTTTTACATAGTAATTAAAATATAGTTGTCAGAGCATATCTGCATATGATTTCTACTCATCCCCATGTGAGAGCACAAGAAGTCTTTTTTCATGCTTGCAAGCAGTAACACTTAAGACGACATCCCCAGGCCTAAAATATCTCCTTCTCCACGTGCTCAACCAACCTGTAAATTCAATATTACATATATGCGGAGACAAAGAGAGAATTGCCTGGAAATGTAGCAATATATATTTTGTCATAATTAAATCTGGCCCAACTGGCCAAAATACAGAAAATAGTAAGAAACTTGGCAATCAGAGATGACCATTTTTATTGCTTTGTAACAACTTTTTATGCATCTGCATTTCTATTTTCTAATCTGTTAGGGAACATGGCTCTTCCAACTCCTCCCACCTCTTTCCTTTTTGTTTTATGTCATTTTAATGTTTAATGCAGATCTGAATATATAATCCAATTTGTGTCCTCCTGCTTGGAAGTCAAGTTGCAAGGACCTGTATTGTAGCTCATTATATTATTATGTTAATAAAACCTTGCAATAATTGGTCCTGCTTGACAGAATCAACTTACCTAAACTGCAATATGCTTGTCCAACAATGTCTTCAGCTTCATTTTTACCCTCAACTTCCAAAACGCAGCTTTTGTTTTTTTAATACAAGCGATATTGAGGGAGGGAGGAATTGAAACCTAGGACTTTAGGTGCACGAGTAAAAACCCTTAACCACTTGAGCTACAAACCCCTTGCTCTACAACTCAGTTGAGAAGATTATTGCTTTTCACACCCAAGTAAATCTGCAGGACCATATGTATATGTACCCAAGGGGACCAATGGGATTGATGAACCAGAGACAAACAAGTGTTTGGCTAAAAGAAATTCCACCAGGGCTAAGCACATTTTGGTTCTTAATTAAATCAAATCTCTGACTTAATACCCACCACATTATCATCTTATATATATTTTCCCCATGTTACGAAGAATCTCAAGCCAATCCTTCCCCACTCACTGCTTAGTTGTCTCACTGTTTTTCTTAGATTCACTTCAATTTCCTTTGTCTTCTTCTTCCATAGGTCTCAAAGGCTAGACAGGAATCTTGAGAGCATGCAGACAGCATAGGTAGATCTCTCTGTGCTGTCCATTTGACCAAAACACAGTCATCTGCTTCTCACTCTTCACACTCACACCACTATATAAAGGAGCCTCTAAACACAAGCATAATCATGCAGGTAAAACAGTGTAAATATTTTTAGTCAAACAAATGCTTAGCTTGCATCTGCATCAAAACTGATGTCTCTCTTGGTGACTTATAACACAGCAGATTTTTCAATGGCTCTTTAGAGCTACAAATGGACAAGCAAGGGAAGACACTTCTGGTTCTACCAACAAGAAAGCAACAACTAATGGTAAGAGATCAAACTTCAACTTTTCACATCCAATTTTTCCAAACCATTATATTAAGACCATGTTTTGACTTATGTACTTTTTATGTTCATTTCAGATCAAGAAGCTAAACCAAATTACATAATTGTCTTTAAGTGTGGCGGTGTTGGTGTGTATCGGAAATTCAAAGGAATTGAAGAGAGAAAATCAGGTAGTAAGAAGTTCAAGCCACTTGCCTTTCTACGTCGAAAGGATGTGGCAAAGGCTTGCTTTTATAGCACTCTTCAGTTAAAGAGACTTGGTAGCATAAATAGAAGGCAGGCTAGGCAGCGTTGGATTCAATCCACGAAGATGAAGAAGGAAGATATTGCAAGAAGTCTGGGAATTAGTACCAAGGCAGATTCGGCAAATGTAGGCAACAAGGTGTTACCGGTGACAGATTCAACATTAACAACCTCGACGAACACAAATGAACAATGTGGCACATCAGAAAAGAAAGAAAGGGTTAAGGGAGACAAAACCAAAACCATGTCAAGAATGAAGGAGCTATTGAGATGGGCTGCTGCTGCAAAATCAGAGAAGGGAGGAAAATTTATTGCTCGAAAGGTACTAATTTTTTTTTCTTTCCTAAACATTATGAGTCTTTTTTTAACATGTACAGATAATTTGTATTAGCTGGACCTATTGATATGGAGTATGAGAGAAGAAGGTCCACAACAGTACTTGTTCTGCAACCATATGTTGCTGTGATATTCTCTAGCCATAAATGATCGAAATTAAATGTAACTAGATATGAAGTAAAACTGTAAAATGTGAATGTTGACAATTCTAAAGGGAAATCAGAGAAAGTTGCATGCTTTCTAGTTAGGCTAAATTATACAAAATTTAGCAATATCAGCTCTAGATGGAGTTTCATAACCCTGAAGTTAAAATTTCCTAGTTGCTGACTTGTGGGCTTGAAATGATGCTGTTCCATTCAGGTTATGCAATTTCGAAACCGTGGAACTCTGAAGGCAGTACCAGATGATGATCAACTTAGCAACGATTCGCCGAAGATCAGCTTTAGATGGGATTTGGAAAGCTGCTCCACCACTTCCTCTGCCTACACATCAATTTCAACAGCATCTTCATTGAAAAATGATCAAATCATGATCATTAACCAGGCTTTGAATTCAACAAAGTGTCAAGACCCCGACCGGGCTCCAAGGAAAGGGAACTGGATCACCTCAGACTCAGAATGTAAAACATGCTTCCTCCTAGAGTCTTTCCTAATCAACCAACTTTTATTTTCTGTTTGCGTGAAGTTTAAGTTGCTAAAAATCTATTCAACTAACCCTGAAATTATTTTTTTGCTTGGACAGTTGTGGTGCTAGAGCTATGAAGATCATCAGGTCTAAGAATTGTTCTTCAAGGGTTGCATAGATCAAGTGCTTGCTCTTGCTTAGTGATTGTATCATAGTTAAGGATTGAAGATTTTAAATTTTGTGAAAGATTAAGGACTGAAAAGCAAAATCAATACAAGGAAAGAGTGTTTATATGATCCTTCTTAATGAATGTGGCCTACATCAATAAATTCATAATCTAACCAACAGTTTTCCTTCTCAATGTGTGGCCTCAATATCTGCATCTGCAAACTCTTTCTTTCCCACATGAAAATTAGGAAGCCTGCTTCTCCACAAGCTTACTTGTCAAACTGATTTGAAGTGTTACCAACAAATTAATTAAAAGTTTCCAAATCTTACAACAATTTGTGTGGTGGGTTTGGTATTTTGAGATTATACTAAGTTCTGTTATTTTCATAACATTGTTAAAATAATCCTCCATCATTATATTATTGAGTTTTGTCCCAGTTTATCAATCTTCCCTGTCACTTTCCTCCACATTCTCTTTGCATCCTGCTTAAAACTAATTTATGGTTTTGGCGTTTGATTCTTGAAACAAATCAAGAAAGAAAGAAAAAGAAAAAAAATACTAATGTTCATTGGATAAAATACATAGGATAGGAGGATGGGCCGCAGGCTCGTAGTATTGGGTTTGGGCCAACACTCGAGCGGTCTATTGAATATTATGTTATATTGCAGTGTTGCTATATGAAGCACACAACTATTATTTTGAACTTCACAATTTGGCCACACTCTGTATCCGAATTCGAATTCTTATTCCCGAAATTTAAAATAATTTAAAATAAATTATCGCTTTTATCAACAACAAAAAAGTGTAGTCATCAAAAATTTCAAAAATGAAAGGAAAAAGAGATTATATAAATTAGTGGGTCGTGTTTGAATTTGATAAAATTGATTGTCCTTTTTTTCAAAAAGGGAGATAACGATCAGACTTTGGGTATATATTCAATACTCATAGAAATCATAAAGTAGATAAGTTCCAAGTTCCTAAATGATAGAATAATTCGAAAAATAGGTCACAATTGTTGTACTTTGAATGGAAGCGACATCATGGGATGACCAACCAAAATGTGCTACACTCACCCACTGCAATATACACTTTGTATAAACCAACCCAACATTCTCAACTACAATTCTTGAGCTCCCAAACTTCACTTCCACACCCAAAAGAAAAGTTTTGGGATATATTTAATTACGTGGCTTTTTTTAATTGACTAATCTCTAAAAAGAATTAATTAGACCATTTGAATTAAGCTGAATTGGAGTGATTAAGTATTGCCTTGCCTTGTCTTGTCTCGTCTCCTTCCAAAAATATATGTTATTTATCTAAACATAGCATACTAGTAAAAAATTATCAAATGCACAAAAAAAAAAGGAAAAGAAAAAAAGAAGATTGGATTTACCAAATCACTCCACTATTGCTCACACGCTACGCTAGTATATAATCATCCATTCATATTAACATGCTCACAATAAAACTTTCTTATATCAAGGGCCACCAACCCACCGACATTGCTAATTATATGCATTCCAACTTTTACCTTATTTTTCATCTTTATAATTTTGCAGCAATATTTTTGTCACGTTTCTATATATTGTAATATATGTATTAAAAACCAAGAAAGTAAAGACAAAAAGTCACATTGCGAAAGACAATAAATGTTAAGCTCACATACATTGCACGGATGATGGGACTCAAACCAATAACTTTTTCGGAAAGAGCAATTGTTCCAAGTCACTTTGAGTCCTTGTAGTATGTCACTTTATCAGTTTAGTTATCGTAGTTTTTATCATTGTAATCTTAAATATGAGCAATTCAAAATTTTGTCTAAATCCTTTCAATTTCATTGTGTTTTGAACATGAGATTTTACAAAATAGTAATGTTATGCTTATCACATTTTTATCCCATATTTTCATATCATATGCCACATCAATTAAATCAATGTAATATATTTTAATAGAGAAAAAAAAAGTATTAATCACATTAATTAGCTGATGTGGTATGTACACATAAACTTCCACATCATGTGGTATAATATTGTAGTATAAAAATATAATAAGACTAATATTATTCTTTTCGGTTTATAACGAAATTGGAGACATTTTAACAAAATTTGTAACATGTCCTTCAATTAATCGGATTTGAAAATACAATAATAAAACCGGGCCAAAAATGACTTTTTCCCGAAAATAAACAATAGCGGAGTGGAGTGACTAGCGCGGGTGTAGATGACGATGGAGGGATTTCACACATACTCTGTGTCAAAGTCAAACTCCAACCACCTCCCCATCTTTTATCTTTCTCTCCCTTACCCATTTTCTCGGTTGCTCGCCCCCACCTCCCTTCTTCTCTCTCCTTCTCTCTGACCCTCTCTGCAACAAACCCAAATCCAAAAATGACAGCCATGAGCAACCTCAGCTCAGACGTCACAGAGCTCATCTTCTCCTACCTCCCAATCCCAACCCTCATCCGCGCCTCCACCGTATGCAAGCTCTGGCACTCCATCATCTCCTCCTCCACCTTCTCCCAGCTCTCCACCCAATCCCAGAAATACCCCTGGTTCTTCCTCTACGGCATCCACAACACCTCCTCCAACTTCAACCAGTCCTTCGCCTTCGACCCAGTCTCCAATCTCTGGTTCCGCCTCCCCTCCCCCACCTTCCCTTCCCAGTCCTCCTCCTTCCTCGGCGTCGATGGCTTCTTCCTCATCACCGCCCCATTCTTCACCTTCTCCCCAATCCTCAAGCGCCATTTGCACCCCACCTCCCCTCTCCGCTTCTCCCGCATCAACCCCCTTGTCGGCGTCTTTGACTCTGGCTCGTCGTCTCCGCCAAGCTTCATCGTCGTCGGTGGCGTCCGCTTCATCGGCAATTTGGTCGACATCGAGGACCGTTTGGCTGTGGAGATTTACAATCCCAATTCCGATTCTTGGCTCCTCTGCCCTCCTCTCCCCGCCGATTTCCGCTCCGGCAACTCGTCCCAGTCTCTCTCATCGGCCCTCTTCAAGCGCCGGTTCTACGTCTTCGGCATCTACTCCTGCTTCATTTCCTCATTTGATCTCCACACCCATCTCTGGAGCGAGGTCCAGACTCTCCGCCCACCGGGGGTCGTCTTCTCCTTCTTGATTTCCTGCATGGACCGGCTCGTTCTAGCTGGAATCTGCAACGGCCCTCTTGGGTCCTCCTTCAATTTGTGGAAGATCGAGGAGGCCACCATGGAGTTCAGCGAGATTGCGATCATGCCTCATGACTTGTTGTATGGGTTGTTCGATGGGGATGAAGAAGACAAGTTTGCAAGCTTGAAATGCGTGGGGTTGGGCAATCTGATATACGTGTTCAATGAGGAGTATCACAAGAAGTACCCAGCTTGTATCTGTGAGATTAGCAGTGAGGATGGGAAGTGCAGATGGAGGAAAGTGCCCCAATTGCCTTCCCCTGTTAATAAGTTCCATAAAGTTGTTAGCTTTTCGTCCACAGTTTCGCTTCATAGTATTCTTCAGAGTGAAGGAGGAGGAGATGTTGTTGCTCCTTTGCAGCCCATGTTTGACTGATATTTGCTTGCTCAATTTCTTGGTATGAATTCATTCATGTTCTGTTTTCTTGTTCATTTATAGCTTTTTGGTTTGTGTTACTCTGTCTGCTTGGCATTAGTGTGAGATTTTTAAAGTTTGGAATTGCAGTTTGTAAGGCTGTTCTTGGTTGGTTTGAATTTGTTCAGTAGGATTTGCTTAGCTACAATGGTTCTTCATTGAATTGACAAGAGCTTCTATGCCAAATTTAGAGTAGATCAGTAGGCATCATGTGTGAAGTTTAGGTTTCCTTGAAGAGTTATGATTGGATTTATTAGAAGAAGGAAATCTAAGTGGCTAAATCTTTCACGGAAAATTTTCGTAAGTAATCTAAGTGGCCAAATCTCAATCACAAATTTTGTGGCAATGTACGTACTGAAAAGCCAATAAGTTTGGGGCTCATGTGGCCCTAACTCTAGGTGACTTAGTTTAGGCCAGATAAATTAATGTTAATGGTAGTTGTGAGTGGAAAGCATGGTATAAACAGGCTATGCAGTTAATGCTGCTCAATGTGCGTATTGGGTTGCAATTTTTATGGCCATGAATTATGAACATTCATCGTATAGAAAACACAGCCCCTTTTACATCACTGCTTGTATTATTAAGGTGGCAAGACTAGTTAGTCCATTTTCTGCCTTTTTACCTCTTAGTTTGCCACACTTCTGTGCTCCTTAAGGTACTTAAATTTCGGTGGTTGATCATTTCATATAAACCAATTACCTTGTGGAGATTTGAGGCCTTCAATCATATATTGCATATCTACTCTATGGATGGCATATGTGCTCCCCGATTTGGAAGGGCATGTGCATGTGCAGTGCATTGACAACAAACAACTTAAATGCATGGTACCTGCTCTGACTATAAGAACATGATGCTAATGATGCGTACTAACATTTCATTGCCTGCAACTTGCTTGACACAACGCAGATAGCAGGGTTACTTGGCCAAGAAAAAAGAGCATGTTTCAAATGTGTAGATAATGCTGGAGGGTGGTTCTTTTATATCGCCTAGCATCTTCTTGTCCTTTGTGTAGATGATGTTTAAAAAGCTTCTATACAACAGACGAGCAAATTAAATCGTTGACGTTTATCAACCTTCTCGTCCGTCCCGGTTAAAGACATCCTGACTCCTTGTATTATTCTGCTTAATTTCGTAGCATCTGTATATTAAGTACTCTTATTGTTTGTGTTATCATTTGACGTCAATGATCTGATGTTTGGTAAACATTTTGTAGGTTGGTAATTTTTGGCTTCAAAGAAACAGTTTGTACTTTTAAGCTGGTAATTTAAGCTACCCGGGGAATTAATTTCTGTTCATATTCAACACTGTATGCAGTAATATCTCAGGGACCCCAGGCTTGTTCTGCCTTTCTTGATAGAAGATTGCAGGCCTGTTGAGATTTTGAGTGATGTTTTGTTTTGGGCCTTTCGGCCCTGCATTATTTTTGTACCCAACAAAAATATTCAACGGTATCGGAGTACGTTATTCGTACTCGCCATGTTATTGCCAGCCCATGAGATTAATAGTAGCACACTTTATTGGAGAATCTTTCATATTTTATAATCTTACTTCCTAAGCAAAGCAAGTACAGTCGGTGATCACTTTCTCAAAAGTCAATAAATTTTAGTGAAAACATTTTTACTTTGACACTTGACCAAATCATCATGACCCAGAAAATAAAAAATTGATTACACCATGATTTTATCAAACAAAACAAATTCCAATATAATAAGGGATATGTTTAGACCAGTAAAAAACGGTTTTCATTTGCAAACTGATGGTCTCAAGTTTGAACTCATGGTTAAATTATCGCTTGTATTTAAAAACATGGATATATTCTATCTAAAGTTTACTACATGATATCAAATAAATATTACCTTAATGTCACATCTACCACAATACTTGCCAATTGGAGTGTACATGCCATCTAGGTGCACTCATCACCAGTTGTTGGATTAAAGAAAATACATGCCAATATAATAAGAGATGTTTTATATAGATGCGACATCTGATAATGAGTTATGTCCCCAAAGTATTGAATGTTTGCAATATTTTAAGAATTTCTTCAATAATAATGTAAGCGTATCTATGAGCAGTTACCCATTAAAGGCAAATTCGTAGTCGCATAACCTATGCCTGAACGACGAGAACGACATAAGTAATTCTCTTTAAAAAAAAATTTCAAATAGATGAACTAGTCAAAGTCCAATATTCATGTAACTAGTAATGAATACCATACATAATTTCCTTATTAGGGTTTTTTTTCCCTAATTCTTTTAATTTTTTCCATTTCGGCCACCAGCAAAAGAAAAAAAAACCCAAAGAAATACACCTCTACCCAACTGGAGTAACACGTGGAGCCATATGGTGAGCAGGAACACGTACGCTACTCAATCCTGGGCGTTGGTCTGTAACTTCTATCAATTTTTATTCTGTCACGAAAAATAAAAACAGCGAAAATCCAATTGGGTTGGCTGGAGCTATATACGCTGCACAAAAGGGCACGGGTTTTGATTGGGTGTGTGAGGTTTTAGGTTTTTGGCGAATTTCGCGTCTTTTTAACCGCTTCATTTTCTCACTCTCTCCTCTCCTCACTTTTTCTCTCACTCGCTCTCCTTCCTCTAGGGTTTTAGGGTTTTCTCATCTCCATACCAACAACACCTTCGCTCTCCCAAATCCAAAACCCAAAAGCCATGGACAAGTTCCAGAGGGTCGAGAAGGCGAAGCCCGCGGTGCCCATCAACGTCAACGAGATCCGTATCACTACCCAAGGTGCTATCAGAAACTACATCAGCTACGCTACCACTCTGCTTCAGGTTTTTCTCCTCCTCTCTTTGATCTTCCATTCCCAGTTTTTTTATTTTGATGCTTTGATTCATTATTTGTTTTTGTTATTGTTTGTGTCGTTTCTGGGTGGTTTCGCTTTTGCATGTGTTTTTTTGGTAATGGCTTTTCTCTGTTTGGTTTATTGGGTCGTTTTTGCTTCTGATATTGATGGGATTTTCACCGATTTTCTTTTGTGTGTGTTGTTTTCACCGGTCCTGGTTGATCATGTTGCAAATCATGTTCAGATGATAATATGAATGTTCTGTAGACTGCTTTTTGGGTTTCCTGGTTGTTGTTATGGAAGTCACATGGGTAATGTAGCTGTAGTTGGTTTTTCCTTTGATGGCCTTGGCTAAGTTTTCGTTGTATTTACGACGAAGGTCTTTCATAATTGTGCCTTCGTGTGGTTCACAAAGATGCTAGCAGTTAGGGTTTGACTGCAAAATTGGACAGTGTTAGTGCTTTAGGAATTCCAATGATCAACTATTTACATCAAAATTGGACTGTAAACTTCAATGAGGAGGTCTTAGTCTCCATGTTTGTGTCAAGAATTCAATTTACCAAACAATCAGTGGTATACGAAGCTTTGGGAATCTATAGCAGTTGTCTCGTGTAAATGTTTGCATGATATGTTATGTCATTTGAGATATAGACCAATTTATACCCGTGAGTTCAATGGGGCTTTGAGAAGCAATAACAATGTTCTAAACTTGTGGTTGCAGAAGATATCTGTGCTTCATCATGTTTTAGGATACTTAGTCTTAAGGTTAGTAGGGGCTCTATTGTTAATACCAATCTTTTGTCTTCAACACATCTCATGTCACAAGGCCCTCTTGGTGAGAATATTACTTTTATTTTCTCCAATTGGGAAGCATTCTGCTTCTTTATTGTTCTTGTCAACATCCATTAAGAAGCCGGTCAAATGTTTTCGGTCACACTAAGGCTTTACTATGACGAAAGTCCATATTTGGTTAACCCCTGTGTTTGATCCAGGTGTCAGTCTTTCTATGGATTCTGTATATATCTCTGATTCTTGGGCATTACTTGTTTGGTATTGTTTCGTTGGAATGGGTTGACATGATACGAACAATGGTTAAATTATAAAGAATGTTCCATAATCTACTCATATCATTATTATTGTTTTTCATTCAGAGGATGGGCCAGAAATCATACCGCTTTGTGCTTGAAATATATTAAGCTTGAGTTTTCCTTATTATGGTCTCTTTGTATGTTTGTTGTTATTTTGTTTTTGTTATGTTCTAGGAATTCTAAGGTTAACTTTCTCTCTTACTCCGATTTTTTTTTTCTCACAGATTTCACCCCAAAATCCTAGTGCTATAGAACAAGTGTCTTATTTATGAAATTTTGTCTGAATGGTTTGTATGTGTGGTATTGGTGGTTCCTTTATCCTTCCATCTGAATTTATGAGCTGATTTATTATGGTTTATGACATTTTTCCTTAGGATAAGCAAGTAATTGAGATTGTCTTGAAAGCAATGGGACAGGCAATCAGCAAGACAGTTGCCATTGCTGAAATTATAAAGGTCGTTATCCTGAAACATATCTCCTTCCGTATCCCATCCACCCCCCACCCCCCCTCTCTTCCCTCTCTCACCGGTGCACAACTAACCAGTCATTTATGTCTTTAAACAGAAAAGGATTCCCTCGTTGCATCAAGATACTGCCATCAGCTCTGTAAGCATAACTGATGTATGGGAACCTATTGAAGAGGGTCTTGAATCGTAAGTTTCTGATCTTAAAATTTCACTGTCCAGTTTTGTATATATAGATATATTTTATGGGTATTGTATTTTTCTTTTCTGCTGATTCAATGTGCATGTATCAATATATGTTGCAGTGTGGAGACGACTCGTCATGTCTCAATGATTTCAATCACATTATCAACCAAGGAGCTAAACACAAGCTCTCCTGGGTAAGTTCTGAAATATTTTAAGAACTCTACCAAGATTGCTTCTTATGGATAAGTATAAAATTCTTCTGCTAAGTATGCATAATATTGAGCTTATGGAAAATATTTCTCCTTCTTTTTCTGGTTCCTCTAACTTTAATCTTTTTGGCATGTCCCCTTTCCATAGGTATCAAGCTCCATATGTTGCTGAACAATCAAAGTCACAGCCCAATTACCAACAGCAGCAGCAACCAAAACAAGCACGGGCTTCATACAATGCTGTCAATGAAGGTGATGCTAACGACAACTTATCAAAAAGCTCATTTTTAAGCAGGGTTCATCTTTTCAACTTATAAAATTTTTCATTGATTTGGTTCTTAGATTCATATGGCCGAGGTCGTGGACGTGGTAGAGGGAGAGGGCGGAATTGGGGCAGGGGTGGAGGATACGGCAACTATCAAGGTGGATATGGTAACTATCAAGGTGGATATGGAAACCATCAAGGTGGTTATGGAAACTATCAAGGTACAATAAATGGAATCACATAATTATTTTATGGTATTAGTTCTTTATCATGGTTTTATGAAGTGCTTATATATATATAGTTTACATTAAGATAAAGCTGCTCTTGACTTGCACCATTTTTCTGATAGATAATGGTGGATATTCAAACCGGGCAAGAGGTGGAGGACGTGGCAGAGGTTGGGGTAATCGTGGTAAGTTTGCTTCTTTAATTGCCTATACAAGGAAAATACCCTGTGCATCATTTTCCCCCCCTTTTTTCTTAAGCTTTGGTGTCTTTGTGTGTGCATTCAATTGTTCAATAGTATCCATATAATGGTTTATCTGGTGACATACACACTTTACCCTTGAAGATGTGTACTTTGGATATGAATTTTTTATGGTGCATGTGTGTGTTTGTTGCATATGCTGTTATGGACTAATTGTTTCAAGCCTTTGATATTCATATAGGTGCTGGTGGCTATGAAAGGGGTGCTGGTGGCTATGAAAGGGGTGCTGGGGGTTATGAAAGGGGTGGTGCTGGTGGGTATGAAAGAGGAGGTGCTGGTGGGAATGAAAGAGGAGGTGCTGGTGGTGGGTATGAAAGAGGAAATGGTGGTGGTGGGTATGAAAGAGGAGGTGGTGGTGGGTATGAAAGAGGAGGTGGTGGTGGTGGGTATGAAAGAGGAAATGGTGGTGGTGGGTATGAAAGAGGAAATGGTGCTGGTGGGTATGAAAGAGGAGGAGGTTCTGGTGGGTATGAAAGAGGAGGTGCTGGAGGATATGAAAGAGGAGGTGCTGGTGGATATGAAAGAGGAGGTGCTGGAGGATATGAAAGGGGTACTGGTGGTTATGAAAGAGGCAGAGGTGGAGGGGGAAGAGGGTATGGCCGTGGGCGAGGACGGATGGGTGGGCGCACCAGGGGTGTTGCAAACCAAGCATAAATCTAAAGTTGGTGATATTTTTTGCTTCAGCTACATGCATGCCTTTGGCCTATGAGGGTGCGGTTTATCAGAATACTGTTTCAATAGCGTGAAATGCGGTGGCCTTACAATATTTGGCGTTGTTAACAGTGTTTCTATTTTGATGTTTGCCTCTTGCATTATATTTTGTGGATATGGGCAGGCTTGTTTTTGGGTTTTGCATTTAGCCAAGTGAAGAAAATGCTCGGTTTAGTATTTGCTGTAATTCTTTTCACCATTTGTTTCTGCCAATATTGTATCTAGAGCTTCCTTGCAATATATCTTTATTTCTTTAAAAACCATTTACTCTCCTCCCATTTTCTTCAAATGTATAATGCAAGTAGGAAAAAAAGGGGGAAATGTGGAGTGACCAGGTATTAACATAGGAAGAAGTGACATGACCGTGACCAGGGATATGATTGGATGGAGGCAGGACATTGACCAATCCTGGAACATTTCATACTAAATTTCGTTTTTCTTTCCTTCATTTGCTGTCTCTTCCTGTTGGTCAATTAGGATTTGAAAATTATGTAAAAATATGGCACATCGGTTTCTGGTGATATTTGTTCTATTTGTAGAAAAGTCAAGCGACTTTGGTGACTTAGTTTCTTGCTGGTTTAAGGTTTGTCCCTAACTCCTAATTGTTGAGACGCGTTCCAAACTTGCCTGCGAAAATGGACATTGACAACATCCACTTTGGGTCTTCCAATGTTTTAAGAAGCCAGCAAATCTGTCTTTTGGTAAATTGGTGGTTGTTTGCCTTTGCAAATAAGTTTAAACGGGGCTTCCCAAATAGGTAAAAAGAACCTTATCACGGATAAACTATGGGATAAAGCTAAGCTCGCTGGTGGTCGACTATGATGCTCCATCCATGTACTAGATGAAGCTTTTCATTCTCTTTCCTCCATCCATGTACAGATAGGGTGCTGATTTGTCACATGGCAGGTGGGAATTTATTGTTAAAATGCAACTCAATTGTAAAATTGCAACCATCTTAAAAGTTGTTTCTCACCTTTAAGATTTGAAACATATATCCTTCTATCTTATTTTTAAATAAATAAAAAATGTTTAAAACGGATAAAGAATAATTAAAAGAGCGTTAATTGAGAAATACGGTTATTCTGGAAGCGAATCCAACACTCACTTAAGCCTAATTCTAATCCACTTTTCTACTCGTCATGATCACTTGAACTAACCTGCAAGTTTTAAGACTAATTCTAACTCACTTTTCTACTCTCATGATCACTTTAACTAACTCACAAGTTTTAAGGTACAGTTAATTTTTAGGCATGGGATTAGACTAATGACATGATAAACGAGAATAGAGCCATAAATTGAGGTAATTTGAAGTATGAGATATCTCAGACAAGGACTTCAAACAAGAAGCAAGAATATTAACCATTTTGTTTTGCCCCTTAATGAACCAACCACCAATTGGGTTTGAGTTAAGCGGAGACAACCCCGTTATAACAATCATGTGTTTGTAGACACATAGAGGAAAAGACACAAACACATAGACATAGTTGTACTAGTATGACTTACGTAACATAATATACACCTCATTTCAATTTTATATATGATGATTAAGATTGACAGAAAAATTCGACATAGGTAGGGCCGTGGGAGTTACATTTCATACTTTGTGTCCATATGTTAATATCTTTTTTGAGCTCTTACACAACAAAATAGTTAGTCCTTAGTTTACCTAATTTCTAGATTATTTATAGAAGCATCTGAATTAAGTATTAAAAAGAATAAACATTTGAAGATTAAGGTTATGCCATTAAAAAAAAGTAATTCATTTAAGATTGAAAGACACAGTTTTACATTAAGATCAATAACGTAACCATATTGTCTTTCGTTTCTTCTAGTCGTTACGCGCATTGAATGAGATTGAACCCCACGGCAAAGAAATATTCAACTCTATTAATTTATATTCCCATGGGAAGTTTCCAAAATATAATCAAGCATAACAATCAGATGCCATAAAGGGGTGCTGATATAGATGTATCAGGGTTGATCTAGAAACAAACAACGAAATTTTGACCCTAAATTTTGACTCCGTATATACATACATCAACTTATTTGGAAGCACTTTTCCTCACAAGGCCATGAAGCATGTCCAGGTTCATCTTTTGCCACTGCACACACTCTCTTCCACTTTCATGACGCCATTACATGCTTACTTTCAAAGTGCTTCTATGGATATCTTTTTTAACTTATTAAAAGTAGCAACAAAATTTAGTGCTCAGAAGATACGTATCACATCCTTGGGCTGCTTCTTAGCTGCCTCCTAGAAGAAATCTCAAGCTCCCAATAATCCAAGCTGGTTCAAACATGCGTCTAGTGTATCGAACTGCTTTAAGGGTCAGGTTCACCCGTACGAACTACAACCCGACGTCTTCTAAATCATCTTTTTTCTTTTCTTTTCTAAAACACCTATTTATTTCTTAATCTAGACGTAGAGTGAAATGTATTTGGCTTAGTTAAGTGTACACATACATTAACAATGGATTAGGTAAAATATCTTAGTTCATCACTCCCAAAAACTGCTCTACTCTCTCTCTCTCTCTCACATGAATTTGGTCCAAAAAAGAGATGACATTTCTCGATGGTCACTTTCTATCTAAAGTGGTGGCATGTGACATCTAAGGTTACCATAAAATAAAACTTGGCCACAAGAATCAAGAGCACCCTTTAGAATGAATGGTTCACTTTGTTGATATGTATAGTAATTAAAATGATAAGTATATCTCTAAAACTTTAAATCATTTGTGTAAATAAAATTGAAATTGAATTAAAAATGACACTGTCACTATATAAATCATAATTGACCTGGTACTCTTGTTATTCTCCTTGTATATACCTTATTTAAGTTATTTCTTATTGTAGTTTCCGTCACATTGTACGCAAAATTATGCGCGAATAATATTTTTTATTAACAGAGTTTCTACCATAATCTTGTCCGGATTCACTTGAAAATTGAGATAAGATAGGCAAGAATTTATGTTTATTTTAGGTAAACGAAACCCATCTATAGTTCATAGGTTGGGCTCAATTTTACTAATGACCTTTTAAAAAGTTGCATGATCGATTATCCCAAACCAACAGAACACAAATTATTGTGAGGTGGTTGCGTGAGTGAAAAATAAATGAATAAATAAAAATTTAATCTGACTAAATGGCAAGAACCCTAGGGCCCCTCCTTCTGTGGGGCCTAGCCCCCATTATTTTAATCACATCGTAGGGTCCTCGTTTATTTAATCATGTTAGCAGAAACTAAAAAGCCATGAGAGGATATCCCCAATAATACTAGGAGGCATGGAATCCCAGAAAAGTTGAACAACAGAGCGACACGTGTCCCGGCCGACACGTTGCAGGGCAGCTGATTGGCAGCTGAGTGAGCACAAGCATACAAAGATGAATGAGGCCCTAATTTGGCACAAAGTTCATGCTCATCTTATAAAACCCAAATAATTTTCAAAATATAAATTTGATATTGCTTCCATAAATTGGACCTCCTTCTCTCTTTCTCCTTTTCCAGGGAGTGTAGACCCAGCAGCTCTTATTTTATTTTCTTTATTTTATTTTTATTTATAATTTATTGGAGCCAAATACAGAGATTATTAATTTGATATTCAGGCAGAGAGAAATTAAGAGAATCATGGAAGGCAGTTCCAAGATGAGCAGCCCAAAGGGGAAGAAAGATGATCTCTACCATGTTATTCACAAGGTTCCTTCTGGTGATAGCCCTTATGTTAGAGCCAAACATGCCCAGGTTGGTCTCCATTTGCCTCACTTTTTCTGGTTTTGTTTTGGTTTTTGGGATTTTGGGTTCATTTTAAACAAAACCCATGAATTGTTTTTGCATGATATATAATATATTTGTGTGGTGAGTTTAGATTGCATGCTTAATTTCATGCCATAGATGGGTTTTCTTGTGGCTGCCTGCGCATATTGCATCCTTTGTGTAATTCAAGTGTGTGGGAGCAATCATGCATATCATTTCTTGCTAATTATAACCAAACATTTACTTACTCTCTCTCTCCGCTTCTTTGTTTTGCGTGCCTTTTTGGCATTGCTCTTTGGCTTTGGCCAGCTTATATCTAAACCTACTTCTTCCTCCAATTGCCATGGAGATTATTATTGCTTAGCAAAATCTTTGTATTTATTTATGGATTGAAAGTTCTTCAACTTATTAAGATGGATTGATGAATGGTTGACTTGGGATCGTTTTGTTGTGAAGAAAACCAACCATAGAGCTCGAACATGAAGTTCAAACTTCACACATACTTTTTTTTTCTTTTTCTTTTTCCCAAATTCAAGTGATTATGCCAACCATGCAATCGACTCCTTTTTATTTTTAATGTGATTTGTATTTTTTTTTCAATTATAAATATTTTTATGATATATGTGGTTGAGTGGTGAGTTAGATCTCATTGTCAAATATAGTTTAAATTAGGTTACAATAATGTCTCAACTCTGCAACCGTGAACTTTTTAGCCATAATTAAATACAAAATGTAGTTAAAATTAAATACCTTAATTTATCAATTATTTTCTTCAAATTATTAAGTTGGTAGAATTTAGAAATTCAAATCACTTTACTTAATCATCTTATTGTAAATGTGGACGATCTTAATTGCCTGAATATTATTGAACATCAAAGTTGATAGGCATGAATGATATATCATTACAAAATAAAAGTATTTACTTTTTGCCTACCTTTTCCGCAACTTCAACGATATGAATTATGGGGAAGCATATTCTCATACTTTACACATATAGACTAGTTTAGATTATCCCATATAGTTTAGATTATCGCTTGTAATCAAAAAAATTTATTTTTCGAGAAAAGGGTAACACTCATTTTCCGTCTTCGTGCATATCTTTACAATATTGTAAATGACATCATTATAACGAAAATGTTATTTACAATCCAATACTAAAAAACAGGACTCATTTGCAATAATTAACAAAAATGGAAAAAGAAAATTAGAGTGTTATTGAAGCTGGGGGGGCCACGACCATGTGGATGTTGGATCTAAATCCTTGCGGAAAAAGAAAGAAAAAGAAAGTTGTTTATATATGACGCAGTCTTTCCATTTAGTATTGGTCCACTTGTCAACAACATGCAGAGAATGACAGTTCTTCATTGTATTTTTATTTATTTTCTTATTATTTATTAATGGGCCTTTGGAGGCCCGCGTATTGCCCTATCTTGTCGAATTTTCTCCAACACAGTTTTTGACTTTTTTGTACAACAATTTTCAGCTAGTTGAAAAGGATCCGGAGGCTGCGATAGTTTTGTTTTGGAAGGCAATAAATGCAGGAGACAGAGTAGACAGTGCCCTAAAAGACATGGCAGTGGTGATGAAGCAACTGGACAGAACTGGAGAAGCCATTGAAGCTGTCAAGTCTTTCAGAGGCCTCTGCTCTAAACAGGCCCAAGACTCACTTGACAATGTCCTCATCGACTTGTACAAGAAATGTGGCAAAATTGAGGAGCAAATTGACTTGCTCAAGAGAAAGCTAAGGCTTATATACCAAGGAGCTGCCTTCAATGGAAGACCCACCAAGACTGCGCGCTCTCACGGAAAGAAGTTCCAAGTTTCGGTTACGCAAGAGACCTCGAGATTACTGGTACGATATATTATTATATATCTAACATGTTATGTTATCATATTAAGAACCAACATCGTAACATGATGCATTTAAACTTCACAGGGCAATTTGGGCTGGGCCTATATGCAAAAGGGGAACTTCATGATGGCGGAGGTGGTGTACCGGAAAGCCCAAATGATCGACCCGGACTCGAACAAGGCCTGTAACTTGGGCCTTTGCCTGATCAAACAGGGCCGGTACGAAGATGCCCGTTTGGTCCTTGAAGATGTGTTGGAAAGTAGACTTCCGGGCTCTGATGAGAGCAGGTCAAGGAAACGAGCCGATGAGTTGCTAATGGAGCTGAGGTCCATGCATTCTCAACCTGAGTCGTTCGATCTATTGGGCCTGGATGATGATTTGGTCAAGGGGCTTGAGCAGTTGATGAATGAAGGGGGCCCAGTTAGATCCAAGAGGCTCCCCATATTTGAAGAAATCTCTCAATTTAGAGATCAAGTGGCATGTTAATATTTTTGGGGGGAATTTTTTTCCTCCAAAATCTAATCCTCTTATGGTGTTTCTTTTGTTCATATGTAGGTGTGTTAAAATAGGTTGTGTGTTTAGGCCCCAAAAAAAGAAAGAAAAAAAACACAAAAAATTTGTGTTGTGTGAGGAAGAAATAAGGTCCCTTTTGTACATAAATGATTTGTGCAGGACAAAACCAAGTTAGTAAGAAGAAAGTGAATTGGGAACCAATTATTTATTGGTTCTATTCGAGAATAATGAAATTATCTCTTGCTACCATCAACAATAAACTCAATATGAAAAAAAAAACACAAATGCATGGATGAAAATACAGCCTATACCAAGAATATATGATTCTAATCCTTCTAGTTAGGGCAAAGTTGCAGTTTGATCATTTTAGTTTCAATTGTCGAGATTTTTAGAGCTTATTTAAGGAATTCAAGTCAAAAACGATGAGATAATTTCGTTAATATTGAAAAAATATATAATAGGTCATTGAACTTGAATTGCAACAATTAGTAAACTACGCGGTGAAATAGTAACAATTTTACAACTACACTCTATATGAACTAAAAACGTGAAATTTAGCCGAAACTACATGTTCCAAAATTATTTTATAAATTTTAAAAAAAGGAAAAAAAGAAAAGAAAAAGGAATATCTTTATTCTTATGGTCAGCGTCGGAAGGCGCGACCCAACTAACCCGCCACATATTGGAGAGCCTCACTTCTGCCAGAATGCCATTTGCCTTCTTTTAAATTACACGAAGCTCTCCTCACTTTCCTTCTCAAACACTGACATAACATAACAACAACAAAACATTCCTTCAAGCTTTCATCTCAATTCATCACAAAACCTCAATCTCTCTCCACTCCAACCCAAAATCCCAGTTTTCTTTTTAAATTTTTCTTTCTTCAATGGCAGCCAAAGAGCCAGAGATCATAAGAGACAAGGACCAGATGAGGAGATGGTCAAGAGCCATGAGATCCCAAGGCAAGACCGTAGGATTGGTACCCACCATGGGCTACCTCCACGATGGCCACGTGTCGCTCATCCGAGAAGCCCACAACCACACCGACCTCATCGTGGTCTCGATCTACGTGAACCCGGGTCAGTTCTCTCCCTCCGAAGACCTCTCCACCTACCCATCTGATTTCCATGGCGATATCCAGAAGCTCATGGCCATTCCCGGCGGCGTTGATGTCGTTTTCAACCCTCACAATCTCTACGACTATGGAACCAGCAAAAACGCAAACGCAGCCGCACGTGCGAGTGACGACGCACGTGTGGGAAATGGCGGCAATGGGGTGGTTTCTTGCGTGGAGGAAAACGGGTTGGGGCATGAGACTTGGGTGAGGGTTGAGAGATTGGAGAAGGGTATGTGTGGGCAGAGTAGGCCTGTTTTTTTCAGAGGGGTTGCTACGGTTGTGAGCAAGTTGTTTAATATAGTCGAGCCTGATGTTGCTGTGTTTGGGAAGAAGGATTATCAGCAATGGCGGATTATTCAGCGGATGGTAAGTTAACTTGTACAATTTTGCAGCCCTCCCCTGTTTTGGTTAATAGTTAGAAACCCGAATGCAGACGTAGGTTAAGCGATTTGGCTGGCTGGCCAGTGTGTCCGTCTCGTTGCACTCGAGTTTGAGCACCTTCGCGTAAATTAGAGTAATTTAGACTATCAATGATATCAAACTTAATTGCTCCAATAGTTTTAGAAAGAAGAAGAAATATTGCTGAGAGATGATGCAGTGGTGATTATTTGTGTGTTTGAATTTTGTGCAGGTTCGTGATCTTGATTTTGGCATTAGAGTGATAGGTTCTGAAATAGTGCGTGAGAAAGATGGGCTTGCAATGAGTTCACGCAATGTCCGCCTCTCACCTGAAGAAAGGGAGAAGGTTCTCTCTCCCTCTCTCTCTACATGCCTTGTTAATCTTCCTCATCTTCCAGTTTCTTTTTAGAACATTCAGTTTTCTGTTTTAAAAATTCATAAGTTCGTTCTTTATTTGTGATCCATCGACAGGCACTATCTATAAGCAAGTCATTGTCAAGAGCTAGATTAGCTGCAGAAAAGGGCCAAACTAATTGTATAGAGTTGAGAGACTTGGTCGCACAAGCAATACATGAATCTGGTGGAAGACTTGATTATGCTGAGGTGAGCATGTAACAACCAAAAAAGGGGATTAAGACTAATTGATATTCTCTACAGTAGTCAAAATAGATTTACTTGCAGCTTAATTTTTCAACCGAACAAAAAATAAACCCTAATTTAACAGAAACTAGAAAGATTAGTTCACAATGTTGCAATTTCTTGTGCATTTTGTCTGGCAGATTGTAGACCAAGAAAGTTTGGAGCAAGCAAAAGAGATCAGATGTCCTGTTGTTTTCTGTGTTGCTGCCTGGTTTGGAAAAGTGAGACTGATAGACAACATGGAGATAAACATATGAATCTTGTGTTCTCGACAGATAGAATGACCAAAAGTTGTACCTTTTTTGGGTTCTTTGGCAAAAGCCATCTTCATACATTATTTTCAAGGGACATTTCCCTCTCATGGTTTCAATTTTCGAACGAAAGCTATAAGATTGCAGCAATTTTCTTCTCTTTTTGGGTGATTGGAGTTTTCATGGTTGTTTAGAATGCTCATTCATAACATGCAAATTCAACACTAGTATGAAGATGCCCTTTCCATTTGTTGAACAACAAATCTAAAATCACTCACAGTGGTTTGCCAAATCACTCACAACAGCGCTACAACAGAAGTTCCATGGAACAAAAGGAACCAAAAACCGATTCGCACATCCAAGAGACTAATATTGAAAGAATTCACGAATCCAAGCTATACAAACTGTCTTACAATACAAATTATAGTAGAAAATAGGATGTGTAACCAAAAATAATTGTACGTGGACCGGCTTGTACATATCAGCACGATGAGCTCCATCCGGTTCCTGATTAAGATTCTCGCATCAGCATTTGAAGCCATTGCAAACAGATAGAACAATGATGAGAATCAGAGCAATTAAGATTCCCAAAACGATGAGCTTGATCTTCATGTTCTGCAGCCACATCTTCCTTCTCATCTGGGTTCCTTGCTGCCTGAAATCTTGTGCCTGTATCACCACATCAATCAGTGATGCAGATTAGAAAATAAACCAAACTAAATCCAAATGCATGATTCAGACACAGATAAAGAGAACTACACCAAGGCCTACAGCAATTAAGGGTTACTGATACCAATCAAAATGAAAGCTCCATCCAACCAATAAGATTCAGTTTCAGTACAAGTAATTGGCTATTGACATACACTTCACAATTTTAGATATAAACAAGCCAATTCAATCCGGCACAAATAAATTCCAATTAGTGTCAGATGGCATTGCTCTTTTAGCAGCATTGCAGGGTAAAACAAAATGACATGAAGTCCACACCTGTGAGCGCAGGTTCTCTGTTTTATCCACCAGAAGCTCTATTTTTTCCCCACGATCAAGAACCTGCAACAAAACGTCATCAGTCAAATAATGTTACACCAGAGTCATCCAAACATCACAAACAATCAACAAAGGACATAGCACGGCCTTACCTTTTCAATATTTTCCATCATAACTCCTTTGACTTCTGAGACCTGAGCTTTCACTTTAGCAAGCTTGCTGATCTCCTCAGGGTGATCCACACAATATTGCATATGCTCCTTCAGTTTGGACCTATATTATAGTAACCCAAATTGTGGCATTAGAATAATTCATAGCAAAGGAATGGCACTTTTGTTCAATTAGAGAAAATATAAAACAACAGCTACCCGAATTCCTTGTTCAGACTATTTGCTACTGCTGTTGCAGCTTTTCCTCCACCATATCTACTGGTAAAATCCTCCTTGATTCGTTCAAGGAAAGCAATAGGAATTTGTCGACCAATAGCCTCAACTGCAACTACACAGTATGCTGTAGAATCCAAAGGGTGAAGTTAGTTCCACTACTATGCACGTATAAGGATCAAAGTTCCAAGAGATTAGCAAAACGGGATCAATCCCGGATCAACTTCTTTAAATCACTAATTCTGTTTTGGTAAGCTTTTGACAAACTTGGTAGCAAGAAATAAATAGTAACGACCCTTCATTTGCTAATTAGATAACAATAAAACAAAAGGAGACAAAGAAAAAAGAAGGAAAAGAAAAAACCAAAGTTGCAAATAAATTGTGAAACATTAATCTTCCAGTCACTTACTACAAAGACATAATAAATGCCCACAACAAGGACCATAAATTTTCTGCTTTTCATTTAAGAAAAATGCCTATAATAATGAAAAACATTAATTGAGATCTGAGAATGAAATGAACCATCTCTTTCACATATTTTAAAGCTTATGATTACTACAACGATGTAGGAGCTCATCAAATACCTTAATCTTACTCATTTCAGCTGAGTTTTTATTCATCAGAAAACAAACAACAAAAGATTCTCAACCCATTAGAATTCACAAGTGGTAAGCAGTACGGAACCAGATCAGACAGAACAAGTGAGAAACAAAATGCTCATTTGGCTTCAGGAAAATTTGCGAGAAATCCAGGAAGAACATAATTTGGATTAGAATAGTTTTTAGTAACTGCAATCCCGGAAAATAAAACCCTCAATGAATTCATTTTATTCTCATCTCAGAAACCAAATCAACACTAAAAATAAAATTAAGCAAAACACTTCAAGCTAAAAATAACAGGTTTTGAAGTTTACTTCAAACATATATTTTTTTCGTTTTCATTGTGCAAACTTCGATTCTATGACTTATCTCAGTTTATTCTAAACATTTTCTTAGCTTCTGACCGAAAATAATAATAATAATTTCTCAGCTACCAAACGGCCTACTAAATTATTTTTTTTTTTTTTTTTTAAACCCCGACAAAAATGCAACAGCAGATACGAGCTTGGAAATCAATACGAATCTTATCGGATGGTCCCAAAGGAACCAAAATCTATACGAATCGAAAGCTGAAAACGAACGATTCTCCAAAAATAGCATGACTAAACATAGAAACCACCGAAACAATTCAAATCAAGCAAAAGAGGTAAACCAAACACACGATCAAGGGGTGGATCGGACCAAAAACTAAAACATCAATCAGATGAGATCTGATAGAGAAAGATAAATTACTGAAGCCATTATCGACGAGGTAGTTGAAGGTGTGGCCGTCGCAGTTGTACGTGAACTTGTTGTTAGTAGCAGGGAGTTTCTGGAGGCACTGCGAAGCTATGCTGGTGAAGTTTCCAGTGAATTCCGTGTACTCTGCGAGAATCACCGTGCCACGAGCCACGAAGCTGTAGATCAACGATTGCTGCCCCATCGATTCGATCCCCAAACCCTAACTCTAGAAGAGAAGCTTTCGATTTCGATTTAGAGAGAGAGAGAGAGAGAGAGGGCGGAGGGTTTGAGGGTTTTTTTGTTGCAGAGAGAGATTCAAAGTCACGGTGGTTTTATCGTGAGAGAGAGAGAGAGAGAGAGAGAGAGGGGTTGTTGCTTTGATGAGAAGCGAAGGGTCTTTGTTGTGAGGTTGTTAAGCTGCCCTCCAACTTCAGTGTAAATAACGAAAATGCCACGCAGCCTGGGAATACTGCAGTCTTATTTTGAATTTTATGAAACATTTGAATACTCTTTCTACAAAAGTCAAGGATCCGCGCAGGCCCCCTCTAGAACACCACGAAACTCATTCAAATCAAATCAAATGTACAACACGGTTTTTTAATTTATTTTTTTTTTTTTTTTTTTTTTTCTTTCTTTTTTCTCTAATCTATTATTATTTATTTATTTATTTATTTTTATTTTAAAATGTTTGTTTGCTAAATTTTGTTCCTATCATTTTCTACCAAGAACTATCTTATTCCCTAATTAAGTGGTTATATTTGTAAGTTGAGATCCTAGTGATGTTCTACCAAACTAAGCTGCATTTTAATGGAACCATATGACCCATCAACTAATTTGTCAATTCATGTCTAAGATTACCCCCTCCCCTCTTCAATGCTTCATTATTTCAGCATATCTTTGCTGTTGTTGTTGTGTAGCCCTACAAAACGGAAGTAGACCTACTTAAATACGTTATGTTCGATGTGTAAAACAATAGTCACGAGATTTACAACTTCAGTAATAAAATACTTTATCTCATATTCACGATCACAATTCGACTCTCTTTTTTTTTTTTGGAGCTCTTGTTTTGTTTGTTTCGCAAGTGCATATTATTATATACTATATGTGTGCACTGGTGCCAGAGTGGATACAGGACATGACCCTAATCTAGCTGACCTAGATGAACATGAGTATATAGTTTTTCCATTCTCTCGTACGTCACAAAAATATTACTATGTTTGTTTGATTATAATAAAGATATTGTGATTTGTTATATACCTATGCTAATCTAATGTTGCGTGACCAATCCCACTACCAACTTTACAAATAGAGAAACAAATAAAGGTAAAATATATATATCATTGTCAATGGATTGAAATTTCCGTACGTAGTATCCTACCATTTTCCTTTTAATTTCTTCTTTGTTTGGCCTTATTGTATACACTTTTGAGTACCATTTCGAAAAATTAATTAATTAACTTTTTGTTTTGAAGATTTCATTAATTTGTAACAAAGAGAAATAAACAACCAAGCCCAAAATGATGAATATCGCAAATGTTTTACTAGTACAGAGATTAGTAGTCCAAAATGATGAAAACTCAACCAAGCCCAAAGTTAGAACAAACTTCCCTCATTGAATAGCGTGCGAAAAACCCGAAAATACAAGACAAACTTGTACGTTATGAGTTTATACTTTCTTTGTCTCTTTTTTTACGTGACAAGTCACGTATTTACGTGATAAGCTACAAAATAGAGATGGAGATGGAGAAAAAAAGGTATAAACACGGAATACACGGTTTTTTCTCCCACATCACATCAGAGCTTGTGGTATATCAAATGAAGCTCAAAAAACATGAATTTGAATAGCATATTTTGCTCATTAAATGTCATCTGTCATGTTTGGGATGAAGGTTGCATATAATTGCAACAATTCTCACCTCGCCCCACATATAGTTTTAATGGACCATAGTGTTGGATATATTTTGTGAAAGTTTTAGCCCACCTCATTCATATAAACTTGGACCCAACCCACTAGTACAGGTAAGTTGGGTGGACCCGAACCCGACCCAAACCCAGACCAGACGTACTGCCATGGAGCAAACCCCAATGATCTTTTTGCACTTAAGAGCCGACAAGAAAAGGTGAGAGAAGAAAAAGGGACAGAATCGGAGACTCTAAAGTCGAAATCGAAAATGATTAGTGGGGTTTTAGCTTCAGCTTCCCCACAAGCTGTTTCTTCTCTGCTGTCTAAACCCAGAACCAGCTGCTGTTGCTATGCATCCAGCTCTGTTAGTGGTCACAAGCCATGCTCATCAGATCTCAAGCTCCAAAGTTTTGGCTTTTTTGGAACGAAGGGGTCTCAGAGAAGCAGAGTGCAGACCAATAGTAGCACCGGACCTGGTGGACCTGGCTCTGGTATTGTTATTATCTCTGTGTCCTCAAACTTCAACTTTTTATATATGAATTCATTGTTTGCGGTGGCCTTGTTGAATTATATGAGGTGGGTTCTTCTTCAAATGAAGAACGAACAAATTTTTGGGTTGTTTTGCTAATTCTGTGATGTGCTAATTTGGTTTACTTTGTGTTACGATTTTTTTGATGAATAATAATTTTTTGGTTATGGATTGGTTAGTCTAACCTACGCATCAATTGACTTCATTTTCTTCTTCTATTCCGGAATGGATTTTATTTGAGAGAAAAACCATAAATTTTAGTATCTGTTGTTTAAAATTAAAGGTGTTAACTTTCATCAGCATAAATGGAGCTTTTTTGATGAAATTGGGTTGCAGAGACTCTCTCTTGCAGTTAATTCTGTTTTAAGAAGATAAAAAGTTTTCTTCACCCTTTTCTGGAATTGTCAAGTTTTCCTGGAGAAATTGAAGTTTTGGCTTGGCAATTGCAAACAATTGAGGAACTGAATGTTGCAGGTGATGGTGATAGCAGGAGTGTTCTGGATGCCTTCTTCTTGGGGAAAGCTCTAGCAGAAGCCATAAATGAGCGTATTGAGTCCAGTGTTGGTGAGTTTTTGAGCACAATTGGTAGGCTGCAAGCTGAGCAACAAAAGCAAGTAGAAGAGTTCCAGGTAAGCATGGCCAGGATTGAAATCATTGCTGAAGACTTCCTTTAAATTTGTTTTCTAACTTTATAAGTTTGTCAAACATGTGTTTTGGTCTTGTCCTTTTCCATAAAATAAATTGCTTTTAGTGCCTAAATAAGCTATGGCGTCTTTTTTCATTCCAGTTCTGCTTTGCAAATTTGTTGTCTCCCCTCTTTCTCTGACCATGTTCAAGAATTGATGGATTGAAGCTAAAAGTGAAATCAAATTTAGATCATTTTCATCCTATACTTGATATGTAGGCACAATGTAATTTCTAAATCACTTTAGTTTAGAATAGATCATTATGCAAAGACACCAGATTAGTGTTGTGTAGGATCATCGGTTGCATAGTTCTCTTATTGGTTGCTCTAGATTGGGTGTGGACTGCCATTACCTTTCGCCTGTTAGTTCTTGAAAAGCATATGCTTAATTTCTTGATTATACACAGGAAGATGTACTGGAAAGAGCCAAAAGAGCCAAAGAGAAAGCAGCGCGCGAGGCCGCGGAGGTGGGACTAGCAAAACCACCTAGAGCGGAATATATAACACCAGTCACAATCACCAATGGCGTTACTCAAGTAACTTCAACAACCACGACCAGTAATGTCACTCCTGTGAATCAACCCTCATTGTCTGAGCCAGCTTCCCCAGCAACTGCGAATGAACCTGGTCCTGCCGACGAAGACACAATTTTTGGGGTGCCAATTGAAGAATGATGTCCATCTTTATGTATTAGCATATCTTACACCTTCCAGCCAACACAGTTGGTTTTTATTGCAGTGTAGAACACTCCCTATAAATTTCATAATAAGTTACTGATAGTCTTGGGTTGTCAAATTCATTTGTCAGATTTGTTTTATGGTCTCGCAGCAGCCTATGTCATATGGTGAAGAAGGCTTTACTTATTATCTATGTTTTTTCAATAAATAGTATCGCCGCGCGGCTATACTATTTACATATATTATTATATTTAACGAGTATAGCCTCTTTAATTAATTATATTATTCATAAATACATTGTATAGCCGTGCGGCTATACTATTTACATATAGTAACGGTATTTAATTATGAAGATTAGCTGGGTAGCTGACCCTGTTAGTCCGTTCTTGCAAGAGTAAGGCAGAATTTTTCTGCTTGATAGTTATATTTTAAGCAATAGTGACAATTACAGTGACAGCTACATTTATAGTTACATTTGTACTCAGGTCTGGGCTGGGTATCCATATTAGGTTAGGGAGTCAACAAATCCCAGTCATAAAGGACAAGAATAAATCGGACCTTAAATTGTAGAATGCCCCAATCACATAGGTTCGTTATCCAGGGTCTTGCGGCTGATGTGCCATTTGATAAGAGAGGATTGCCTTTTTTTGATGTTCTTTGTAAGGTAGGGGCGCGTCTGATAATATTGTTAAAAGGGCACAGCCAAAGCCTTCTTTTATTAAATATAAAAAGAGGGGAGGCGGAGGAAGTAGCTCTAACGATAGGAGGGAAAGGTCAGTCACTTGACTGTAAGAACGACTGGAAGGAGAGGACTTTGACAGCTCTATGTTTCATGAGGTCGAAGTATTTAACGAGTCTTCCCGCGCGGCTATACTATATATTATTATATTTAACGCGTATAGCCGTTCGGCTATACTATATATTATTATATTTAACACGTATAGCTGTTCGGCTATACGCTTGAAATAAATTATCTTTTTTTAATAGTATAGCAGCGCGGATATACGATTTACATATATTATTATATTTAACGAGTATAACTGCGGTTTAAATAAATCGTATAGCCGTGTGGCGAGACTTTAAATAAACAGTATTATTCTAAATAAATAGATTTACATTATACACTTTAAATAAATATTTTTTAAATATTATAGCCGCCCGGCTATACTATTAACATATTATTTAACGAGTATAGCCATCCGTCTAGACGCTTTAAATAAAGGGAGTTTCACTAAAACACCCAAAATGGGGGTTGAAATTATAAAAAAACCCAACACCCAAAACACTTTATAAACACACCCAAAACCCATCATTACACACACTCAAAACCCATTTATAAACACACCCAAAAAATATACAATTGTTGATTTTGAGGTTGATTTTGGGTGTGTTTCTATGTTTAAATAGTGCTTGGGTTTTTTTATAAATACATGTCTAGGATTGGGTTTATTTATAAATTTGTATTAAATAAATTATATTTTTTTAATAAATAGTATAGCCGCCTGCCATATACTCTTCAAATAAATCATCTTTTCTAAAAATGATTATGTATCCCATGGTCCTTCCCACTCTATGATACATGGCATACGTTTGGTTCAGGCAATTAACTCGGATGTTGCAGCTCTTTGGCATTTGTTTTAAAATCAAATTTGCAGCTATAATTGAAATCCAGCTTAAAGTTGCAAATAATTATCAAGCTTTTCTACTATTAGGCAGATGTAAATCCTGTCCATCCGAAAAATCTGAAGAACAGTAGTAGTCATACATAAAAAATTTAGAAAGGACAAAAAATAGGCTAGCTCAAGACTGAACTTGTTATGCATCTTGAAGCGCCTCTGATCCCATACAGTTCTGTTTTATGGTTACTGGCTATTCCTCCAGTTCATCATCACTAGCATCCATGGCAGATCCCTTGTTTTTGTAATCCACTTTAAAGTCATAGTCTCCATCGTCGTCCATAGCGTCCACCGAGGCTGAGGCTGCTTTAGCCTTTTTCTTTTTCTTCTTCTCTGCTCTCTTTATCTTAGGATTGAGAATACCTTCAGCTGTATACAATTTCTCATTTTGCCTGACAGTTTTAGTAGTTTTCTTTTCCTTGGTCTTGCCTGCATCATCTTCTTCACATGCCATGGTCTGGTCATCATCTTTATCAACCATACCTCCAGGACTTTCATCACCTTGACTTGATGGTCCTTGTCCCGCATCATTCTGGTGCACAACAATGTAAAATCAATTTACATTCAAAATTGATAATCCTCCGCAAAGTTTTAAATCAAATGTGAAATCAGTTGGCTTTCTATAAAAGACTATTCAACATATCTCTGAAGGACATGCACAGACAGTTCAATTGACCATACGTTGACTCCCAAAAGATATCAGATGAAGAGGGCTACCAACCATTTTTGCATACACTTACACCCAAAAACAAACAGTAGTAATCAATAGAAAACTAGCTTCAATACCAGTTTTCATTGACGTAAATTTATTTTGCAAGTTAGACAGCACCTATTCTTGGCAAAAAAACTGAGTAACAGAAAAAGAATTGATATGGTATCACAAACCTCTACAATATCTTTATCAAAATTGAGTGGGCAACTGGGAGGGACTTCAACAGGATGGAAATCACTAACAGACTTGAGGCTTCCAATGAATGAAGATTCTGCATTGTATACTTCATCAATGTTAAACACCTTGCCCAGCTGAGAAACAATGTTTGCCTCTGAAGGTTCCTCTTGATTCCTAACTGGGGGCATAGTGTAGTACGGAATTTTACCTGAAATTCATTGAACATTTAGCATCAGATAACTCTGCAAGCATTTACTTTCTTCACAAATTAACTTTTCCCAGAGTTCTTGTACTTGACAACTACATGAATGAAGGCAAATGCGTACCCTCATTCCAGTCATGCAGAACAATTCTTGCTGCAGCGCTGATATCTACAATACCACCCTTTTTTAGCTTACCCCTAACCGTAGCCACCTTATGCAGAAAGTCATCAACTGAATCAAAGCTTGGGAGCTTGTATAGAGTTACCAACAGTCTGTCTGGGCAAAGCTTCAAAATTTCCTTTACTGTTCAACAAAGGGCAAAGTGAGTAAATCTTGTTTGAAACAAAATTCCAGAAAGAAGGCAAGGCAAATAAGTTTCATATGCAATTGCATCCACTAAGCATTCTACAGTTCAATGCATGTGTAAAGCAGAAACCTACAGAGTTTCAATATGCACCAGAAGGCACTCAAGCAGCTTAACAGGCTTAAATGAAGAATGGGAGAATGGGCAAGTACCTGGAGCAATTGGGTCCTCTAGCTTCTCAATTCTTTTGCAATTTCGAAGAGCTATAGAGGCATCATTTTCCTTAGATCTAAGCATTACAACACCAGGGCAATCCAACAATTTGACATTATTATCCAACTGAACTTCTTGCATCGATCTTGTTAATCCTGGAGTAGAACCAACATTGACAACACGGCTTCTCTTCAAACTATTAATGAGACTACTCTTGCCAACATTAGGTAGGCCAATGACACCCACTGTAATTGATTTCTTGATCTGCCAGAGATAAAGGCTCACATTTACAACAGGAATAATGTGATGGATGATTCAAACTTGTACTCATATTCCAGCAACGAAAAACCTTAATTGTAGAAAGATATAGACACACACACACACATATATATCTATGGAAATCCTTCCAAAAACACATACCTCATGGCTTCTTGAATAGTTCTTCAACAATTTAAGAAGAGTTTCAGCTCCGAGGCAGTCACTCGTCTGCAGAAGGTTGCTGGGCTTTGATTTCTTTGAGGAGGATTTCCACCCTAAGTTTGACCTTTGCTCTTGGGTGTTACACTTGAAGGCAACAGCTGGTAACTCTTCCCTCAGATAACTGAGCCACTTCTCAGCAGCTTCTCGCGGGATGAGATCTGAGATTCAAGAATCATTACAATCAATAAAGGCTGACATGTAGATACAAGAAAGCAAATGACCGTACAAAATCAATGTTTTAAGATGCCGGAGAGCAAGCAAAGTATTACCAATTTTGTTTAGAAGTAGCACGAGATGCTTATTAGGTCCTGACTTCATCACCATCTTTTCCATATCAATACATCGGGTACCCAGGGGATCTCGAGCATCAAGTACCTCCAAAATGACATCTGATGCTTCAATAACTTTAACCAACTCCTTGTAGAAAGCCCTATCTGAGCTATCTGTACAAGAGGGAAAATATTTTAAAGAAAATTTGAAGGAAATACATAGAAAAGGCAGTGATAAATTCAAGCTCAACCACCAGGCACCAAATAACACATCTTCCCAAAAACATCAAGTTACAGCATACCCCGATTATTGCCAAATCCAGTGGAATCATCAATACCCCTTTCCTCTGCCACTTCATCCAAATTGGGGAGATCTTCATCCTCTAAGATCCCCAGCTTCCTCTTCTGGGCCTGAATTAAAATAAAGAGTTTCTTAACCGATAGAAATAACTTAACGTGTGTATAAAAGCAGGAAGTGGTTGCACCTAAAAGATGAAGGTGCAAATAAAACAAACATATGGTACCAACAAAACATACATTAGGAATTGAACATTGCGCTTCATTCGCATAAAAAAACATACTTTTTTCTAAATTATCATGAAGAGTTTGCAACTTATGAGCACACAAGCTCAAAATGCAGACTCACTTATTCTCAGTAACCAATGCATCAATATGCTAGTAATATTATCAAGCTTGAATGCACATATTTGTAATCCGTATAAAAACTACTCAGAAACTCCCCAACGTCCAATTCATAAATTATTACCCAAAAAAATAAAAAAAATCAATCACAGAAAGAAAACCAAATGCTTGATAAATAAACTGAAGCCATACCCTTTCTTTGCGGGCAGCTTTCTTTTGCTCCACTTCTTCGATATGACGCGCACGACGAGTTTCTAAGGCCTTAAGCTCCTGCTCCTTGAAGGGCCAGTCATTAGGGATACCTGGGTCTTTCTCTACCTTCTTGTTCTTGAAGCCGAGCTTTTTGGCCTCCTTGGCCTTCTTCTTGTGGTGCTCCTTCACCTTTCTTATGACCTTGTACTTCTTCTTCAATGTCACTCTCTTACTCTTACTCTCTGCCAACCATTAATCAAATTCCAATTAATTCCCAAAATGAAATTGAGAAAGAAAAACAAGAACTTTACAGTCAAACTAAGATTATGGATATGAAAGTTTCGCTTACTTTTACTCTTCTTCACCATCTTCGGCTATTCTTGAATTGAACCCCGGCTACAAGAGTTTCTGGAGTGAGAATAGCTATTGAGAGGGAGAGAGAGGAGGCACTTGAAATTTAGGGTTTTGCGGAGAAGTGAAAGAAGACGACCTCTGATGCGGTTTAGGGTTTATCTACTTGGGTTGCTGCGGGTTGACCCGACCCAAAAGGCTTCCCTAATGGGTCTAAAAAGCTGGAAATTATGTTGGTGATATTGGGAAGTTAGGCCTGGCCCAACCTAAGGCTTGAGGCTTTTATTAAAAAAAAAAGCAAAAAGTATTATGGGGTGAGAGAGGCTCGAACTCTCGACCTCAGGATAACTCAGAAGCTATGAGACCTACGCGCTAGCCAACTGCGCCACCACCCCGTTGTTGTTTGTTCTTTGCATGTAGCCTTATTATACAAATCACCAGCGAGGACTAGCCTCTATATCTAACCATTTGTTTTTTGTGTTTTAAAACGTAGGATTTAGTCTTTTTTTTAGTAATTTGAATATGGTAAAATTACAACACATAGTTTATTTAAAGTATCTATGAATCTTATTTGGTAGTTTAGTTTTGTATTGTATTGGGGTTGAGTTCAAATCAATTGTTATGAGTTTTTTTTTTTTTTCAATACAAGCGATAATTTAAATTATTAATTTAGAGAGTTGATTTTCCCACTCATCTTTTGTTTACTTACACTTCTTTCTTGGAAATTGTATGTTCCCACTCATTTGTTGTCCACTTACACTACTTTGCATGCTTTACTTTACAAGTAATTATTTTCAAAGCATAGAATAAAGATTTTTTTTCTTCTGTTTTTTTTAAGTGACAACAGTCTCAAACTAGCCCAAATTTATGGATGGCAGAAATCCCCATCAGGTCCTCGCCCCTAATGGGGGAGCTTTTGGGGGAAAACGAGGGCGGATACGGGGATCCTCGATTTTTAAAAATACTCGGTTAAAGATGGGCTGGGGATGATATTGTTATCTCCATTTCCGAACTCGGCCAGATAAGTGATGTGTTTATTTTTAATTAATAAATATATAATATAATATTATCTCCAGCAATTTGAATTTCTGTATAGTACTTGCTCTTTGAAGTATTAATTTCTTTACAATTTAATTTAAAAAAATTCAAATGATACTTTTGGATTTGTCATTGTGAAATATATACTCTTTTGGAAAATGTGAAAAACTATATTTGCCTTGGAGTATGATTAGGATAATGAGTGACTCAATGAGATAGTCGTATGTTACTATTTTTTTATATATATTTTTTTCCTTCTGAAAATTACCATTTACAACCAAGTAAAAGCACAAGAAGTTTTGTTTTTATTTTCTTTCGTAATATTTTTTGTATGTAAAAAGTATATATGTTTTTAAATTTTTAAATAAATTTGGGATTCGGGTCAGATTCATAATACCATTCTCGATGGGTATGAGAAAGGGGCAAGGATGAGGAGCGGTAGGGGTGGACATCTCATCCGAATTATCTGCGTACCGACCATACCGTGCCGACGGTTTGGTTAAATAATTATTTTTTAATTTTAATTATTCCGATCCGATCCGTACCGAAATATTTGGTTTAGTTAACGGAAACAAAATTTATAACCCGACAGAAACCGTACGGATCCGATATTTATACTTATTTTATTATTTATACTTATTGTATCACTCTTTTATCACCATTGTATCACTGCTTTATCACCATTTTATCACTGCTTTATAACCACTGTATCACTTCTTTATCACCATTGTATCACTTACCCGAGTACTGTAGCATTGTTTGGTCATAGAGGAATTTATGAACTTCCTACGTTTTCCAGTTTCGACCTTTGTCCCGTTTTTGACTTGTAACTTTCCAACTGTTGATCCAAATTTTATGTTCTTTATATGGTTGGATTCAACATGAAAAACAAAAGAACTCAATGCGGAACAAATGTCAAAATCATTTACATAAATGTAGAGAATTCAATAAAAGAACACTCAAATGTTCAAACAACAAATACAAGTGGCTCCTAGTACATCTTAAGTACATATTGAATGATATAGTGACTAAGTTATTTGATTTCATACTTGGATGAATTAGACTATGGATTTATATATTTTACAAGGATAATTTGGTGTATTTTTTCAAGAACTTATGTTATGTGAAAGTATTATAATTTGTATTTTTATTAGTATATTTTTATTACTGTACTACCGGCGTACTGGCCAATCCGAACCGAATATTAGGTTAACCGATCCGAAGTCTACCAAAGTCTTTGATTTGGTTAACGAAAGAGAAAATGATCTACCGAAATCTTTAGTTTGATTAACGGAAGAGCCTTCTACCGTTCCGAACCGATCCGCGCCCAGGCCTAAAGAGCAGAAACGGGCATGATATTATCTTACTCGATCCCTAACCGAACGGTTGCCATCCCCACACTCACATCTGTCTGTTTCGAGCGTTCCTTATTGTTATTCAATTTAATAAGTCAAAAGGAAGAAAAGAAAGGAAAGTGTAAGGCATAGAAGCATTGACCAATCAGCGATGGAGTTTATATTTGTTTTGTTTTGGTCAGTTCACTCAGAATTTGAGCCGTTAATAACTTAGTATTATATCCAATGACCATTGCTCCTCTCGTCTGTATTTGACATCATCCTCCTTTCTCATATTTCCCAATTGCTCAACTCTCAGATTCCCAAACCCTAACCCTAATTCTCGCATTGCTCTAGACTCTGCGAAGTTTGAGGTGTGGATTCGTTTGTTGTATTTCTACGCACTCAAATTGATTCTCATTTTCGATTATATGATATGTATGTATATAAAGTTCGGACTTGGGAGGTTGCATAGCAGTTGAGATTGATTTTCTCTATTTTGTTACCTGAAAACAACCAGAGATGGAAGAACTACGTTGGCGCGCATTTTATTTTTCGCTTTTTTCCCCTCACTGTCCTGTAGATGCTTATATTACTGTTGAATTTGCTGGTAATTGCTAGCTGATTTATTAGTTACTGCATTATTGATTTTGAATTTTCTTTGCGAGATTGAAAAGTGATTCTGTGTTAATGTTATCTGCAGAATTGATGTGGTAGCTGGAAGTTTTCAAATTTACTCATTGGGTAGTTGATTGTTACAATGTGCTGATTGAGGGGCGAGAAATTTGTTGCTAATGGCAGAATATCTGGCTTCACCATTATGTATCAAAGTGCACATACAGAGAAGTTTCATCAGAGAGAAAGGCTTCACAACCCGGAATTCACGTTTCAAGATAGTGCAAAGGTATAGTAGTTGTATTTACTAGTTATGCTTATAGTATTGTACTTTTCATTGTGTTACTTTGAAGATAAGATAAGGTTAGTGTGCCAAGCAGGAACAGATTATGAGGCTAACACTGATCTTGATCATCAAGATAATCTCATACTACTTTATAACCATGCATTGTATGAAAGTTATGTCTTGCTAGTGAGTCGACACTACAGTTTAGCTGGGAATGGGGATTCTGACTTTGCACCTTACCTTGTATTGATTGTTGAGTAACTTAGATTTAGCCTGCAACTATTTTGAGGCTGATGATTTCTGTTAACATTTCCTAACGTCTACCAGAAAAGTATACAAATTGCTTCAAGGGCAATTGTGACTTAGCACTTAATGGTCATGTTTCATGTAATGATTCTCACCCTGAAACTATGTTGCTAAAGTAGGAAGTATTCGTATGGAAGCAGCAAGACTGTTCTATTTCCAATGCGGAAAATGTGTGAGCTCACTGCTCCTGGCTTCTCAAATATGAAAGTTAATCCTTTTCCTGAGGAAGCTTCCTTGAAATGTACTTGCTTGAGGTCTTTGGTAGGCCCTGATGGTGCAATAGCCTCTGACTGGTTACCTGTTGTTGATCAAGTGCTTCTGACGGCCAGTGTATTTCTCACATATATGGCTGGAGTAATTCCCCGTCACAACTCTCGTCCAACTTTTCGAAAGGAGATCTCCAATGACAATGTGGATCCTGGAACCTCAACTGCTTCTGGTAGGTAAGGGTAAGCATGTCAAAGTTTTGAAGGTTTCAGTCTCTGTCCATTTAAAATTATTTATGGGAAAATTACGCAAGTGCTCTTGGGGATTTAACCCTAGAACTCACACTCCAATCTAATTCTCAAAGAAGGAAGTGTCATCAAGCCCAAAAGCTATTGGCATTAAGTCTATTTCTTCTAAATGGATGTTTTTTCTTTTTTAAAAATAAGTGTGCAATGCTTCTGGTTTTTGTTTTTTGTTTACTTTAGTTAGTTGAGATGTATTTTCTCTAATTGCAGTGGAACAAAGAATGATGACCCAGAAAATTCAGGTTATGCCTTGGATGCAGTGAAAAGGAAACTTTTGGATTCACTCCGGGCTTTTGAACTTGGGAATAATATGGGAAACAAGGTCCTTCAACATGAAGGATACACTGCAAAGCGACCTTTAAGTTTGAATGCTGTTGCTGATGGTCCAAGATTAAGATTGCTCTGGGCATCGTTTCTGCGAATTGAGGAAGAGGTCAGCACTGCCTCCTTTGTCCTGCTTTGCTATATTTTGTTTTTCCCCTGTCTTTTCTAAGAGAGTTAAATCATTTCACTTAATTGAACAAACACTGTTTCAGTTTTGAAAGTGGCAATTAGGAAAAAGTATCATCTTTTCCATCTCCTCATCGTACTTGCAAGATGGATAATAAATCTTTCATTTATAATAATTGATTGATAAGAGGTTATGCTGGATTCCATTATATATTTTATTTGCATTTGATCTAAGTCAATCAGATACTTCTATGAAGAAACTTTCTTTTTCTTTTTACAAGAAATGCTTTCATAAAGGATCTATTTTCATACATGTTCCCATTGGATGCTGATCACAAACAGATTAGAATTAAATAGTTATTTGAGTTGAATGAACTATATTTCAAAGTTCTGATAGTAATTCTCTCAAATTTGTTTTATAGGTGATTAATATCTCAAAATCTGGAATTTCTAACTTGGATGACTGCTTGGCGGATTTTTCTGATGTTATACGAAAGTCTTGTCAGCCTGTATGCACGAGCTGGTTAGAAACAGAGCTTGATCTTTTAAACAGCAAGCCTAACAAGGTATTTTGGATAGTAAAGGTTTCCTTCCATATTTTTTTCTGCAACTTACACATTTAGATAAATTCACTTATTCTGCTATGCATTCTGGTCAGGCACTTGCTTTGCTTATGGATGGAAAGTTAAAAGGAGACAACATTGTATTACAGAACATCAGGAACGCAGGAAAGGAAGACCTTTATGCAGAACTAATGTGCTTCCTTAGTTTTGGTTCTCTCAGGTAAATTCAGTATGATTGTCTATTATCTTGGCTCTGTTTCTTGAGAAATGGTCAACTAATCATCAGGCTTCTGCATGTTTAAATTCTTGTCGTAGTAGCTCATAATTCTTCTGCAAAATAGATTCTTCAGCTTTTCAAAATGTTATTTTCTTAGCATCAATGGAAACAAGCACTTACAATTTACTAGTTTTAGCCTAATTGGATACAGAAGTTTGGGATTTGAAGTACATGGTTCATAATATGGTTTCAAGAAACACATTCCTGTAAGCAATTCCCATCAAAAGGGTAGACTCACTGGGAGTTGAAACTAATTAGTAATGAAGGTCGATTATTTTCCAACTTTAGTAATGCAATGAGGTAAAATCATTGTTAAACTTAGATATTACTATAATTATGGGTTAACTATACTATAATTAATTTCATCATGTGCTATGATTACCATGATGGTACTTATTGGTAATGAAGTATTAATGATTTTCGCATATTTGTGATGCATATCATGTAGTTTCATAATAAATTAAGCTTGTTAAGTACATTTTCTTTCACATTCTACATTAGCTTCACAGATTTCTCATACATTTTTATTTTGTTTAATTTCCAACAATTTTTTTTTTTTTTTTTTTTTTTTTTTTTTTTTTTTTTTTTTTTTTGGACACTTGTACCTTCGCTCAACAGGGAGGGTTGCTGTTATGACGGTAACCTGTTTATGAAGCACGGAGTTTCCATACTGGAAGATCTGGTGATAAGTTTAGCAGATGGGATAGTAAGCATATATTTGGAGCTTATTTCTGTTGACAGCAATTTCTCAGATGAATTGGATAGCCTGTCTTTGGCATTGTGTACTTTGTCAACACGAGCACTTCAAAGATTACGAAATGAGGTACAAGTTGACAATTTCTTAAGCATACCAGCATATTGCTTTGATGTTTTTCTTAATTTTTTCCCATTTTGATTTACACTCTCACTTCCCCCCGCTTACCCAATTTTTAATAGGCAGAGATGGACTGTTGAGTTTGTATGCAATTTCAAGGCATCATATTTTTGTCTAAATGTCATATGGTCAATTTGTGTCTAGACTTCTTGAATGCCTTTGTGGTGTGGATGTGGTTGTATGTAGGGAGGTAGTTGGTTTCATATATTGTATTATAAGATATGCCCTTTTTATCAGGTGGCTTTGTACCAATGGTTGTATCAAAATATGGAAGCAATTGCAGCAATGTATGAGGATCGATTTGACTTGTGGACATTTCAGAGCCAACCCATCAAGGAATTAGACAACAGCTGGTCTGAAAATTATAGTTGGTGGAAATGGCTTACCCAGAAAAAATCTGGCACTGCACCATCAAGATTACATCAGGTTATGATAAGCCAGTTCTCTATGCCTGTAAAGCGAACAAAGGAATTAAGGGCCCTAACAGGGTGGTATGCTCTTTCCCCACCCCTCACATTTTTCTCATCTTTCCAAATAACTTTGGCCATCACCTTATTGCCTGATTTAATCTTGAAATAATTGAATATGGATGAGTTGTCTTGTTATGTCTGTTGCAGGAGGTATTACTTCAGCCTATTCCTCGAGTTATCTGATATTAGCATGCCGTTGATTAGAGCAGTTATTGACAAAGTCAGCAAGGCTCTTTCGTTTTTTCTAGTTAGCTTGATTGGGAGGTCATTAGGACTCATTTATACTGGAATTAGGCAGTCTCTACGTTGGAAGTGATAGATGGGTATTTGTTTTCATTCTTTATTTCAGTTTGCCTTTTTTGATATGGCAGAGTTGGTTTTAGAAGAATGTAAATTACAATCTGTCAGCTTGAAATGTTCATTTTTGTTTTGTGCCAGTTGAGGCACCCCCTTATACCCATTGGTTAACATTCTGAGCAATGCAATGAATTTGAATTTAGCATAAATCTTGGTACCACTCTGTTCCACATTGTGCAAACTATATTACAAATTCTATCTTTGCATGGATGTAGAACTGCTTTTGGGCTGTGAGTGCATCTTTTATGTATAAATCTCTCTCTGCGTTTGTGTGGATATGCTAAGTCCGTTACAAGTTATCCTTTCGATCTACAAGCAAAGGACAATATAATTGAGAGCTAGCGCTTTCCGATCTCAGTATCTCTTGAAAGTTCCCCCCATCATCATAGGAAACAAAAAGGATGCAGTCACCAGTTTTTGGTTGAGTTTACTCTCTGTTTAGCTAAAGAAGTTCAGTCAGCTTTTACTAGATAAGTTAGCCCATACTTTTTTCCTATAAATTTTGGTGAAAGAAATGTGTGTTCCAAATAAAGTTGTTGCCTTGGTCACTGCAGCTGTTTGGCGAATGCATATATCCATATATGTCATAAAAGATTTATGTCCAAACTCTGCGTGTGATTTATATCCCTTGATGTTCATGAAGAAAATGGTGGGAACATGAATGTGAGAAAATGGCTGGCACATAAATGACATTACTTTTCAGAAGATCACAAAAGCAAAAGTTTCGTTTGAGAAGATAATCTTTGCGCCCTACCATCTTTACACCGTATTCTTTTTTGGGCTAAGAAACTTCTTATTATACACTAATCAATTCATTGTGTCCACACCTTTCTATAAAGCAGGGTCTCCCACTTTGAGCCTTTACCTTTTAACTGACCTAATTATGACGAAGAACATTATTGAGAAAATTGGCTAGTTATGGCCAAATAAGGCTTACCCACATTAATAGAACAACTCAATCCGTCACACAGCGATGCAATTGTTGGCTTGAGCTGTAATACCGTCAGTCATGCGTGGCCGTATGGCGATATTTCAATGCGACCCTTATATCAAAAGCTAATATTGTGGGACTCGGACATATCCAAGGCTAAGATACTGTCATGCACCCATGCGCGGATAGTCTGGCCACGTTCATTGAGAAAACCCAGGCTGACAAGATAGGCAGAGAAAATGAGAACACAACACAACAAAGGAGGAGGAGAAAAAAAGCATGAAGAAAGGGTGGAGGAAGCATCACCATCCAAGCAAAACAGTATGAAATTAGAAAACCTCATGAATTTATGCGTTATTTCTTAATCATAGAAATGGAATAGAGCAATGCCTTTTTATGAGCTATGATTGGACAATTATAAGAAGAAAACGTTTGGTTATTATTATTATTGTGTTTTGTGGACCACACTGCTTTTGGCCACTTGAAATGCGTGGTTGCCTGGTGAAAACTTGAAAAGAACCTTACATGAGACTAGTCAGGCAATTTGGAGCTCTACCCATTTGATTTTCATCAATAATAAAGAAGAGGACCAAAAATTCTCAAAATTGTAAAAAAATCCAAGAGGGGAACAAGAAAAGCACTCCCCCAACTTTAGCATTAGAACTTTTGGATTCTTATAGCTACTTTTCCATTTATTTTTTTCTTAATTAATTCTTTGTTTAATTGATAAATTCTTCACCACTAGAGCTAAGCAAAGAGAGATTTTTCAAACACCTTTAAGTTTTATTTATTTATTTAATTTAATTTTTTATATTAAAGATATAAAGATTACCCATCAATCAACAAGACGAAATAAGTATAATACTCAGACACTGAATTTAATTATAATTAACTCTGCATGGAGACGTGCATTGCAGTAACGGCCACCATATCTCATTTTCTTCTTCTTCTTCTTCTTCCATATCTGACCAATCTTCTTTGCTATGAGATTTGACTATAATTGTTTGACTGTGAATCCAAAAGTTAAAGGCATCATCATATAACATATATATAAGGTTGTGGCAGGAAACTGAATCAAAAGGCAGCAATTTAGCTAGCTAGCTAGCCAGCCACTCGGCACAGAAAAATACAAAGTAAACAATCAGTCAGTGCCACACATAATCTATTACTTTTAATTAAAGGTATATATAGAAAAGGGGTTGTCAAATATTGCATCTATTAATTCTATACTTGGGAACTGTTTGGGAGGCAGAAAGTGTTATTTCTGCCCTCAAAGTTGAATTGACCACACACTGTTTGCTTAACTGATGACCAACTTTTTTTGGTTCAATTGGGGGGAAAGAAAACTCTAGGATTTCGATCCTGGGTGCCAAGCAGGGGGGGAAAGGGAGAGGACCACAACCGCTGTAGTAATCATGCTCGACCTGATTACCAATCTTTAAAAATACTTGAAAATGAACCAAAAAACCACACCAGCAACTATATATATATTTTTGTTTCAGCCAAGCTTCTCAAATGTAAGCTCCAAAATGCAGACTAGGGTTTGCAAAAAATTATAACAAAAGTTCACTTGCCTAGATAAGTTTGGTGATTGACTTGAAATTGGAGAAGCCAAATCTGGGTCAATTATTTCATCTTGGTTCATTGCATAATTATTATTATTATAAACAATCAAACTTGGATACAACCAGCCAAGTGGCCCAAAACTGAGCAAACAAAAGAAGTGATGAAAAGCTCGAGAGACATGGTGGGGGTAGGGTTCTGTTTTCTGACATTAGACGCAACCCTTTGCTAATCAGACTAAATAGATGACCTTACAATGGGTTTTATGTAGTGGAATACAGCTCATTAAATAAGTAACAAGCTAAGATAAATATAACTTAATAATATCCTGAGTAAATTCATATATTCCATAGAAATGTTCATAATGTAAGTGGGAAAAGAATAAAAAGAAATTAATATATGCTTTTTAAAGTGTGATTCTTTACACCAAAGAGTGGTTATCCTGGACATTCCCTTCCCACCAGTAGAAAATGGGAATTTATTTGACTGTTTCTAATTAGCGGAGGAAATTAAATAAGTATCAGATACATAAAGGCTGTGCAAAGTTTTCAAATCATGCAGACTATAAACACATATTCTAACATTGCTTTAGCATGTGATTTCTTCGGTCACATCCATAAAATACATCAGTCATTCACACGCACGCACGATTATAGATATATAAATCTTTTGTAAGTTATATGTAGAGCTTAATACAAAACTCTTTTCTCAACAATAAGCATGACTTTTGCTACTAAAAAGGAAGAACAAATTGTAATTAAGCATATCCATAATTCCTGGGCTCGGTCGGTTTATCTTTTAGAACATGGCTTGGCTCCTCAAAATTGAGGAGCGCATGCTCACAACAAATGGGATTTTCACACATGTATTTTACCTTTGACAAAAACCTATGATAAAGATAAAGACAACCCACAAAAGGATATTAGATTAGGGTTGAGAGCTCACCTAAATTTGTTGACATTTCGAGCAACAATAGTGTGAGTGTTGGATTTGTGCTATATACCCTTACAGTGAAACGACCTAACCTAAAGAAAAGATACACTGTTATTATATAGATTATAGAGAGGCTGTCTTGTCTCTGTCTCTGTCTGTTTGAGAGATATTGAAAATCTATTTTATTTTATTTTGCAGATTTATAGTTGTTGTTAACTTACATCACCTGAACACTAAAAAAATAAAGTTTTTAAGGTCCACCCTATTGACTTCTGGGTTTTGGTCCCCGATGTCATGGAACCATACACATCAAATGGGCTGTTGATGTTTGTTTTGAACGTAGACTTTGCCCCAAATGAAATTACAAGTGCTTTTTCATGGAGAATTTAATGTGTTATATATCTTATTGTTCTTCTTGCCAAACAAGGAAAAGGGTTATATTCTTTCACTAAATTATGAAGCAATTATATGCGTTGGTTTTGCTTAAGAAATAGGAATCATTGCTGATGAAACTTGACCTTTGAATAGATAAAGGTGGGTGGGTGGAAGGTTTTTATCGACAGGGTTCAATCAAGCCTTTGTTGGTGCTACATTATGGTTTTTTTGAAAAGTTGCTTTTGTCATTTCTGTTAGATGGGCTGGCCGAGCTTCTTTACCCTCCTTGATTTCCGTTAACACACATACATACATGTTTACATGAAAAGAAAGAAGGAAAAAAAAGAGAAAATTCAAAAATCTACACGAACAGGAGAAGAGAAGAAGAAGAAGAAGAAGATCTTCCCATATTCATCATTGTGTCTTACTGGATCACAACATAAAGAAAAACCCTAATCAAATTTAAAAGTAACTACTCCACCATAGTTGGAAACAACATAGCTAGCTAAATTAGTCAAACAAATCAACCCATCTCACCAAAACAAATAAACCATGAATTACTCAATCAAATCCCTTAAATCTCTCTTCAACACCAAGAAAGTTCAAGAAATAAGTTTTTTTTTTTTCTGCGGCTAAAATTTGGTTGCTTCTAATTTCATGGAGCAGTACGGCCACGGAAACAATATTCAAAAGCCAGATATATCAACATGATATGTATTATGTACATACATATATTATACACATTGGCTGTATGTATGTAGAGAAATAGTAAATTACCAACATAACCTTAACGTACCATCCCTCTCTTGACCATGTAACCGAGGTAGTGGGGACCCATGCATCACCCATCATGGGAGACATACATGTCCCTTGGGCCTCTCTCTCTCTCTCTCTCTCTCTCTCTCTCTCTCTCTCTCTCTCTCTCTCTATGATGATATAATAATAATATTAATACATACAATATACATATATGTATATGTGTATATATGACTTATGAGAGAAGCAGTACCAGTATATGATAGAGAATACGATGCCTTGCGTTTTTTCCATATTTGTTTCCACACTACACTACACCACACCAGAAATTGGCTTCATATACGGTGGATCGTGTGCAAGAAATATTCGAGTGTGCAAGTCACGCAAGAAAGGAAAGGAGT